AATCAACCTCAGAGACTAAAAAAGTCTTTGAGTAAGCAATCCTAACATCCATACAGACAGTATGCAAGATGTATTTCACTGTTTGAGTAATGTTGATATATTTCTCCTTAAGACTTTTTACTTCACCGAATGTCATCTGATCTTAAGTTTAATATGATGCTTTTATATCTGGTTATGTTAAAACAAAACTTATATGACCAATGTAATTGCTTTTATAACTATGGTTGCCTGAACGCTACACTGTTGACTAGAAACACACACACACACACACACACACACACACACACACACACACACACACACACACACTCTCACACACACACACACACACACACACACATTAGTCTTTCTGTCAGATGTCACTGAACTGAGTGAGAGCACTTCCAGCAGCACGGCACTGTGTTTGTATGATTGGACTGCAGTTATGGTGATGTTGAAAAGGCTGAAATGATTTTGTGTGGGCCACCTGCCCAGAGAGTGACCCCTACAGAGCAAATTAGAGTCATTAATGCCAATCAGTGCACCTGACTTTGAGCTGATGATGATGAAACCAAACCATGACAAAGGGTTGAGTCTAGGTGGGTGTTTTTGTCTTCCCTTTTCACATTTTGCTTTTTTCCATGAGAGAAAGTTAGGAATAAATGTGCCGGTATAGACTGGCAGGAGATACTGTCACATAATCAGGGAAAATGGTTAACAATAAACCACAAATATTTATGTTTTTATTCAATTATTCAATTATTAGTTTTAGACACTCACACAAAATGACACTCAGTAGTAATAAGAGAAGCAGTGTTTGTGTAAATTAGCCCTGGGCTAGGCTAAGCAGGAAATTAGTGAGGCACTCGTGTGTAGAAGGTTTCAGGTGGAGCTGTTGTGTGGGTGGGAGTCTGTCAGTCTGTAGCACTCATCTCTGGCCTTCAGCAGGTGTTCCACAGCTTGCTCAATTTTTTCCACGCTGTTTGAAACCCAGACATTCATCAAGGTCAAAGAGCATGTGTGTTCCTCTCATTCTGAATACAAAAGCCGACAAAACACCAATTTTTTATTTTCATGTTTTATTTAAGTTACATTTCTTAAAAAGGAGAGAGAGAGAAACAGAAACAAAGAGAAAACAATGAACACACACATAAAACTTCTGGTGTGACCTACATTGTCTCTCACACAAAAACACTTATTGCTGGCCTTATCAAGCTGTTTGTCTCTTGCTTTGGTGTGTGTATGTGTGTGTGCTGCTCTTTAAAAGTAGGGCATAGGGGCCCTGAGGTTCTAACCGGCTGCTCCGTGACTGCTCACCTGTAATAGCGGCTTCTCATTCTAAGGTTTAGTTCACGTGTCAGTTTAAAAACATGAAATAAAACTCCATTAATTCATCAAGGTTCACAATGAAAAGTTTTTGTAGTTTAGAGCATGCCAGTGGCAAACATCTTGTTTTGTAAACAGTCAGTTTGAGCCACAAAAGAGAGTCACCAGTTCTTAGGAAAAACTCCAGTTCTTATATAGTAAAGTGCTTACCATGTTTAACATGTCGCCACCTAATAAGACCACATTAGTATGCACTAGCGTTGCAGTACTCAAGTCCAGTCTTGGTCTCAAGAAAATTAACGGCCTCAGTGTTATCCTGGTCTCAGCATCATTTTGACTCGGTCTTGTCTCCGGCTCAGGGTCAAATTGACTTGTAAATCGCATGGAATTCTCTCAGTGTCAATGGAAATGTGGCAGAAGTCTGGACATTCAAAGTCTGATTCAAGAAGGCTTTGTGCAGCACTTGTGGCAGTTGTGACAGCATCATGGAATGGAAGGTCTTGTTCGATGTTACTGTATGAGTCTCATTACCAGTGTTCAGCTTGTCACTTTAGATGCTCATGTAAGGGATAATCATGTGTCTGTTCAAACTGAAGCACAACCCATGAAGCATGATGAGCAGTGCTCTCACATTTCATTAGCCACGGGGTTAAAATGACAACAAACGATGCCGAGGGAATCTGTCGATAGCGCTCTCCCCAGCCAGGGTCACTTTGTTTGGTTATTAACCCATCCTTCAGCCCAGTGTCAACACAGCTCTGTCCTGGCATATAGCCTCGTCGTCCATGTAGCCTAGGGTAATGGGCAAGCACACAGAATCCAGTTAGACCAAGCCAAGCTTTTCCTTGAATCCCTGTATTCATAGACAGAGAAATATCCACACCCAGGGTCCCTCTAGTCTGGCAGGACAATAAAACTGGCCAAGCCGGAGGACTGCCCAGTTCTCAGCGTCATATGACAAGAGCTACATATTCAGCTGTGCGTGTCTACAGGTTACTGAAGTTACTCAGAAGAGGAAGCAGAATCAGCGTGCACTCCACAGCCATCGCCCTCGGAGATCTCTGCCCTTTTAGCGTGTGTGTTTAAGGGTTGAGTTAATGCAGGAAAGCTTCCATGGGCCTGGCGGCTCCAAAGAATGAAATGGAACTGTGGCTTTGTTGACCTTTTCATGTTTTAAAATATTACGGTCCTACTCACTACAGCAGACACTCGTCTGTGAATGTATTAGTCCTCTGGGAAAGGCCCAAACAAACCAACAAACGGCCAAACATACAGGTTTGCATGCAGTTGTGAGCGGCTGTCAGCAGAAGTGGAGTTAAGTGAAGCTGTTTGCTGTTAAAGTGAGATGCAGAGTCAGTTCTCTGTCAGTACAACTTGTTTTAAGTGTCTCTCAGACAGTGTGTTCTAGAATGAGGAGAGAGTTCCAAAGCACATCAAAGATAAGGCATGACTTTTCTCCTCATTAAAGACAAATCTGTTTAGTTCTTCCCTCATCATCAGCCATTTAAAGTTCACTTGGACGGCTTCAGGAAAATTGAACAAGAACAAAACAGTTCTTGAGGTTGAAATGATTTTTTTAATTAAAAATGCGTGAGAGTGAGGACAATAGGCGAGGAGAATGACAGAGTTTTCATAAAGCATACATTGCTGTCAGCTGGAATAAAAGAGACTGGTTCCTTTTCAAACATTGACGTTAACTTTGAATTCATCCCACTAAACGGAACTGAATGTTCGGATTGACTTACATTTCTGCTGATTAGAATGTGTAGGGATGCATGCACCATCTAGTTCACAAAGTCTGGGAAGAAGACCAGTTTAATTTTTGCTTTGCACTTTCTACACAAGATTCAGCATTTTAAAATACAGCCAAACCTCCTTCAGACTTCTGCTCACTGAAAAAAGCCTCTGAAAGACTCTATTCTTTTGAATGGTGGTAGAAAGCCCTTGGCTCCAGATGTCAGGAGAACAGCCCGAACCTGGGTGGTGCTGAATAATTTGAATGCTGCTCTCTATAGCTCAGATGGGCTGTTTTTAAGCATCTTGTTTCTGATGCTGTCAGGGCCATGAGCTTTTATGAATTTTAAAGATTTTATTTATTTTCTCTCTCTCTCTCTCCCTCTCTCTTTCTTTCTGTCTCTCCTCATTTTTTCTCGTGTATGTGTATCATCATTATGTGTGTGTGTATGTTTATGACCCTGTAAAAACTGAAGGGCTATTGACACAATTTGTGAATAAGCTGTTAAAGGAAGGCTAAGCGGGAGTAGCTAAAGTTAGAAGCTAGATAGTATGCATATGTGTATGAGTTTGACAGAGAGAGAGAGAAAGAGAGAAAATTATGTAATCCTGGGAGATGTAAGCTGAGGTCTCCAGTCAGTGTGACCTGTAGGATAGGAAAGTGTGTGTGTGTTAGTGTGAATCTAACACTCAGTCAAAAGGTGCCACCACCGCCACCTTCACCCTTTTTCCTTCTTTCTTTCTCATCTCCAGCCCACGCTCCCCTCATCGGTCCCTTCTCAAGCACAATGAGGCAAAATAATGTCAGATGTTTAAAGAGACTTTTTAAATATTTCATAAAAAATGACTGAATGTATTGAATCAGCAAATAGGTCAGTGATATGGGCTGAAGACATAGTGTGCTAATGGAAACACACAGAAAGGGAAATGTTTGCTGTATTGATATATCGGTGCTGGCAGATGAAAGCTAAATAGAAAAGGCCATGCTTCATAATGTTCAGTCAATAGCTCACTGAATGGGTTATTCCACAATCAGAGGAGAGTGGCTGTTAAGATTGCACACATTCAATAGATATTTAATAGCATAAACTATTACAACATCTAGGCTACAGTGTGTGCCAGACAATCAAACGTCTTTGACAAAACAGAATGATTATTCATTTAAAGAAATTAAATCCATTATGTTTAGTTATACTTTACTCTGTGGCACTGTCGTTTATGATTTTTTTTTCTTTTTTTTTTTGTAATTTCAAAAACTGCAGGTCACAGGTGGCATTTGCATGCCAGTGGGGTCTTTCATGCTTCCATTGTTTTGCTGTACTATGTGTATCGATTGGAATATTGTTTTTATGTAGAGTCAAACCTGTAGTGGAGAAGTGATTTTGCATTGTATCCCCTCTTAATTTTTTAGAATGATCTGTGATGACAAATTGCTTGTCTAATTTTCCTCATAGAAACCATAAACGGTTCCACACGGCCAACGTTGTCACTGTTGATCTGTTGCTGCTCAGACTGTTTGAACCCATCTGCGCTGACCGACACAGGAAAGCAAAGGAACCACATGATGTTTTAATCGCTATTTTCCTTTTTTTTGCCATTTAAAGTATTGATAAAGTTTTAGATTTTTTTCCAAAGATCTTGGTCTATTTTTTGTCTTTTGTCTGAAAGAAAAAGTGCCATCTTTGACCATTCAGCTAAAAATTGTTGATGTCCAAAGTTTCAGTGCATCCCTAATAAATAGATGTAACGTAAGCACATTTAAAAAAAAAATTCTTGTACGCATCACATACTGCCTGACCATTTTTCACATGCTGTTGAGCTGAATTTATCAGCTGATCAACACAGTATGAATACAGATATACTGAGTGTACAGGTCACAGTTATGCTCATTTGTCAATCTTTGTTAAGACCATGTGGACCGCCTGAGCTGACGAATGCTGACCAGTCATCTCTCTTTGCAGGTGTTGCAAATGTACCTGCCTTTCTGTGGAATCGCCATTTCCAATGCTCAACTCTTCGCTGCGTCCAGAAAGGAGTATGACCGGAGCAGGGTAAGAGCAGGCCCAGTTTCAGAATAAAAAACACTGAGGGTACATTAGAAATAAAGAGGGTGCATACATCCATTTACTTATATCCTACAATAAAATTAGCAGCTATTCAGTGTTCTGTAAAGGCTGACTTTGCCTGTCACAATCATGAAATTTTAACTGACATAAATTACCTTATAAATAATTAATCGTAATATTTTATTCATTGAATACAACTATTAAAGTACAAACCTGAAGTGGCTAAATGACTGATAAGCTATCTCGCTTCCCAGCTGCCGATACTTAGCAGCTGCCATCTGATGACAGACACAGCTCAAACTCAAACAAACATTACTTACCGCTGCCCTCTAAATGTGTTGTTGAGGTCAGCTCAAAAAATTATGATCAGGTGAATATGCAACAATTCACAATATGACCAGAAAGCATATTATACCTCCATATGATGTTATTTAGCATGATAAAAATAAATATCATCAAATTGACCACCCTTACAAAATTCAAATGGAGGTTGCAGTGCATGCTTTGAAGAACACTGGAATACACCAGTGATGAACACTATAGGATAGTGAGGGAATAAAATGATCTGAATCGTCCATCTCATTATAAACCCAGTATAGCCATTCGCCCACTGCTGACAGTATAGTTGTGTGGGTGTGTGTGTGTGTGTATGTGTGTGTGTGTATTGATCTGTAACTGCCCACATACTCTCCTGCTGGTTAGACAGTTCTTGTTTGGAAGGGTTGGGGGCAGGGTATGTGTGTGTGGGGGGGGGACATATTTGGTATGTATATGTTGCATAGGACCAGAACCAAGAGATAGTGTGTATGCACTTTTATATATTTGTGTGTGTAGTGTGTTGGTTGCATAAGGCCAGGGTTATAATTCTAACGTCTGGCATCTTGAGAGAGTCTATGACATTTCACACGTTGTTGATCCCAGAAGAAGGAGTGAACTTGATGATAAGGGAAAATAAAAGGGGAGGGGGATTATTGAGCATAACTCATTGTTTTATAGCCACTATAGTATTTTACTGGATTGATGAAATGAAGTGGATTTTGTAGAAGTAAACATACCAGAGTGGCTAGAGCATAAGATCCTGTGCATAAGACCAAACAGAACTAAGACATGCTTAAAGACTTTTAAGCCAGAACTAGCACAAATATCACTTTTACCAAAATATCATTGCTGTTGTAACAAAGCTTCTCAGAAATGGTGACTTTAAGAGAAAAGGACAAAACATTCTTAAATGTACATTCATGTAAGATTGTGAGAGATCATGTGATTTTTTATTCCAAGTCATTTTGGACCATTTGTATTGGTCCATTCATCATTTGTTTTCAAGTGTTTATAAAATGAAGGGCAGCTGATGTTCTAAAAAAAGGGATTAGAACAGGTTTTGATACAACAACAACATCAATAGGGTACTTGTTCATTTTTATGATTATGAAGTTTGATCATAACTTTGATTCTACTAAGGGTATTTTATTCTCCAAATAAATACATAGCCATCAATTTACTGCAGCTCACAGTGAAGCTGTTTCACTTTTGAGTTTTTAAAAAAATATTTGGAACATAACCCATTCTACTGACATGCTTAGTTGGACATAAACCTCAAAAATGTATGTAAAAGAATACTCTCTTACTTCTCTACTGAACCCTCTTTGAGGTCTTGTGTTCTAACAAATGCCTTCAACCTGCATCAACTCTTTAAAAAGAAATAAAGCCATCTGTCCACAAAAGGTCAGAGTGATGTGTGTGTTCTTTTAACATGCGACTGCTTGTATGTGCAGGCTCTGTTGGAGGTGGTGAATGATTTGTTTGAGGAGCAGACAGATCTGGAGAAGATTGTGAGGAAGATAATGCATCGTGCTCAAACCCTGCTTAAGTGTGAACGCTGCTCTGTACAGCTACTGGAGGACATTGAGTCTCCGGTGATCCTCTTGTCCTCTCATCTTTTTCTATCCTTTTCTTTCCTTTCCTTTCCATAGACTCCATTAACTGCTGCCTCACAGCTGCTGAAACTTTTTATCTCCTGCAGGTTGTGAAGTTCACTAAGTCCTTTGAGTTGCTGTCACCAAAGTGCAGTGCAGACACTGAGAACAGGTAAGGTCCTCAATCGTTACTTCCACACTTCTGCACCCAAAACATTCTGCCTGATTCTGCGTGAATCCAAACACAACTGTAGCCTGCCAAAATCTATCCAAACCTGATTGTGGCCTGACAAAATTCTATCCAAACCCGACTGAAGCCTGAGAAAATTTTGTCCAAACCTTTCTATAGCCTGATAAAATTCTGTCCAAACCTGACTGTAGCCCAGGAAATTAGGTCCAAACCTGATTTTGGCCTAACAAAATTCTGTCCAAACCTGATTGTGGCCTAACAAAGTTCTGTCCAAACCCAACTGCAGCCCAACAAAATTCTGTCCAAATCCGACTGTAGCCCAACAAAATTATGTCCAAATCTGACTGTAGCCCAACCAATTTATGTCCAAATCTCCCTGTAGCCCAACAAAATTCTGTCCAAATCCAGCTGTAGCCCAACAAAATTCTATCCGAAACTGACTGCAGCCCGTAAAAATTCTGTCCAAACTCAGCCATCACCAAACGGATAAATAAAACTCCAAATTCCTCCTGATGGTGCAATTCTGTTGCCTTAGCAACTCTTTTCTCCTCCCTCTGGAAAGCCTAAAAGAGCCTTGTACAATGATCATTTGCTTCGAGCCTATAACACAGAGCACACCACAGCACATAAACATCCACAATCCATCCCGCCACACTCCCTCGGACTCAGTTACCAGCTCAGCTGGAGATGTGTCTGCTGAAGCACAGCTTAATGTGCCCCGGCTAATAGGAGAAATCACATCAGCCATCATATTAGCAGGTGGGACTTGCAGTATTTCAGTGGTTAGTGTTGCTCTCCATGTAACTGGAAATTCCTTTGTTATAACTCACACACCCACAAAGAAAGGGGTGAGAGAGAGAGAGAGAGATAGAGACAGAGAGAGAGACAGAGAGTGAGAGAGAGAAGCAAAAAAGAAATCAAAACTTCTGAACTGCTAATATTTATTTTACTTGTTGGCTTGGTTACAGTACTCTACCTTGCTTCTGTTATCTGAATGCTTTGACAGTGAATAGGCTTGCCAATAAAGCATGATTGAACAGAATTCAGCTGAACTGAGCTCAGAAAGAGCGTGGTCCCACTTTTGAGCGCTGAGCCCTACACTTTCTCTCAGCCTGCTGATGAATTTTTAAAGCTGGACATTACGAGGCTGTTAAATATTTCTTAGCAGAGTCATTAACACTCCTCAGTGACTCCTGTAGAATCATCTGCTCTTTTAATATAGCCCAAAGGTGTTTGTAGGCCAGTGCTCATCACTGCCTAGCAGGGCTGTATTCTTTTGCACCATGTTATGTTGGACCATGTTCTTCTGTGTTGAGTTTTAACGCATCTTGTTCATTTATTTACGGTCTTATGGTTTATGGTTTTGCTGTGCACATGCCGTGTCAGGTAGCGTTGCACTGTGCTGCTTTGCAGTGTGTTGTGTTGTTGCGCTGAGTTATGTCGATGGGGACTGCGCCGTGTGTGTTTGATTGATGAGTCTCTGGTGCTTCTGCACCACAAGCGTAAGGTTTCTCCCCATGTCAGCTGCTGCTCACCCCCTCCATTCTGCATTGCACAGGATCTTCAAACTCTCTCTATTCAGCACTTAGCAGTCCCCTAAACCCCTTACATCAGCTCCCCGACCAGCCACCACTATCTTACTGCAAACACACAACACGCCAGACCCCCACCTGCGAATTCACACTCCTGTTAGCTTCTGAAGGAGAGAAGAAGGTGGTGTTCAGAGTGTGAACATCACACCAGTGCTGAATGGTACTGATTACTCTCTTGTAATTGCAGAGGAGGGGGAAAAAAGCATCTAAGCGCTGTGATGTTTTTGTATGAGAAATGCCAGCTTAGTCAGAAGAGATGACTAGTGCAATTGTGTTGTGTTTGCGGCTCGTTTTTGGCTGTGATGGCGCTCACCGCAGGTGGAATCATTACAGCAACAGAGAGGACACATGCAGCAGGCCATGCGCTATCGAGGGACCATACGCCACTCATTCCCTCTCTCTCCCCACTACAAACACCTGGCTAATGTTCCATTGCCAAGCTGTGAAATCACACACGCTGCTGGCTACGTCTATTACAACAACACATTTTTCAACTGAATGACACCACTAAAGGAATACAGCAACATGGAGAATATTTTCTCATGAAGAGAAATGTTCCATGTAATTCTGTTTACAGATCCAAATCCAAAACAGTCATAAATCATGACCATTTTCCTACCTTCTTTTATCCCTTGAAATGAAACAGGGTGTTTTTGTTAATGTTTTTTTAAGACTAACATATGTATGTGAGCTTTGTTCTGATTGGTTGCCCTAGATTGTACGTCATTCAAAAAACTGGTGTTGAAACACTTCTTATAACTTTTAACATGTATGGGGGGAGCTAAACTGCTGTATACTGACTGTACGCAGACATATGTAAATGCTTGCTTTTCGTGACAAAAAACAATGAATAAAAAAAAAAAACTTTTTTGCAGCTTTTTTTCCATATATGGAGCATAAGGAGGTAAAAGGAAGAATGGGCCCTTGATACGGGCCCTTTAACTGTATTTGGTCAAATTGTGCTGTGATATCTGCAACCATGGATTTTTGCTAGGTTTCAGGATAAAAACAGCATCTCATGAACAAGCAGAAATTCTGAGTTAATATATCATCACTGTCAGGACAAAATCTTGCTGTTTCTTATTTTTTAATCAGAATTTGTAAACACTTTTACATTATGTGAAAACTGCATGATGAATGGACCAAATCAAGTGGTTCAAAATGACTTGGAATAATAAAGTGTTCGTATATTAATTTATTTTAAAGTTAGTTGCATTTTTAGATGTGAAACAACTCGGGGATCTGGCTTGTAGCTTACTCACACACTCAGTCACTCATACATGGTTAAAGTTGCTCCACAATGGGGTGCTATTCAGTAGCATGTCTGAAGGCTGAAGTGGCACACACCCACAGGAACTTGATTGGCCACTACAGGTGCCATTCTCATTAAAACTGGTTGTTAATAGGTTAGTAGGTTGTCAATTTTCTACAAACGTGGGCCTCATCTGTGGCTTCTTTTTAAAAATAAGAGAAAGTAGTTGTACCAGAGCCAATTTAACGTTTTTCTCTCGTTATATCAAAAACATGACTGCGGAACACTAGAGCATGCTTAAGAATGGGTCCTCAGTAAGTGTGGGTGAAATGAGCTAAATGGCTCATTCCTTTAATTTTGGAAAATACAAGTATGCATTCCATAAAAAAATAAAAAAGAACTTACCTGTATTTTCTGTTTTTCTACAGAAAACAGGTTTTGTTCAGTGGGGCGCTTGTATCTCTGCTACTCAGTGCTGAAGTGGATAGACATGGCCTTCAAATCAGAATGTTTCTGCAATGATGTGTGTTGTGTAAAGAAAACATTGCAGGGGGATTTTGTATGGTCCTAGTTGCTGCTCACAACAAGCGGCAAAAACAGACTGGAATAAAAATGTACTTTAAAGGCAAGCAGACTAGGCCTCATGATTTTGTTCACTAAATTACAATGTAATTGTTCTTGATTAACTAAATAAATATCATACTTAAACCAGTAATAGCGCCAGGACCGTTTCAGCATTGTCCAAACACTACAGTAGGAAATAAAACTACTGCTAGCTAAACAGAAAAAAAAATCTTTGCTTGCAGACACAAGTGCAATGACCAACATGACCTTAACATGCTGGCAATTTCTAGGATTTACGCCTTCAGTGTTAATAGGCTGGCTTATGATTGTGCCACATACAGAATTGGACATCTGTAATTACTGTCTATCTAATGTTATTAGATAGACTTAGAAATACTATGTTCATACACTTACGGTCTTTAAATCCATGTATTGGACTACCCTAGCACATATGAGCGATTATTTTGGATGGGCCAGTGCTATGAGTACTATACTATATACAGTACTATGGCCAATCAAACCACTGTTGCTTATCTAACCTATATCTAACAAGGAAACAGAAGTAGATTTTAATGGTTTGTATGGAAGATTATTTTAAAATAATTACAAAAAATTTACAAACAAGTTCTACTACTACATGCCAATTGCGATATCTCTTTCAGATGTATCAGAACTGGCATATACTGGTCCCATTTCAACTTTAGATAAACATTAACTACTACCACTTTCAGTTAGTTAGCTAGCTAGGTCATTCTGACTGAGAGAAAGTTGTGCTGTTGATTTTTAGTTTTAACCAGTGGGAGTTGACAATGGCAGTGATTTCAACTGTGGTAGTTATGCCGTTTTACCTTTTAGTCTAATAGACAGCAAGAGTATCATATTATCTACAAAGTCAAATTACACTATTCATAGATGCCCCCCAATCTCAAACTCAATTTGGTGCTTCACAAGAGCAGGGCTTTACATCAGTGACAATGTGGGTCCTTGTTCTTGTGTAAAGTTACCTTCTTGGACATGAAATGTTTTGTTCTGACGGTGGTGATATAGCATAATAAAACAGTTTTTTTTGTCTGTTTTTTTGCAAAGCATAAAGCAAAAAAGCTCTGAAAGAATTATATGCAAGCCTTGCTGAGAAAAACCCACAGCGTACATCTGAAAGTTTAAGACCACTCTTTAATGGGCCTGTAAGTGAAGCATACAGAACTTATGTGTTTAATTTACTGAATACTGCAGGGGCTAGGAGGGCTGGATTGTCTAAAGCCATTGCTGGAGCCATTATGTCCATTTGTGTGTATATGTGTGTATGAGAGATCTGTCCTGTTCTGCTTCCATAGGCTTGAGCTGCTCAGCAGTGAGCTGTAGAAAAGAACATACGACCCCGGAGAGACAGGCTTTTTGCACATCTTCAACTCTATGCTCAAATCTCACTCACTCTTACTGATGCAGTCCAGCGGTTACCCAGTGGTTTACAGGGAAAAGCGCTGTAAATTGTGTTACAGTCGCAGGGGTGTGATGTGGAACCATGATAGAGCTCCCTCTCTGCTCAAAACAAGAGACTTGGCTGATCATACAGAAAGAAAGAAAGAGAGAGCACCCTATGCCTCTTTGGTGCTTGTGGGTGGATATAACAATCAGAGCGTTAACTTTTCATTACTCCAGCAGGCTTGGGAGAGCCTTATTAAAATGCATGAAAGGTTCATTAGATATGAATCGCTGCTGAGGAGTGGCACCATAAACAATAACAACTCTGCATGAGGCCTGCTACAGCTACCTGCAAAGTGCTTGGTCCAGCTTTTGCTTCATTGAGGAACATTACATAAATGGCTAATAGCATCCCTAATACTTCCTACACATCCTGCTTTTATTTTGGACTACTCTGGTGGATGGATAAGTTCTGACCCCAACCCTCTGCCCTGATGCCTTTGATGTTAAATTTTCAATGTTCATCATAGTTTTTTCATTTATTTTTCAGTTTTAAGGACAGCATGGAAAAGTCCTCATACTCTGACTGGCTGATCAACAACAGTATAGCAGAGCTGGTGGCCTCCACTGGCCTGCCGGTCAACATTAGCGATGCCTACCAGGACCCTCGCTTCGATGCTGAGGTAGACACTCCTTCCCACTCCACAACCAGCATTCATATTAGCCCAGATTTTGGCCTACTATAATTATGAGCTTCCAACTGGGAAAATCTTGTACTTGTTTCACTTTGAGATGGAGTTAATAGTAATAAACTCAAGAAAGAAAAAGGAACCCAGGTTGTGATCAGTAATGACCGGCATGTACACACCATGTGCAACCAGGAAACAAACACAAGAGCTTTTCATATACATAATTTCATAGATTTTTAACAGTACAGCATCATACTATGATAAGTACACATATAATAATATATAAGTTGCTGTCAGAACAAAACCGTATATCTCGAAAATGGTGAGTTTTCAAGAGGTTCTTAACTTTAATATATGTTAATATAAAAAAAAAAAAATAATCTAAGTCATTGTGGAACCATGTGGAATCAATCAAAAATGTAATGTTCACACTATGGACAGCTAGCATTTTATTTATATATACCAAATATATTTATATATAGCAAAATAAACTAGGTAATTAAAGTAAGGATAGTATTTTGGAGAAAATATCAAAATAAAAATGTTTCAGAGTTTGTCCCTACTTGTAGTTTTACAAGCCTTTTTTAAGCTGTAAGCTGTTTTAAACTTATATAAAGTACAAACCCTGAACTGCCTCATATAAAACCTTATACAAAATACAAAATCCTGAACTGCCTCATATAAAAACTTATATAAACTACAAACACTGAACTGCCTCATATAAAACCTTATACAAACTACAAACCCTGAACTGCCTCATATAAAACCTTATACAAAATACAAAATCCTGAACTGCCTCATATAAAAACTTATATAAACTACAAACCCTGAACTGCCTCATATAAAACCTTATAAAAATGCAAAAACCTGAACTGCCTCATATAAAACCTTGAACTTTATACAAAATAGAAAAACCTGAACTGCCTCATATAAAATCTTATACAAAATAGAAAAACCTGAACTGCCTTTTTCAACTCCCATAAACAAAACGTTTAATGTTGCAAATAAATTTAAATGAAGTTTGTGCAAAGTCTACACTGAGTCTGACAGTAAGCATTGTTATAATTGAGGTACTGTTTCAGTTTTCCACAAGAGACAGCATGTCAGTATAGTTACATCAAAACAATTTTTGGGTACTGCTGTGAAATTGTTAGATCTTTTATAAATGGGTAAGTTGGACACACTCATTTCCGTTGTTACACTAGATCCAACTTCAGAGTTCCCTCCCCGTCCTACATTGATCAAAATGAATTATTTAATCAATGCAGGTCTATCTCAACAGTATCACAGAGTGAGTGGCATATGTGATATACTCTTTTGAAAAGACATTTCATAAAATTTCATGTCCTAAAACTGAACAAAAATTCAGGGGCCTGAAAACAAGCATCCTTTAAAAGATGTCCATGGTCTGTATATGAAACACCACATCTTCAGACATGTACAGGAAACTGCCAAACCACATATGGCAGTATGAAAGTGTTGTCATGTAGGGAAACATGTTATTTACCTGTCAGAGTGGATCTACTGGAGTGTTCCAGGTGCTGATCAGTGAGCACTACTGTAAAGGAAGAGTAACAGAGCAGAATGATGTGCTGCCCTATACCAGTCCAGCTTTGATCTCTGTCTGCTGTCGTGCACTGATGAATTATATAATACTCCTTTGATGTATCTTTGGCGAAGATTCTTTCAGATTCTCTCCTATTTCCTGCTGAAACATTGATGCCCATTTTATCAGATTGTTTTTATAGAAAAATGTCCTGTGCTGTGTATTTGACACAACCTATGAGACTGAGGCAATGTGCAGGTTTTGTAGCGAGTTACTAGTGCTTGTGTCATCTGTGTGTGTTTGCATTAGGCAGATCAGTTCTCTGGCTTCCACATCCGCTCAGTCCTGTGTGTGCCCATTTGGAACAGCAACCATCAGATTATTGGTAAGTTTGTAAATCCATTTCTGTTCTATATGTTTGTGTTGTCTCGTTTCTGCCCTGTGAGTGTGTTAATTTTGTTCTTCAGTGGTTTGTTTTTAAGTGGTATTGATAAGAGATTTATGTGCAGTTATGTGGATGCACTATATGGAAATTGTTGGCAAATATACATGTACATATCTGCTTATGCTGATATATAAACACATATAAAATGTAGTAACTAGGGCATAATGATAATAATAGTAATAATAATAGTAATCATAGTAATAATAATAAGTATAATTTATAAAGCACTTTCAATTTCAACAAAAGATATTGTCGCTGTCCGAAGAAAAGCAAGTATCTCCAAAATAGTAACTTCACAGGACAGGGCAAAAACATTCTTTACTTTCAATGTAAGTTAATGGAAAGAGATTTTATTCTAGGCGATTTTGGAGCATTTCTATTGATTCAAAAAAAAAATGAAAGACATTTTCACTCACTGCTGTGGAGGTTAGCTTGTTGCTGACTGAGAGGAAATTTCTCAGCCGGAAGGAGTTTTGAGGGGGGATGCAAGGTGATGCCACCCACTTGTTAAAAAATGACAAAAATCACCCCTCTGGTAAAACTGCCACCCCTTTCCATCAATTAGAGATTATTGTTACATGAAATCACATGCAATGTCTATTATACATACCTTAATTTCATATTTAAGATTATACACCAAGTTGCCTTGATGTGTTACACATGGGGTACACATGCTGTCCTGTACACAGGCTATGTTTGCATGCTTGTGTTTAGATATATATTGGTACTGCAACAAGGAGAAGGGGAAGCTGGCCCCTGACCCCCTGTATTAAAACATGTTCATTTCTGTGAGTGTTTGTGGATGCAGTTAAAGCTGATTGATTTCGGGGGAATATCTCATTGTGATTTTTCTGATCAACATGGCACTAATTTTTGTAAATTAAGGCCTGTTGTTTTGGCCGTGATGACTGGCATATTTTTCTGGCTTAAACACTGAATGTAGATTTCCATATAAAATTGATTAATCCCTACATGCGTCTGTGTGTGAGGGCAAGGGATTTAGTCTGTTTAGGTTTTGTGAAAACATTAATGCATAATACAACTTTATGTGCATGTGTGTTACTGGGTCTTCCTTGTGAATGTGTGAGAAGTAGAGGGAGTGTGAGGGTGAGAGTAAGTGTGCCTGTGCAGGTCATACAGCATGTGTGGGTGTATATGTGTGTGGGTGGACTATCAGGAAACAGACTGAAAATCATTATAACTGCACAACAGCAAGTAGAGGTGCAGAACAGAGTCAAGGATATGTTCATTCAAAAGGATGTTCTTTCTCTGACTCTCTGCTCCCTCCCTCCCTCTTTCTCTCTCTCTCTCTCTCTCTCTCTCTCTCTCTTTCTCACTCTCACTCTACTGCCTTCTCTCTCTTGCCACAAAACTTTCACTCAAATCCTCAGCATTTCTCTGCTTAAATACAGAATAGATAAGGTTTTCATTCTTAGTAAATGCAGCCAAATGAAGGTTACAAGAGTGAGGAATTTCAGCAACAGAAGCAGCATTTTTCACAGCTCCTGTTACTCTTAGATTTGCCTTTAGGTGGAATTTCATCTACTCTAGTCAGCATAGCTGATGAATACACCTTTACAAGCGTAGTCCCTCTCTGTCTGTAAAAATGGAATTCTCCATTAACTGTCAATTAGACTCTTGAGCCCAGCCCTTGATTTCTTTAATGTGTCAGTTAAAAGGAAGGAGAAGCGAAAGAGGTCGTTTTCTCTCTGGCATCCTGCCCAATCACAGTGCTGGAACACGAAAGCCGCTGAGGATACTCCCACAGCAGCAACACGACTACGAACTCACGATTACACAAGCAATATTCTTCGTCATCATCACCGTACACACACATACACAGTCCACGCCCACACACTTCAGCCTTTCATCCTTCCATTCGCACATACCTCTCTCTCATCTACAAAAACTTCTCCTTTATCTCTTCCTGTCCTAGATATTCTAGCAGTATAGAGTATAGATTGAGGGAAGATCAGTCTTTTTAGCAGCGTTCACTAATTAGGGCTGTAACATTTAACCCTCACAGCCATACAATTACATTAACCCTTCAATTTGAATTTCTTGCATCATAGATTCTCATCATTTCTCTATTTTGATTATTATAGCTACTCTATGCTTGTATTACTTTCTAATTCTTTTCTATTTTTATTCAGAATTACTTTACCAAAACATACAGTTTTCTAGCCTTATTCTGATGTTGTTTATTTTGTGTCTCATTGTTGGTTATTGTGTTGCCCTGTTATCTTTTATGCACTTCTTCAGGCTCATTGTAAGCCAGATGGTTGATCAGTGAACAGCTCTATTAAAGAAGTGTAATGGGCTGTATCTTAAGAGCAGTATCAGAAGGGCCATATCTCCAGGGTAGTTCTGAATATGCTGTAGGACTTTATCTGTCGGGAGAAATTTTCAGAGAGTTTTTACTATAGAGCAGTGGCCATAAAGTTATGTCTCTAGAGCATTATCTACAGGGTTCTAGCTCTAGAGAAATAACACTAGGGCTGTATTTCTAGTGTAAAAGATATAGGATTGTGTCTTTAGGGCATGAGACTATAGGGTTGTAAAATCTAGAGCAATAGCTACAGGGTTGTATCTCCAGAGCAATACCTAAAGGGTTTTGTCACTATAGCAGCAGCAATAGGGTTGTGTCTCTAGAGTAGTAGGTCTAGTGTTTTATGTCTAGAGCAGCAACTACAGAGCTGTGTTGCTAAAGTATATATGGAGTTGTATTGCTAGAGCAATAACTGTAGAGTTGTATCTCCAGAGCAGTAACTACAGCGTTGTATCTCAGGAGCAGCAGTTATAGTATCATATCTCTTATTCAATGTCTATAGACATGCAGCTCTCGATCAATAACTATAGCGTTGCATCTCTAGAGCAGTAACTATAGGGTTACATTTCTGGAGCAGTACTTATAGGGTCATGTGTCTAAGGTTATATCTCTAGAGCAGTGACTATAGAGGTGCATCTCTAGACCAGTGACTATCTGGTTGTATATCTAAAGCAATGACTATAGAGGTGCATTTCTTGGACCAGTAACTATCTGGATGTATATCGAAAGCAGTGACTATAGAGGTACATCTCTAGACCAGTGACTATCTGGTTGTATGTCTAAAGAAGTGACTACAGGGGTGCATCTCTAAACTAGTGATTATCTGGTTGTATAATTAAAACAGTGACTATAGAGGTGCATCTCTAGACCAGTGACTATCTGGTTGTATAATTAAAACAGTGACTATAGAGGTGCATCTCTAGACCAGTGACTATCTGGTTGTATAATTAAAACAGTGACTATAGAGGTGCATCTCTAGACCAGTAACTATCTGGTTGTATGTCAAAAACAGCAACAGTAGAGGTGCATTTCTTGGACCAGTGACAGCCGGGTTCTGTATCTAAAGGCAATAGGGTTGTATCTCTAGAGCAGTAACTATACAACTAGATCTATAAAGCAGTGACTTCAGGGTTGTACCTGTACAGCAGTAGCTATAGGGATGTGTCTCTAGAGCAATGGCTACAGGGTTGGATCTCTAAAGGAATAACTAGAGAACTCAATCTAGAGTAGTGACAATAGGGTTGTATCTCTAGAGCAGTGGCTGTAAGATTTCTAGGACAGTAGCTATAGGATTGTATATTTCGTGTCAATACAGTTGTGTCACTAGAGCAGTCACTATATGGCTCTAGAGCATAGGAACTGAATTAAACAGGCCAGTGTGGCTGCGGGTTTTCATTCCAAAAAGAAGAAGCAAACATGATATGCTGTTTGCAGACTGAGACCAACTGATTAAACTAGCAGAATAAGGTAAATTCCTGCTGGTTTAGAATGAAAACCATTCTAAACATGCTGCCACACTGTCCATTTGCAGATAATCTCAGGCACCCCTTCACTAGAGCAGTAACTATATGGTTGCATTTCCAGAGCAATAACTGTGAAGTTGTATCTCTGGAGTTGTATCTCAAGAGCAATAACTATAGAGGCATATCTCTAGAGCAATAACAATAAAATTGTATCTCTACATCAGTAGGGCTGTATCTTTAGAGCAGCAGCTGTAGCACTGTATCTCTAGCGCAGCAGCTCTATGCTCAGCTTTATGAATGAGCATAATGAGGGGATGCGTGGGAGGATGAGCAGGGGGCTGGGGGGTGAGTCTGTCGATAAAAGCACAAACCAGTTTTAATTGCCCGCCAGCATTTGCCACACTGGTGAGAGAGAGAGAGAGAAAGAGGGAGAGAGAGGGAGGGAGAGAAGAAGAGAGAGATATTTGACTCCTTCATTGAAACAGATAAAATGGTTGGCTTATTTTAATGATCATGCAGCCATAATAATAACAATAAAACTCTCATCTTGTATATATGGGCAGCAATATGAAGAAGTATGAGAGAGAAAGTCAGACATAAGCTGCATGCTGTGTGCTTGTGCATGTGTTGCAGGTGTGGCACAGGTCCTGAACAGGTTGGATGGGAAACCATTTGATGATGCAGATCAAAGACTGTTTGAGGTACGACAAATGCATTTGGTTTTGACGCTTTGAAAACTACAGTGATACTTTGTGTTGCCTGATGCTTTACCATATTTTCACTTTTTCTTTCACTGTTCTCTCTCTTTCTTTCTCTCTCAGGCGTTTGTGATATTCTGTGGGTTAGGGATCAATAACACTATAATGTACGATCAGGTGAAGAAATCCTGGGCCAAACAGTCGGTCGCACTGGATGTAAGTTTTTCTTGCTCAGACAGACGGAGAGACAGACACACTCACATGCATAGAAATCTTCATACACAAGCACACACATACACATAATAATGTGTATATCTGGGAGAGATATGCAGAAAGGATGAATTTGATTGGTGGACTGTTGGCCTAGTTTTGGAGGAACAGGGGTAAGGAGAGGGCGGAGTTTCGTGACTGCATGGCGGCCGACAGCAGCTATGACTCATACAGGGCACTGAACTGACACCCCGCCACTGCCCCCCCAAACTCCCACTTCTCTGCACTCATTTCACTCTCCTCTTACTCTCCCTCCCCCCCTTTCCCCCCTCTTTAACTGCTCTCTTTGTCTTTTTGCATTTCTCTCATTCACACTTCACTTCCTCCTCTCATGTCCTCTATCTCTGTGTATCGTTTTCTCTATCACCAGTGACCTCTGGACCACTGACCACTGCTCTCTCTCTCTCACTCTCCGTTGCTCTTTACTTCTGAATCCTCTTCACTTCTTACAGTGCATTCCCCATAAATTGTACAGTGACACATTTGTTTGTTGTGTTAGCTTTGTACTCCAGCATGTTGCATTTGTAATAAAACAGTGACTGTACAAACTGTCAACTTTGTCAATGGACTTTACATTTGAAGTAGGGGAACCATATAGGAATCACAGCCTTTTTATACAGGACCCAATTAAAATGAACATAAGTAAAAGTAAAAAATCTTAAATAAAATGATCACATTTAGTACTTGCAAATCATTTGAGATCAATGATTACCTGAAATCTGCGACCCATTCATCAGTGTTTCCCAACCTTAGTCCTGCAGGTACACTGCTTTTCATATTCTAGTGCTTTTCCTGCTTTAACACACCCACATCAACTCTGTAAGGGGTTGTAATCAGGGTTGGCCAAAATACTTTGTGTGAAAAAATAGTGATGGCTGAATTCTGAATATGCTGTCCAAATGGATTCAATAATGTATACCATTGTAATACATGAAAAAGTAAAGAATTATAAATAGAATAAATTTAGTATACTTTTTACATTATATCTTGGTAAGGCAGAGAGGAAAAACGCTGTACCTCACCTTACTGGTTCGCAGTTTTCTGCATATAAAACATGTAAATGTCTGTTAAAATATGTATGTTGAAAAATTCCCTATCATTCACTATCACTGCTGCTCCCACAATCCCCTGAGCAGAAGTCCGGTACAACACCAATGCTGATCACTTGCAAACATGTCCTCTTAGAATATTAGTTTAATCATTCCTTAAAAAGAGCTCAGTAACACTGAAATTACTAACTCGTTCATCACAATGATTTATTGGTCTACTCCGGCTTTAGCAGAGCTCAGCAGCACTGAGATTAATAACAGATCATCACATTGCAGGAACTTCAGTATTTGTAAACAGGCTGTTAACTAAGATCCTGTTTAGAGTTCGTCTAGCAAGCATGTTTGCTAAATGTTGTGTGCTGATTCTAAAATAATTCATAAACACGTACTGAAGGTGTTTCTTTTGAATATTGTAAGTTTTTTATTTAGTGGGTAAGTATTCTAACAGTATTCTACAAATGTAAAAAGTAACTCTATTCTGAATACTGCCTTTACGCAGTATAACTTGGACTGAATATAGATACTTAATGTTTGTACTCTGAATACGTATTCCCAATATTTGTATTTTTATCATTTGTATCATTACTTCTAGCCCTGGTTGTAAATGAGCTGATTAGTTGGATTAGCTTTGTTGGGAGCAGGGAAAACACTAAACACTGCCATAGACATGAGGAGACACTAATCCTGTGCTCTGTAATGCAGCAATTTCCAGATCCTTCTTGTTTTGAAGACTTTTTGCCTTCACTCTTCTTTTCAGCAGGTGAAATTAATGTTTAATGGTGTTCAGGCTGAGTGTCATGAACATTATTACTTTTACCCTTAAAAGCTCCATAGCTACTTTACTCTAAAAAAGCATGCTTTGAATTTACTTGAATCAAATGTGCACATCGATTCCTCAGGATGAAACTACATTACATCAACGCAATTCTTCCCAAAAGTAAGTAAAAAAGTCAATAATTGCATTTATGTAATATATATTTATTCATGCAGGACCAATGACTTTAAATCAATTACAATCAATGCAACATTTTTGTAGTGTAGTATGTTTCAGATTATTGTACTGCTGCAAAGACGAGCGGTGTCCAGTGAGTTTTGAGCCATTTGGTTGGATCTGGGCATTGCAGATGCCTCTGTATGCCTCAGAACAGTCCGATGCTCATCAATGAAAACAAAATGAGTCAGTTCCCTTGGCAGTCATACATGCCTTTGCCAGGTTAATCTTCATCTAATCTGTCCATATGAATTTGTCCCTGAACACCACAGGTTATGTAATTACTTTTTTAGCAAGCTGCAGCCTGTTTGTAGTTTGTGGGCACCTGTTTGTCCAATGTTTCTTCTGAAATCAACATTATAAATAGGGAGTGTGTCCCCCCTTAACAGCATCTTCTCTTTTGTGAAGTCTTTACATTGTTGGAAGATGGCTGTGAGGATTTGATTTCATTCAGCTACAAGAGTATTAGTGAAGTCAGGTACTGATGTTGGATGATTAGTTCTGAATCACAAATGTCACACCATCCCATCCCAGGGTCAAAAGTATTTGATGGTACTCCGTCATTCCAGGGAATGATGGTGACTTGTGCAGCAATAGTCTTTTTATGCTATACAGAACTATTCTTTAAATAATATATCGTTTACCATAGAAACACATGCATCTCCAAAATGGTAGCTTTACAGGAGATCTTTTAATGTAGTTTTATGTAAATAGGTTTTATTCCAGGTGATTGTGGAATATGTCTATTAGTCCATTCATCATGAAATTTTTACACCATGTGAAGGACAGCTGCCATGTTCAAATGATGTAGAAAAATAAAAATAAAAAACAAATACATAGATACGTGTTTTTTTGGACAGCAGGTTCGCCTTCATGGATATCATGGAAGTATCAAGAATTTTTTTAAATAAGCAAAGAACTTCTTAAGCATTCAAATGATTGATTGACTTGATCTTTCAAATTTTTCAGCGAACAATAGTTTTCACACCTAAAAAGGAGTTATGCTGTAATGTAAAAACAGAAGTAGTCAGGAATAACACAAAAAATCTCAAAGCAGTATTAACATTATTAAAAGAACTCCCTCTTTAAGGATGTACCTTTGAATGAAAACTGATATTCTGCATCTTCACATTTGAAATCCATTGTGCTGGCATAGAGAACAAAAATTGTGTCACTGTCCAGTTAATTATGCACAGTATCTCTCTCTCTCTGTCTCTGTGTCTCTGTCTCTCTCTCTAATTCTGTCTGCTTCACTGCCTTTCTCTCAGGTGAAAGTGTACATTACATGCTGGTTATCTGTGACCTCCACCTATCTATGAAGCTCTGATCCCATTTAGAGAACTAAAGCTTCAGTCAAAGTACCTATAGATTGTCAGTGAAAGCTGACATATACTTTTGTGAACAAAGGAACCTTTCACAAGGTGAGAGAGGGCAACCTGATCTCTTGAGTCTAAATGTATTTCCTGCAAGTGGATTTACTTTCAGTGGGTCAGGCTCTGTGCATAAGCAGGTTTATGGTTACAAGCTATGACTCAGGCATTGTATGTATTTACTATTAGACAGCACATCAATGCAGTGGATATACAGTACTACGTACTCCTCATCGAAGAGGAGTGCACATTCACTGGCTACACAAAGTGTTTTTTACACCATATTGGTCATAATGTGATAAGTACCTCTGAGAAGGCACACACTGAGGAATGTCTTTGTGTGTGCAGGTGTGTGTAGACAGTACTATAGATTATAGAGTGTGGAGATGTATAACCCTTGGCGGTGCTGAATAAACATGAGCAAGCTTGATCAAATAAGGAATTGAGAGAGTAAGGAACTGGAGTTTATTTCTCAGCAGATGCATACACACACACACACACACCCACACGCACACACACACGAGTGGCTTGGGAGCAAAATGTGCCGCTTCAGTGAGCACTGAGGGAGAGAAAGCGGGATGTACCACTTTATTATCTAGATCTCTGCATAAAGACAGGGGCTTTGATGCTGTTGTCTAAATTAGTGTGTGTGTGTGCACCACTGGCCTGTAGAACAAAGTATTGTAATAAAGCGGGTTCATTGTATTGGGTTTGTGCTGAGAATACATACATATTGTACTTGCACTCACCCCCTATGACTGTGTTTGTTTCAGAAAGCTTGGTTCATTTGTATAAATTGTTGTAGGATGGGTCTGCCATAAACAGACCTTTTTCACAAACTGAGTATTGTTGCTAATGCTATAGTACATTAATTAATTTTCACGCATTAGTAACACTGCATTTAAGTCAGAAACCAGCCAAAAAGCTTCCAACACTCTGTGTATAGCACTGTCCACTCTCTACTTTTGTGCACCCTGCTTTCACTTTAACTCTTCTATCATTCCAATCTTAAAACCAGCAAGATACAGCTGTTTTCCCAACAGAAGCTGTTTCCACAGGTGTCACTAAAATGTTCACCTGCAAAGAGACACTAACATTCACACAAGCAGCTACCCAAACACACCTTAGCTGCCCTGCCAATTTCTTTCTCATGTGCGTGATGGCTAAAGGAAATATTTCTGAGGAGACAGAAATATAAGGATATAACGAAGGGGAAAGTCGAAAGAAAAGAAGTGAAAAAATGGAATTTCCAAAACTGGTGTTCAAGAAATTATTAAAAGATATAGAGAAAGTGGGACTCCTAACAACCATGCAAGACCTGATAGACCATCAAAACTGTCTAAGTTTTAATCTTTGAAAGACGAAAAAACAAGAAAATTAGCACACAGAAACTGAACATCTGATATATGGAGTAAGGTTTTATTGACTGAAGAGTCTAAATTTGAGATCTGTGGCAGTAACAGAAGGCAGTATGTATGCCATTGGAGCAAATAGAGACACTTTGAACCATGAACCTTGTCTACAACCATCAGTCAAGTATCATGAATGTTAATAAGCACAAACAAATTTTAATACATCATTCAGTAAGCCTATGAAAAAGTGTATTTTACAACAAGATAATGACCCCAAGCACACTGCTAAGAAGATCAAGATGCACATATTAAACAAAGGAGCTTCATTTTTAGTTTTATTTTTTTCCTCAATATGTTAAACTCAGGAAATAAACACTTATTTTGCATTAAAATCATCAGAAATGTGTTCTCTGTGGATTAACTTATTTACACTTAGAAAAGCAACAAAACTTGACAAAATTTGACAAGGGGGGCCCAAACATTTGCAAACAGTGCCTTTTGCACTGGCTCTTTTCAAGCAATCTATCAGTGAATATGTATCCAAGTAAACACATTCACAAACACTGCAGTGGAGGCAAACTCACACCAGAACCTGCTTAACTCAATTATTCACACCCTCTATATCAAGGTTGTCAACTCCAGCCCTGGAGGGCCACAGCTCTGCACAGCATGTTGCTTTCTTTGCTTTAGCACACCTGATTCAATTCAACAGCTAATTGGCAAGCTCTTTATAGGCTGAATCAGAACGAGGTGTTACACATTACTGTGCTGTTTGTGTAGAAAGTGTTAAACACAAGCTGCAGTGCTAAATAACACCTCACTGTGATTAAAGAGTGTGTGTGTATCTTTGTTTCTCTCTCTGCAGGTGCTGTCGTACCATGCCACCTGCTCCAAGACAGAGGTGGACAAGTTTAAGGTGAAGCATGTTGGAGAGTCACGAACAGTGATTGTACATTGCAGAACTGAATGACCCCTCCTTGACCAAAGACAATTAATTTACTGACAAATTAGTGGCAGGAAAAGATCAATCAGATCATTAGTGTGTGCACCTTGTAACATATCAACATTCCAACAAACAAGGTGTCAAACAGTTGCAAATGTTTTACCCTCTAAACAAGTTCATAAATTATAAACGAGTGTTAAAAAAACACAGTTTCCATTTTTAACCATGAGGTTAATTGAAATCAATAATTTAAAGAATGAAATATGATGGCAGCACACCGATTCATGTACACATACTTTCAGATTGAGTTTATTGTACCCTATTTATTAATGATTAAGCTAGTCAATAGCTCATCAGTGTTCCTGCATTATTGATACCATCACTGACTTTTCACTCTTTTCCCCCGTTAGTAACAGCACAATCCATCATATCAGACTTGTTCCACAACCGTTTCTGCTGGAGCTCGGAAGCCTGCATGTTTCACGACATACATTAGTGCCTGTTTCATAGACTAGTGCTCATTTGAACACTTGTTTGTTTTTCTTTCTTTTACATGTAGGCTACTCTCTCTTTCTTGGCCTCTGGGCCATATGTATGTACATGCACAGGCTTAGTGCAAAATGTGCCCTGATGCGACTGGAGTATGGCCTCACTGAGATGCATCTGAGATGAAAGGTCATTGTGCTAAGACTGCGCAGACGACTGCAAACTGCACACAGGACTGCCTACTATCAGCACTCTCATGAGGCGCAGGGTTTAAAAAGCACAGTGAGGAAAAAACAGAGATAGTGGTGTTAATAAATGAAGTTTTCCTACACCAAGACATTCTACAGGGGTGTAATTCTACTCCAGATAAAAAAAAAAAACATATACAACCCCATTTTCAAAAAAGTTGGGAAATAAAAATAGAATGCAATGATATGCAAATCATGTAAACCATATTTTTTAAGGAAAATACTACAAAGACAACATATCAAATGTTGAAACTGAGAAATTTTATTGTTTTTTGAAAAATACATGCCAATTTTGAATTTAATGCCAACAACGCATTCCAAGAAAGTTGGGACGGGGGCATGTTTACCACTGTTTTCCCATTCTTGTTTGATATAGGATTTCAGCTGCTCAATAATTCGGGGACTCATTTGTTGTATTTTTCATTTCATAATGCGCCAAATGTTCTCAGTGGATGACAGGTCTGGACTGCAGGCAGGTCAGTTTAGCACCCAGACTTTTTTAATACGGAGCAATGCTGCTGTAATACATGCAGAATAGGGTCTGACATTGTCTTGCTGAAATAAGCAAGGCCTTCCCTGAAAAAGACGTTGCCTGGATGGCAGCATATGTTGCCATCGTTCAGCATTATTCACAGATGTGCCAGTCACCAATGCCGTGCGCGCTAATGCTCCCCCATAGCATCATGAATACTGGCCTTTGAACTGTGCACTGATAACAAGCTGAGTGGTCTTTAGTCCAGAGGACACAGTGTCCATGATTTCCAAAAAGAATTTCACATTTTGATTCGTCGGACCACAGGACACCTTTCTACTTCCCCCAAGTCCATTTTAAATGAGCTCGGGCCCAGAGAAGGTGGCAGCGCTTCTGGATCCTGATTATATATGTATATTATTATTATATTATTTCCTCTACAGAATCATGTCTGTTTTTTTAATGCAGTGCCGTCTGAGAGCCCAAAGATCATGGCCAGCAAATACTGTTTTTGGCCTCGTCCCTTGCATATAGATGATGAAAAGCAAAAGTTCTATGCTGTTTTATGTTGCGAAACGTTATTCTTGAATTGTTGCACTATTTGCTCATGCAGTCTTTCACAGTGGTGAACCCCTCCTCATCTTTACTTCTGAAAGACTCAGCCTCTCTGGAATGCTCTTTTTATACCCAATTATGTTACTGACTTGTTGCCAGTCAACCACCAGGTATCTTTTTTAGCATTACACAACTTTACCAGATTTTTGTTGCCCTGTCCCAACTTTTTTGGAACATGCTGTTGGCATCAAATTCAAAATGGGCAATATTTTCAAAAACAATACAATTTTTCAGTTTCAACATTTGATATGTTGTCTATTTTCAATAAAATATATGATTTGAATGATCTAACCCCAAATATGTGTGTGTATATATATATATATATATATATATATATACACATATATATACACATACATATATATACATATATATATATATATATATATATATATATATATATGTATACAAACAAGAAAAAGACCTCTCAAAAGTTTGGTCACACCTACCTAAATATGTATTCTGATCTAAAGACTTATGCTTGAATGTAGATACAATTTCTTCTAACACAAATACAGGAAGTAACTGCCTATGTATTAAAATGATTTCCCAAACAAAATATTCAATTTAAGTAATAGAAAAATGCCCCCTAACAAGTCGTTTTCAGTAACAGGTCTCAGCAAATGTGTATCTTCTTCAGTCCTGTTGAAAAGCCTGTTGGCTTCACTATTATTCTAAACAATGAAAAATAGTAAAAAAAAATAAAGAAAAACTCTTTATGAGTAAGTGTGCCCAAACTTTTGGAGGTAGTGTTTGTACAGTCATATGCCCTGGCCAAATTCCTTGTTTTGTTCATTTTGTAAATGAAAATAAGTTAATACATCCCTTACAGCAAACACTTCTGCTCATTTTAATGCAACATTACTCTTTATTTACTGAATTTAACACACTGGAAAAAAAAATAAAACCTGTGCCCTATGCAAAAGTTATGGCACATTTTTGTTTCATGTATTTTTTACAATGCGTTATGCTCTGCCAGTAAATAGAAATTGGGCTCTATAAATGCAGAAAATTGCCATTTTTACATGCGTTCTTTGTCAAGGATGTGTTAACTTATTTGCACAAAACGGGGTTGTTCTTTTGCACATGGTAGTAATTCTGAGCTGAAATGATGTTATTTTGAATGTAAATATTTTTTCAACACATTTTTGAGGCATATCTCTATCTGGTCACTGTGTCTGCTGCAAAAGGAAGTCTCCCAGCAGCACGCTTTGAGACACTAACGCAAATTTACAGCTGGTTTTAAAAGGCAGAGAAAAATCCATGATAAATTGGCTGCTGCTAGTTGCTCAAACTTTAATAAATAGATTGGAATATGTGATCTGGCACCAATATGTAATTACTTCCAATATCTCTGCCCACTTTCTATGCAGTCCTCCCACGTTTTGCATAATGCCTATGCACAAGGGAGAAAAGTGCATTTTGCGTGGTTCCATACTCACGGCCTATAAATTGCGCATTTAAGCTTGTGCACCAGTTTGCACATAACATGCAGACAGAATGCATTTACATCTGAAACTGGCTCAAAAGGCTTAGTACATCAGACCCTCACTCTTTTTCTCTCTCTTTGTCTTTCTCTCACTCACTTGCTTACATATTCACTCTTTCTGTCTTTCACTCGTACAGTCACTCTTTTACATCCTTGTTGTTCTCTCGTACATTCACTATCTCTCTCACACATTTTTTATCTTTATCTGTTTTTCTCTTATGCACTCCCTCTCCTACATTTTCTCTGTATCTCTCCCTCCCTTCCTACCTCTCTCTGTCTCACTCACGCTGGGGTGCGTTTTAAATGTCACTGAAACACAAGCTCAACAGCCATTCATAAAGTCAGCGCTGCAGCAGCGCTAAAGCACACACTGACCTTACAGGCTTAAAGACAAACACTGCAGCAGAGCTAATGCGACACACAGGAGCACCTCTCTCTTCTCTCTCTCTATCTCATCTGTATATACAGGAAACGTACAGCACACAGTGTATTGTAGAGTCTGTGGATGTAGAGAGAGGGAGAGATAGGAAAAAGATACAGAGAGAATGTTGGAAAGTTATTCATTTCCGTTCTCATTCTGTCTGGGCTCTGGGGACTATTCTCCGAAAGGAAGAAAAGCAGGTTACAACCTGGAGCTGTGATACTGACACCACAGCATACAGCCCATGTTTGAGTAATGTGGAAAAATTCTTCAATTAGAGTCAGAAATAACCAGGGGTGGAGTGCAAAAATGTCCCCATGTTGAACATTCTTAGTACAGGGCCAAAAAGTCCCCAAAATAAAAGAATAAATTAGTGTGAATAAATGTCCTTTTTGCACCAATGAAATGGCCAGAACTTTGTGCAGGGCTGCTGCAAAGACTCAAAATTCAATTCTCCTCCATCAGTTCTTTATTTTTTCCCAAATAATATAGAAAGGAACTTAATCTATACTTTGTGAAATTTGTAAAATGTTCTGCTGTTTCAGATTACACCACTATTCTGATTAAATTAATAGACTTTGGTTTTGCCACTGAGGCAAATTAAGAGGGTGCAGGGAGGACATGTCCCTTCCATATAGAAAATACTCTCATAGTTAGATCTAACTTCAGCACCCATATGAACTACATAGTGCACAATTGTTAACTCAGGGATCAGCCATCGTCAGTTGCTGATGTAAGCACTGATGAAAGAGGTTTTAGTTTTTTTCTGTAGGATGAAGGCTACAAGCTTCCTCCGCATCATGTAAAGCCAGGCACCGTATCACGTGAACTGCCACTAACACAAAGTGTTAGGGCGTTGGTGGTGTAGTGGTGAGCATTGCTGCCTTCCAAGCAGTTGACCTGGGTTAATTTCCCTGCCAAGGTATCGTCTTGGGCTGGAGGTTAGGGAACCAGCCTTGTGACCGTAAGGCCGCCGGTTCGATCCCTTAAAACCAACAGTATGTGACTGAAGTGCCCTTGAGCAAGGCACCTAACCCCCAACTGCTTACCAGGTGCTGTGGATAGGGCTGCCCACCTAGTGTGCTCACTGCCCCCTAGTGTGTGTGATCACTGGTGTGTATGTGGTGTTTCACTACATGGATGAGTAAAATGCAGAGGTTCCCTGTTGTGGGATTAATAAGGGTCACTTAATCTGAAGTGTTGGACACCTGAACATGCTTAATGGAGAACGCCACACCAATCAGGCATAACATTATGACCACCTCCTTGTCTCTATGCTCATTGTGCATTTTATCAGCTCCACTTACTATATAGGTGCACTTTGTAGTTCTACAATTACAGACTGTAGTCCATCTGTTTCTCTGCATACTTTGTTAACCCCGATTTACCCTGTTCTTCAGTGGTCAGGACCCCCATGGACCCTCACAGAGCAGGGACTATTTGGGTGGTGGATCATTCTCAGCACTGCAGTGACACTGCCCTTGTGGTGGTGTGTTAGTGTGTGTTTCACTGGTACAAGTGGATCAGACACAGCAGTGCTGAATAATTTTCTCAGAAGAAATGTACTCTGTTGATAGTCACTTGTGGTTTTTCTGGAAAGGTTTGCTTTTGTGACGTATATTTTGTTTTGTGCAAGTTTGACCATTTTGGAAAGAAAAAGTGTAATTTTGGCCAGCAAGCCCCTATTGTGTGTTAGTATTTAGTATTGTGTGTTTTAAATGTTTGACTTCTGAATGAACAAGTGTTCCAACAACTGAGAAAAACTGTAATTATTATCATATATATCCTAATTGCTGCATTTTGCTGAAATATTTATACTGTAGATCACATTGAGAATTGTAGTGTCACAAGGAAAAAAATGCCATTGTAATTCCCAACAAAACTGAATCTCTTTACTGAATATATATGATATTCATATTATTTGTTTTTGTGTTTTACTATTGTCATGCAAATCATAAACACAAAGGTATGAATATGATGAGTGTAATTTTAAATGTACTTGCCCATTTCTACATTTGCAGTGATAAATGTGAGGTATAGCCCCATGACCTTCGCCCCCCACCCCAACTTGTCAAATTACATTTGCCCCACTGGGTTTCGCGGACCGAGATTAAGTCTAGTTCTGGACTGCATTTCCTTTTCAATAGAGAATCTTCATTCAGAATGTTGTGGACAGTGCCAACCCTCTATGTCCAAAAGTATCCAGACACCCTTCTAAAAGTAGTTTGTAAAGCAGTGAATTCAGCTATTTTAAGGTGCACCCATTTCTGACACAGCTGTTTTACTGTGCACACGCAGCTTGTATAATCTCAATAGAAAAGCCAATAGTATTGCTCTGGAGAAGCCACACATGATCCTAAGGTCACCATGCCCCGTACCAAGTGTCAGCTAGAGGGGTATAAATCTCCCCACCTTTGGGCTGTGGAGTAGTGAAACTTTCTCCAGAGTGATGGACCTCCATCCTATATCGCTGGGATGAGTTGGAGTAGCGTCTGTGATCCAGAACTAATTACCAGTCATTTGTGTATAGAAATGGCAAGTGAACTCAGACCGTGAGGGCAAAAAAGGCCCCTTAATAAGTATGATTTCCTAGCTTCAGTCCAAAGGCCTCAAATATATAGCAACAATATTAAACATCCTTTGGACATTGGACTAGCTGTAATCCTCACTTAAACCTTCACCAAAGTCTAATGAACAGACTACCCTAGCTGCTTCCCTTTCCTGTTCACCATTGATATTGATATAATTAGTAATAGAATTAATGGATATCTACAATTAGCAGTTGTCAATGACGTCACTGAAACACAACACCAAATTCCCTTGCCAATGTTTTCTCATTAGCCTCTCTCTCTATCTCTCTGCCTCTCTCACTCTCTGTAAGCTCTATGTATAGCACCCTCATTAGCAGTTTATCTGTGTGCTGTTAAGAGTCTCAGCCATCCAGAACGTTCTCAGCTTTAATTGGGGGTGCAGACGCTGTGGAATCAGAAACATTTTGAGGAGCAAGTAGTCAGTGAAGAGCTACAGCGAGCGGCTCCATTCACAAAGTGTCTGAATGGAAGTGAATGAGGCTCAGGAACATACTGCAGCCTGCTCGTATGTTCTTTTCCATATCCTGAGACACTCCCTCTCTGCTTTTCCTCCTGATCTTTTAGACTCCTCTTTTTTGTCTTAGTGTTTCTGTCCCTCTCTTTTGTTTCTTCTGTGTCTCTCTGCTTTGTTAGCTCCAAGAGAGTAGTAACGTTCCTGCCAGCTCTCTGTGTCTCAAAGCGTTAAAGAGATTTGCATTGGCGAGTTTCGTATTGAATTGTGCCCACAAATCAGTTTGACTCAAGGTATCTCCTCTGTGTCCTGCTTGTACAAGTATTGGTACAATCATTCTTTCTTTTATTTTTTTCCTTTTATTTATTGTGTTTTCTTGATTTTTTTTTTATTTTTTATTTTGCATGCTTGGTAACAACAACCGTTTCCTAAAAACAGTGCTTATGTTCTGCTGTAAATAAGTTTGTTATGTACAGTACTGTGCCAAAATCAGAGATCTCTTTATTTATTTATTTTCCAGGCAACAAGACCAACAAGTACAAGTTATTTATTTTTTGGGAGAAAAATCTCTTATATCTGATCATGAAGGAGAGTAGATATAAGATAATCAACTTGCATAAGAAAAGGATAAGTCAAAGGAAAATATGTGGAAAACAGGAGTGTCCAAAGAAATTCAAAAAGATATAGGGAAAATGGGACTCCTAGCAACCATGCAAGACCAAAACTGTCACCATTAGGTAAACTATATTAAGAGCTTCAATCTTTGAGAGAGAGCAGAAAATCAAGCATCACTGTTGCTTCAGATCTGAAAAAATCCACAGGTGTTTCTGTCCATCCTTCCACTGTGAGAAGACAACTCAACACTATGAGTCTAAAGGATGTGTAGCTGGTAAGTCGTTACTGAGAAAAGGAAACAGACAAAAAAGAAGAATATTTGCAGATCAAATAAAAAAGCTGCTGGTGTTCTCAAAACAATGGACCAACCATCTCAGAGTCCAGACCTCAGCCGTCACTGAATGTGTTTGGGATTATTTGGATCGTGAGAAGCAGGAAATGCAACCAACTTCTAAGACTGAACTTTTGTGGAAAAATATCGCTGAAGATTTTTTGAAAAGGTGAAGGCAGGTCTGCACTAAAGGCAAAGCCTGGACACACTGAATACTAAAAAATATTATCTTTTTTAACAACAACTTGTACTTATTGGCCATTTGGACTGGAGACTAAATGAAGCTGGGGGAGGTCTCTGACTTTTGCACAGTACTGTACTTAGAACCCTTTCTCTGGCTAAGCTAAACTCGTCAGTTTTGGAGTCACATTGAAGTGGACATTGGTGCTTTTGCCTGTGTCCCATTCAAAGTACCACTCAATTTTTTAAGTACTCCTGCATTTGGTGGCAATAATCAACTCTTTTTGAAGAAAGAAAGCTCTTTTTGACAGCCAACAATAGTTGATGAAACAGCTTTTAAAACTCACTCTCTCTCTCTGTGTATTTCAGGCAGCTAATATCCCTCTGGTGTGTGAGTTGGGCATTGATAAGCTATCCTTTGATGACTTCTCTCTGGATGTGGATGCCATGATAACTGCTGCCCTGCGCATGTTCATGGAACTTGGGATGCTGCAGAAATTTAAGATAGACTATGAGGTGATACACGCTTCTTAATGGTGGTTTTCCAGCATGTATTATTGTAGTTTTATGTGGATATGCCTACACACAAACCTGACCCTAACCTTAACCTTAACCTCAGCAAACGAAAGGCAGTTTTGTGAGACTGCTGCATTCTGCATAAAAAGCATATTTTGCACCCCATTTTTAACTTACAGAGTGATTGAAGTACACACAGATCCTCTGCTAAGACCTCGTATTTTTTCATACTTTGGCATTCTGGGGCCTTTTTATTGCATCTCCCAGTGCTTCATTCAATAAGAGGTCATGCTGCTCTGAATGACAAAGTGAAGGACTCAAATGCACTTTTTTCTTTTCTATCTCTGCATAACTTTGCTTTTATCTGCTCCTATTCATCTCCCTTTATCACAGTCTAGCTGAAAATGCCAAGGTTTAAAAACCTTTCCAGCCTTTTACCCCTCACTCTACCCTTTCACTCTGTGTATGAAAATGCTGTAGGAGAAAATTCTCTCACATGCTTGTCTCCTTCTGTTTTTCTCACTTTCTCTTTCTCTATTTCTGACATGCCCTCTTCCTTTCTCTCTAGACTCTGTGTAGGTGGCTGCTGACTGTAAGGAAGAACTACCGTATGGTTCTGTACCATAACTGGAGGCACGCGTTCAACGTCTGCCAGTGCATGTTTGCCATGCTTACTGTGAGTCACATACGTATGCATGCACACACTGAGAGCACTTTGGCATTGATTACTGGCTAGCAAGATGATACTCTGTGTGTGCAGGCGCTGAGCTGGCTTTTTTAGACACCGCTGATACAGTCGTGCATGTCTCCAGGGTAGGTCTCCTTCTCACTAGGCTGGACTCTAAAGATGGATGCAGAGTGGAATCAGTAATGTCTAAACAGGCACTAGATTTTAACCAATTAGGTGATTAACATCTCAAAAACAAAAATAAAAAATAGTCCTTTGTGGAACTGCAGTGTTTACAGCACCCCATCTGTTAACCTGGAATGGTTTCCATACATGTCAAGTATTAAAACAATTAATTGCATGATAAACTTCAGTGTTCCCACAAGAGCCTTGTAAATCGAGAGTCTAGCTTTCCAGTCATGCAAAACACCTGGAAAAATGGGGCAATTTCTTAAATGTCCTGGAAATACTTGGTGAGGTTTTGGAAAAGTGTAAAGTTGTGGTATTAAGCCTCTGAGATTTAATTTAGCTGCTGATGCCCTATTTATTAATTTGGGTGCTGCAGTGTCTGATGTGGACAGATGACCTCTATATTGGAGCTCCTCATAGAACAAGACCTCATAAATGCACACCAATGTATACATTACAACATCTTGTTTACAGTGTGTAGCTTTATAAGGACATTCACTTCTCATAGTGAGCAACCAAATGACTGATAAGGCTTTAAGGGTTGTGTTGTTTAATGTTAAGGACGTCAGCAGAAGCAAGTCTGTGAGAAGCAGCTATGAGATGTGTAAGGCATAGAAAATGTCCTGGAAAAGTCCTGAAAAGTAATTTTCTAAAAAGAGTGGAAATGTCTTAAAATTCTACAATGATTAAAAGTGAAAAACAAAATAGGCTGGACAGAAATTAATCCTACTTCTGGACTATACATTACTCTGAATGGAAATTCTTTATCTGTGCGTGTGTGTGTGTATATATATATATATATATATATAGTTGTATTTGTGACATTGCTTCTATTGTATCCTTTTTCTGGCCATACGCATGTTCTGTATCCCTATTCATGTTGTTTTTCTAATTTTTACTTAGTTCTCTCCAATTTAGCATTCTTCTTTAAATGCATTGTCCTCTGCAGTGGCGTTGAGTTAGTGGCAGCTTGAAAAGATGCAGTGGCTAGCATCTATTCTACCTCTAGCTGTCTCCCCCGTCAGATGATACTATCAGGCTGAGAGGGTGAAGGCTAGCACATGCTTCCTCTGAGACACATGAATCCAACCACCAATTCTTTTCAAACTGCTGCTAATTCAGCATAATGACAGCTCAAAGCACTTGATGGAGAGCCCTGTCTACTAATTATGTTGTGTCAGCTAGCACTGGCTAGCATCGGGGTGGCGCACCACACCTCCAAAAGTGGTGGAGCAAAAAAAAAAAAACCTTGCAATAGTAACTTCAACTTCCTTTCATGTCTTGCAATAAAAGGCAATAATAACCTGTCTCTATAAACCTATTAATGAGAGTTTTTTCATTTATTGGTCAGGACTTTTGCAGGGATGTGATCACTGTTACTCTCACATTTACCACCATGAAAAGATAAAAATTTAAATATAAAAATATAAATATAAATAAAGACGTTTGGTTTACCAATTTGTATTTAACCAATCAAGTCGCTGATGCTTGGCCAAAAATACATTCCATGAGCCAAAGTTTAAAGCATATCTTGGCTATTAATTTATTGCTTATCTGCTGTTATTAACAGCAGCTTGTGCTGAAGGAAATATGACAGTGTATAAAGAGTAAAATATCAAAACAGGCAGATTATGTCGATAGTACAGCGTTGATGTGAACTGAGAAAAGCAGCCTCTGGGGGTTGAATTCTGTTGTTTGGTGTGCACCATCATAAGATGCATTCCCACCAGGAGTGACCTCAAGCAGAGGGTCACAAGTCCACAGTTCAGTTATTTGGAGCGCATCTGAATACAAGTGGAGTGCTCACTTGTCAAAACGGGCTGAATTATAGAAAAAGTTCAGTGGGTCTGCACCAAATAAGGTCGACATGAAAGTGACCTTTGTGTAGTAAGGGAGCAGAAATATTAAAACTGAAATTTAATAAAAACACATGGTGTAGTAACACAAACTGTGACCCAGTGCATTAGTTCATTTTGATTGGTTCTACCAAGGAGTTTGGCTCTTTCCCTGTTTGTGTTGGTCAGCGCTCCATGTAGTTTAGTTTCTATTCAGTGTAAGCGTCTTAAACTCAATCAAAAGTGGTGGGTCCTCGCCTGAGTACTCTGAAAAGTGGTGCGACGAATGCCTGCTCCCCCTGTGGTTTTAGCAGCTATGGCTAGCATTGTGCTGAATGATGAGTGCTGTCCTATCCAATCAAGCAGAGTGTGGACTTTTGGCCAGGGATGGTGGTGGTGTTGCTGGGTATCGAACGTGTAATCTTCCAATGATAGATGGTTAGATGGTTGTTCCACTCTGGAGCCCCTATCTGTAGAACTTCTGTAGATGCTGAACAGTTGTCCACCAGCTGCCTAGGAGGGCAGTGCCTCTGTTTTCCTGAAATTGTTCCTTGTCCTTGTCATACTTGCTGATTCTGAGAATGAAAATGCCAGTGAAATACTCTACACATGGTGCACCTCAGAAAAAGTCACTCGATAAATCACATTAAAATGTTTCCGGTGTTCAGTGCAGTTTGTGCCTCAGGCAGACAGCAGTGCTGTATTACTGCTACTGTAGTTACCCATACATCCAGATCCATTTTTTGCACCATGATATGTTTTTCTAAGACTTTGAAACACATACTGGGCCAGATTTATAAAAAGTACTACTTGATTTACATGACATTAAGAGCAAATAGCATTGCTTGTGTGATGTGGGGCATTGCCATGCTTTTATCTCATTTTATATGCCAGTGATTATTAACATTCCTTTTATTTCTTGATTAAAAGGTAAAAGCATCTTTACCAAATAATTTACTATTATTTGTCAGAAATAACACCCTTAAAATTCCTAGTTCTTTTTGTTTATTTTTGTTTCTTTCATTGTGTCCATTTTTGCAGCCAACTGTAGCTTCTCATGGTGAAGGTCTTTAATATGTATGAGCTCATTTACATGTTGAGACTGACTGGCTCTTGCTTAGGACACAGTGAAAACAATGTTAAAAAGACACCAGTGTGCTAATCAAGAGTTTTATAAATCTGGCCCATATTGTTATGTGTGTATTTGTTTCAAGGTGGATCTGTAGTGACTGTGTGTGCATATGTGTATCCCAGACGGCAGGATTCCAAGAGACACTGTCGGAGTTGGAGATTCTGGCTCTAATAGTGGGCTGTGTGTGCCATGATCTGGATCACAGAGGAACCAACAATGCCTTCCAAGCCAAGTGAGAAACACACTGACTACACTGTGATGGCCTGTAACCAGCATGCAACAGTTCCCTCATAATGAGCTCCCCAGCATTAAACCCCACACCTGCATCTCAGTCAGTTCCAATTCTAGACCTGAGTAAATGTAACTGACTGTAAATAAAAAGGTCAAACCTAATGTCACCCTCAGCCCAGTATTATGCAGTCATCAGATTGTGCCTGCAGTGTGAGGTTCTGTGTTCTACCTTAAAATAAAGAATTTTGCTTTTGTGAGGTTTGATGCCTGGGACAAAAAATACCAGTACCCCTTTAGAACCTTAATGTTCAATTTAATATCGGAGTTTACAAAAATTGCTGCTTTCCTACTGAACCCCAGTTCAATTGAAAATGGAAGCATGGAGGCAAACATATGCTTGAGTGAAAGTAAAGCTGTATCAACATTTAAAAATACTCAATTATATAAAGGTGGAAAAGTAAATGTTTCAGGCAAATTAATTAAGATTTGTGTTTGTTTGTTGGTGTCTGCTATAGTGACTGATTGGCATAACTAGTCCTCACACAGACAGATTAGTGTAGTTAGTTTCATTTAATAGTGAAATTAATTTGGTTGGGTGTTTTAATAGAAACAATAAATTGAAATGTGCTGAAAATCAACTGCTCGGCAAGAGAAAAAGGTCTTTGAGATTTGAGTATTTGAGTACTTTGAAGATCTAAATTAAAAAAATAAGGAGTAAAAGTATATATTTTTCTGTTGGGAATGTAATCAAAGAAAAGTACAGGAATTCAGTGTCAATAATACCCAAGTTAAATACAAATCTTCCAAAATAATAAGCATAATAAATTACAATTACTGCCAGATATTCCCCCCCGTCAGGATTATATTTGAAGGGAATTACAGCATAAATGTAACACTAAAAGGGCATCTGGCTAAAATAAAGCTATAGTGTTGTCACGATAGTCTTTAGATTAAGTTTTTCCAGTTTAAAGACTAGGAAAATGCTTCTATGATGTATTTTGAAGGTGGGAGGAGTTACCTACAACTGCTATGGGTTGCATAATTTTTTATATTAGCTGGCTGATGCAGAAGGAACACTAATGCTATGAAGCTGAGCATCACATGTGTATTTATTAGCCTCTACATCAATGACTAACTGTCAGGATTTCTTTATTGCATTTGGAGAGGGGTATGATGTATTTGCATAATACATGCTGGGTATTATAGTGAAAGAACACTGATGGATTAAAACAAAAAGGATAAAAATCTGTGAATTCTGTCAGGGGGATGCAATGTTGTGCAACAGAATATTACAATACACAGCAAATAATGTATTAAGTGCTGGTTTTAGAGCATAATACCATTTTATTGGGTTATATTTGTGTAGCTAGCTAAGTGCTTTAGTTTCTATGTGCTAGCTAAGTTAGTCTTACTAACTGTGATCACTGATGTGGCAGTAATGTATTTTTTTCTCAGGGGTGGGGGTTGGAAGGTTCAGCTAGTCACTACTGACTAACTGTACTACTCATGTGTGTGTGTGTGTCTGTGTCTGTGTGGGGATCCATGTGTCTCCACTCCACTTCTCTTGCTCTAGTGAAGAGATAGAGAGAGACTTGCATAAGGATTGTTGCATAAGAGAGACGGAGAGTGTGTTGGATAAGGAATCCATAAACACACATGACCCAGTCAGGGCAGCACACTCAACTTCTGTTCCAACTCTTACTCACTTTTACCTGCACTCCACTGCACTTACTATCTATATTACCTTTACTTTGGCATCACATAAAGCACGTTCTCTGGTGGGGTGTAAGTGAAGTACCATGCATCTCTCTCACTCTCTGTTATTCGCTCTCATCTCTCTCCCCCTCTAATCTCTCCATATTCCTCTCAGGACGGGTTCTGCGCTGTCTCTTCTTTATGGGACCTCAGCCACACTGGAGCATCACCACTTCAACCACGCCGTCATGATCCTGCAGAGTGAAGTAGGGTCACACACACGCACACACACACACCACAGATTCATTCAACATCATTACAGGTCAGGACCCTCTAATAAGAACACAGACTCCTTATTTTAATAGTGGTATTGACAGCTGACAGGACTGTTGTCTTGGTAACACTTTACTGTAGAACAGTGTTCATAAGGCTGCATGACAACTGACATAAACCTACATAAACATTTATAAACAATTATTCCAATGGTCATCATTTGTCATAAAGGTTGCATTTACCAACTTTGATGTCAGGTTGACACAACATCTTTGTAGGCCTGTGCCCTGTAACAGTTAATTGATTTACTGTACTAACAGCCCCCAGTGGTGGGAAAAACTCATTTACTGGCAAAAAAACCTTGTTCATTTTCTAAATTATTTCATGCAAACCATAGCAAGACAGCAATATTATCACACATAAAGATAACTGACGTTTTAAATGCTGGGTGATATCCCACTTTAATAACACATTTATTATGACATTGTTCTAGAAACACAGCTGCACTGGTTAAACATGCTCTGTGATGCAGGTGGAATGGCTTCAGAGACGAAGGCAAAGGGCTGGACACAAATGTGTCCAGTGACCCCTGCTAATTAGTGAGTTCAGCTACTTTAAGTTGCACAGAATGATTACACGTGCCATTTGCTTACACACAGCTTGTATAATCTGAGAAGCACTAACCAACAGAATGGGACTCTCTGAAGCAGCCAAACATGAATCATGTCCAATTCCAAACCACCCAGTTTTAGGCTGTAGAGAAAAGGATTTACATTCTGTGGAGTGATGGAGCTCCATCAAATACCTTTAGGATGAGTTAGAGTGTTGTTTGTGATCCAGAACTAATCATCCAACATCTCTTACTCTAAAAATCAATAGCTTCTCCTTAATGGCCACTTTGACTGAAAGTTAAGTAAACAAAGAGTGGTCTCTGACTTTTGCTTAGTACTGTACGTCGACATCCGTTTGCTTCTGGCAGTTACACCCCACTCCCAAACTCTGCGCTGCCAAATCTGTTCTTTCTGATTGGTCAAGGTTAGGATGGCGAGAGGAATGTGGACTTATAGCTCATAAACCACCTCCTCTAGCAGAAGAGCTGACCTCAACCAGCCCACCAGCCACTCTCACTCTCAGACTAGTTAGAGACTGCACGCTGTAATTCATTTCACTGAAAACCTATTGACAAACAATTCAATTACAAAGCTTCTGTTAAGTTTTATAACGCAAATTCTTTTCCAGGTCTCACTGGTCTTTTGCTCTTTGCTTTTTCTAGGGCCATAATATCTTCTCCAACTTGTCATCAAGGGACTATGGAGACCTGATGCAGCTGTTGAAACAATCCATCCTGGCTACAGACCTCACACTCTACTTTGAGTGAGTGCTGCTGTGTGTTTGCATATCAAATACACAACTCTGTCCCACACATCCATGTAAAATCTTCAACCTCAGAAACACCAAAACAGTTAACTGATCCTTCTTTTTATATTGCCTGTTCATGATGCCTTTGCTGTTTAAGAGCAAAAGTGTTCTTGGAGGATCAAAAGGTGGTTGTGTAAAATGAGACTGTTTTGGAATGTTGATAGTTTCTTGTTTCCTGAGCCTCTACTGCCCCTATGTGGTTGCAGGGAGAACTAGGATAAAACGTCTGCACAGACAGCCTAAAAGCTTCCACAAGTGCTATATTAAAGATCTAAGAGGTGCTAAGATGTAATTGTCTGCACACTGCATTTTTATGCAAGGAGAGTTATTAGTACTTTATTGGGGTGAAAAGTGAAGATATGGAAATGTTTTGAAAACAACTGCTAGCAAAAATGAACTTGAAAGAATTCTAGCTCACAGCTGTCAAAGGTGAATTATGACATCATTAATCTTACTTAATTTCTACTTTTCACAGAAACAGAAGCAGTTTCTTTGAGCTGGTCAATAAAGGAGACTACAACTGGAACGTTAAAGAACACAGAGATATGTTCAGGTCAGCCGGTGGGGCACTTTACATCTAGCTTCTTTCATTTTGTAATGCCTTTGTATTAATATTTGCTTTAAACGTTAATGAATATGTGTATAATAACAATGTTATGTACTATGGCTACATCATATGGACAAAAATGAATTATTGTAACAAAGGTTAGCCTGCATTATTGTGGCCAAAATGATTTTGTTTATTGGACCATTATATCTTAATGCATTTAAGCACTTGCAGTACAGTCTGAGCTTGGTTATGCTAAGAATATTGTGATTTTTTTGGAGGGCTCATTTACATATTTCAGGCTTTTGCTCTATTGATGTTGCAAAGGCCAATATTGCAATAATAATTAAAAAGACAATATATTGTGCAGCCTGTCTACATACCGTGCCTGACATGATTCTCTCGGTATGTTAGGTCAATGTTGATGACAGCATGTGATTTAGGAGCCGTGACCAAGCCGTGGGAGATCTCTCGCAAGGCAAGCGTGACTCATTCTCTTTCTTTTTACCCTACAGATAAGCATGGGACCACAGTCATTGTAATGGAATTTTGGCTACTTTGTGTGTACACATGTGTCTGGGTATGTGTGTGTGTGTGTGTGTGTGTGTGTGGGAATGTGCACTCCCACAGGTAGCAGAACTGGTCACCAGTGAGTTCTTTGAGCAGGGTGACAGAGAGAGATCCGAGCTGAAGCTGACTCCTTCTGTAAGTCCAGCTGCATCATACTAATACCTCATTCACATATTTTTTTTTCAGGTAAGAAGATAAATAATATTATAATATGAAAATGTAAAGATTAGGTTACTGTACTTTATTTAACTTCTCAAACTGAAGATATATTTATAACTCTATATATGTATAACTATACAAATTAATCAGCATTTAGTTTGTTACTTTTATGGCACTTTCACATCTCCATCCTCCTAGTCTTAAAACTACGAGTTAGTAGGACAGTCAAATCCATCCCTCCACTCTGAGAAGACAACTGAGCGTTATGGGTCTGAAAGGATGTGTAGCTGTGGCGTTAAAAAAAAATGGACAAAAAAAACAGAAGAAAAATTGCACTAGAACTTTGGAACTGTAGTGTGGTCAACATACAGAATTCCTCATAATATATGTGTGTATGAGATGTTATGGTCATATCAGAATGAAGCTCCTTGACCAGATGGCCAAGGACACACATGTAATGTGACTTAATAAGACCTTTTTACTTTGACTTAGATTCACAAGGCGAACACACAGCCACACTCAACAAACCCCACACAGCTAACAAAGCAAATAGTCAAAAGCTTCTTCTTGTCACTCTCGATCATGGTTGTTGCTAATTAGGAACAAACAGGAGCACATTAGCGAAAGAGGCAGCTCTTCAGACTCCAGAGCTTTGAAGCTCAGATGCTTTTGTGCACCCCCACAGTAATTATGGCCTGGCACATAATCCAGGCCGGACACATTGCCTTTCACTCTGAAGTATTGCTAGCCTCAGGTTGAGCGGCCAGTCAAAGTCTTTAGCACTGAGCGCGTGGGCGTTCTGCATTATATATTCAGTTACAGCGCCTCAGCCTGGGAACTATCTCTCCACCACAGCCTCCGCTCAGCCATCCTCTATCGTCATACCCACAGAGAACTGAGTCGCAGAAACAGAGGACTCAGTGAATCAGTCTGTGAAACATTCTCTTTCATTCCTCACTCTATTTATATGAGCCACACATGCACATACACTACACATGCTTGCATAGTGCCAATGGTGTGACCAGTGCAAGATTACGAGAAGAAAACTGGTGGTACCTAGTGATAATGGAAGTAGAAAGAGATGAAACGGCAACACAATTCACATTACCTTCAGAAAATGCATATTTACTGTTGAGGCAAGGCTGGTATCTTTCCAGCAGGTATGCTACTGCTCAAGAAATTGGAATCACATATCAGATACATAGTGTTATTTATCTAATACTGGCTTAAACAATGGATAGAATAAGCAATGTCAGAAACTAAAAGAGACAATTCAATTTTTATTCAGTATGTAAAGTATTTTTGGGAACAACAATACATATATAATGTAGTGTAATGCAATTAGCTATGTATAATCATTTCTTGTCAAAGTAGTTTTCTTGATATTTGATCACCACTTTGCAAATACTTGGATATACTTTGTTATTCATTGTAATTCCAATCATAAGCTAAATGATTAGACATTTCTTTAATGAAACCTTTCACCTCATCTTTTTGTGCCCAATGAACGCTCACTTTGTGTCTGTCCAGTTGCCTTGACTTATTACTAATAGACGATTCAACTAGCTAAATTAATGAAAACTTTCTCATACAAGTCTCTGTTTTCCAGGCCATCTTTGACCGAAACCGGAAGGATGAATTACCAAGTTTACAGCTGGAATGGATCGATGGTATCTGTTCTCCACTGTATGAGGTAATGACATTAAACAATGCACCGACAACTGATACATATTTACAAATGAAACTGATAACATGTGCAGTGTTGATGTGAAGAAACGTACCAGAATGGGATGTGTCTAAATTATGTACCAGAGGAAAAATTTTGGATGTTGTTGTGGTTGAAGAAAAACGCCAGCTTCATTATAGTCAGTTTCTGAACTAGTAAAACCTTAGGGCTGTCGTGTGATTAATCAGTTTTACACCTTTAAACCTTTAAAACGACCTTCTCAATTAATCAGCAGTCATAGTTGGAAATATGCATGATGATTCATGCACATTTTAAGTTATCCTACTGTTCATTCTTATAATAGTAAAGAGCACGAATTGCCTGTTATATGCATTTTTACCACAGTGTCTTTCTTTTTTTCCTCTTCTTTTTTAAATGAAGTCTCTTTCAACGGCCCAGATTATGGAAAGTAGAGAACAGCATTTTATGGCTATTCAAACTGAACTAGCACGTCAAGTGGTCCTTCTTCATCCAGTACAGCCTGGCTTCACACATCAGACATAGAAATTTGGCACAGTGTTGTAAGCAAATGCTTTGGCTGCTGGGGCTGTAGACTCGAGCAGGAATTAGAAGCCACACAACAGCCTTCCTGAAACAATGGCGTCCTCTACTGTTAGCACTGAGCAGTACAACCCCCTTCCCCATTAATCATTCCACGGCTCAGCAGGACATTAAGAACAACCAAAACAGAGAGAGAAAGAGAAGATAAACAACCACCAGCAAACACCAGAACACAAATACCAAAACAGACCTACTAATGTTCCCAGAACACAAAACAAGCCCATTACAAGTGACAAAACATTTAAGTACAGTGATGTACAAATTAGGATACAAGTTCATAATTGATAGTTACTCTTAGTTCTTTTGGGGAATAAATCTTTTTTTTGTTGTTGTTGTTAAAGCCACTAACAGTAGGAGTGACATTGTCTCACATTTGTTTCTTCTGCCAAAACTGAGCTCACATTTTTTTCACAGTAGGGATTTTTTTCAGTGATGTACTAGATCAGCCAATTTAGATGTTAATATATCTTGAAGAACATACTTACGATAACTACAACAAAAACTTAGATATGTCAATTTCATAATTAGATGTCAATCACATACAGGCTGCCATTTGAATGAACATGCAATATTGAATGTATCTAAATGTTTCTTCGCTCTTATCCGACATTACATATCAGTAATAAGATTTATTATTTATGTCATTATGACTGGTATTGTGTGTCAGGTTTCCTGCTGGGTTCATCAGAATGCTGCAGTAATTAATGTAATTGGATTAAAACTTGATTCATTTCCCTGAGTATAAAAGAAACTCAGACTGCTTTGCGCATTTACATATTTGCTTCTCTCCCTCTCTGTCTGTCTCTCTGAAGAGAAGACAAAAACAGCAGGGGTGACGTTGAAGGTGGGATGGACGTAGAGGTGATTATTACCACTGTGATTCATGTGGGAGTCCCATTTGTGCTGTGTCTTATTTATGACCAAAACACATCTGCTCCTGTTCTTACTGAGCAGCAGGATCCCTCTGTCCCACATTTGCTGTGAACATACTAGTCTTTTGGGTTTCTACATGGCTGTGTGGCATGTTGTGAATCAGGCTTTTAGCGTTCTCCTCTGAGTGTGATAAGGTGCTTAACAATATTAAAAGTCGAGTAATTGAAAATGATTTTCTGATAGTCTTTATGTGGTTAGGTAGCTCTTGGGATGAAAGTGAATATGTAATGGCTAATGTGGTGCATTTAGTTGGAAAGTTCAGCTCTACTTTTTCTGCTCACTCTCCAGGCAAAGCATTTATTTCTTTGGTTGACAAAGTTATTTATTGTACAGGTACCTAAAAGCAGGCTTAGGTGTTGTTCGTTAATGGTTCACAGTAATTTCTGTTAGCATGCCCAAAACTGCAGATCATATACAGAGTATCTGAGTGTCCCATTGTAAAGGTGGGTGATAAGGCAAAAATATAATATCATGATACTAAAGGGAATTTTCATGATGCACAATATGTCACAATATTTATTTTTTTAGACGTCAGTTGGAACTGAGTAAAAAGTACCAGAAGTGGTACATTCATACAGAAATTGTGAACACAATAACACAATGGTTTTAATTTTGCTCTTTGTACTGACGATATGCATGATATATTCAGAAAAGCATATTGTATTATATTGTGATATAATTTATCACAATAACAATATATATATTGTCATACTTCCTGGTCCTATCCCATGGACTAAAGTTTTTATTTTATTTTATATTTTATATTTTGCTTATTTGCTTATTATCTTTCTTACTTCTAATACCAATCTGACAGTTTTTAAAAACTACACTATGTAAGATTAGGTGATTTGGATACCTCTCTGGTGGAACTTTTGTACATTTTATAATGTCGGTTGTACTTTGTCAGTTGTCCTCCCAAGGCGGATGAATTTGATGATGAGTGTGTTGATGTGTTGAAAAAGTAATCAATGTGAACTCAGTCAAAACTTGGTGAAGGATATGTCTTACAAGGCTGTAAGTGATATCTTCATCAGGATAATGTTGATTTTGCATCTGAGGCCTAATCATCGAGCACTGAAATATTTCCAGGTTTACAGGGTGACTAGCAGCCGAGCACACACACAATATTTTAGTGAGTTTTTTCTTCTGACTCAGTAATTCTTTCAATTTTAACAAAAAAAGACATAATGCAGCTTTAAAAGGTGCTGTTTTCAATTGAAGTACTTCACTTAAGATGGCCATCTAAGAATGCTTAAACTATCTCAACTGTTTTACTGCTCAAAAGAAAGAAATACAAAGTCAGCAACATGCTTTTTCAACTCTTTCACCAAAACAACAAAACTAAACAAAACAAAAAACAAAAAAAGAAATATCCCTCATCACATGCACTGCAAAGGAGTTGTAATTCAAGTATAATACATAGCTAGCCACTACTACTAGCTACGTTCTCATTAACAGACGGCAACATGTAGACTTGCATGCATGTGTGGGTAGAGCGTCTAAGGCTGAGAACAGGCAACATGTAGCTACTGTTATCACGTGACCTACCTTACACTGTTTATATGTTATGTTGCACTGCACTCAGTTCTGTGATATTTCAGGCTACATTTCTTAAAGAATCTGATCAGATTTTCTCCTCTGATATCTGATCAGCCTGATACCGATACTGGGTATCAGTGCCATTGGCACCACTCTATCCACTTTACCTAAAGTTTCTATTGTGACTCTCAGCTAAACTCAGTTTTGTATAAACAAGAGTTGAAAAACCAGGAGGGGGATTGTGTTCTGTGTGTGTGTGGAAGGATCAGAGACATGGTGGGGCTTTAGAGTGTGGGTGGAAGAAAATCCCACATATCTTTCTCTCTTTCTCTCTCTCCTCCCCTGGTGCTGCTGGTGCTGTCGTGTAGAATATTAATCTCATGTTACATAAACTCCATCTTCAAAGCCTTGATAACCCTGTCTTCTCTCTCTCTCTCCCTCTGGTTGTGTAACTCTGTTGGAATACTGATGTGCTGCTCTCGTCTCTACAGGTCTCCCTAACTCACACCATGTGGGGAAATAGCTGCAGCAGACGGTGTAACAAATCCCCCTCTGTTACCCCCCACACAGTGCAAGAGAGACCCATTACATACATTATCACAGAGCTTTAGTCTTTCTACAAACCTCTGCTTCAAGTTTCTGTGTATGTGTGTGTGTGTGTGTGTGTGTGTGTGCGTGTGTGTGGTTGTTTTTGTTTATTTACAGCACAGGGAAATACAGGACTAACCTACAATGTCAGGATCAGGACTTTTTTAATTGTTGAAATCTAATAAAGACAAACAGAAACAAAACATTTTTGGTAACTTTATAGAGTTGGGCTTTCTTAACACATGTGTGGGTACCTATGTATAATACTGCATGTATGTAAGTTTGGACACCCCAGCCAAAGTATATATTTTTGGAATTGCATATTTTCTGTTGATTTTCTAAGTGAAAATAAGTTAACATCCTTTACAGGAAACAAACTTGGATATGGCATTTTTCTGTAAATTTTAGTGTACAAATGTGGGTTAATTAATACCCTGTGAACCAGGGAAATTCACATAACACTTAAATCAGCCCAACTGTCACTAAGACAGTTCAATCAGAATGGCCAATAAGTACAATTTATACTTTTCTGAATGCCAGAAAAAAGCAGAAAACAAGAAGAAAAATTACCAAAAAGCTAAGATTTTCCAAAACTTTAAAAAATGTATGTCAGTGTTGCACAAAAAACTTGTATCTCCACTTTCACTTTCTTAGCTGCACAAAGTAAAAAAAATATTTCATGTGAATTTATTTTCTTCTGAAAATAATGGTGCATGAAATTGCAGTTACTGAAATACAAAGACTAATTTTCATTTGAAATATCCTCTGCTGGCTCCTCCCCTTCTGTGGCAGCCTGTGCTTATGGAGTGCAAACAGTGTGTAAGCTTTCACACTTCTTATTTTCAGAGGTTGTAGCACATCATATGGGTATTTACAGTACACAATGTCCTGCTTTATTTTCCAGTGTGAACACACTATTTTCATTAAAAATAGCTTGTAAAGTACAGAAGTACTGAGTTTGAGACAGAGGGTGTGTGTATGTGTGCACAGAACTGAGAGACTGTGGTGTTACACGTAGCATTTCAAACCGTACTGCACTGCATTCAGAGACTAGTTCCCATCCATCTAGTGTGCAGTGCCCCAGTGTGGTTCTTATGCTGTGAAGAAATTTGTGTCAACAGAATCAAAAGTGTGCACATAACTGATGCATAAAGTCAGTAGTGTACAGAACCTACCAAACACAAATGTTCCTCTTTATTTCTTTAATTCTGCTTCTTATAACACACCAAAATTACTCTGTTCACTGAAACAGGTGGGGAGCTAAGTGTGGCTGTTTCAAAGTTGAAAATAATTTCTTTCCTGTCAGGATTCTTCTCACAAATGACACGACAAAAGAAGTGGTTTCAACTTTGAAAAAGACAAAACGTTGTACACGAATAATACACAAACCCTTCACGTGAGCTTTGCCTCCACCTGTTAATTACAGAAGGGGACATATACACGGCATGCAGAATCATACAAATAAGCTTATCTGGCAACAAAAAACAGCAATTCGCCTGCACTCCTGAACAAATGTGGTTGAGCCATTGAGGTGTTTGTTTATTGCTGTGTTGCTTGCTGATCAGAGCCATGCTGGACTGAGCAGTCAGAGAGATTAGCCATAAAATGGCTTCTTGTGTTTTGCAGCAGCATAGTTAGCTCACAGTTATAGAAGATGAAAGGCTGTCATTGCTCTCATTGAACAGAATTAACTCCTTCTGCAGTTATCAAACATGGGAGGTACAGAGCTGCTCCAATAAGAGAGAGGAGATTGGGTGGCTATTATTGAGCTGTAGATGTATTAAAGCAAAGAAGACTGTGTGGTGTTGCCCTGAGGATAAAGAACCAATTATGTCTGCTGGCATTTAGGTGTAAATCTGCAATTCTGTCCCTGCAGTTAGACGAAGTAGACGAAACAAAGAATGTATAGTAATCTCTCTGTCTTCTGTGATACTTTAATGGTCAATTGTCCCATTAGCAGTAAAGTGGGGAACTGATGTGATATGTGCTTTTGAATTGAGGCAGACAGTTGCTTTTTTAAAATTAACTAAAATGTCTCTTTCTTTGAGAGCAATTCTGGTGCTGAAGTAGTAGCTTGGTAGCAGCTTTCATTTTGTTGTCGTATGTATGGTGTAACACCTTCTTCTTCAAGTGTCTGTGTGTGTATGTGAGAATAGTGTGTGAAAGATGTCATTGGTGTGTGTTTTGCAGATACAGGGATGTGAAATGTGGTTTAGTTAATACACTGTGTGAACCTGAGAAATTCACATAACACTTAAATCAACCCAGCTGTCACTAAGACAATTAATCATTCATATATACTGTATACTGTATACATGTAATGTGCAAGTCAGATCAGCTTTTCGTTAATTTCATTTTCAATCAAAATGGCCATTAAGGACAAGTTATACTTTTTTGGATGCCAGAAAAAAAGCAGAAAACATATGTTTAACAGAAAATTACCCAGAAAAATGTTTTGTCAGTGTTGCACAAAACCTTGTATCTTTTGTCGTTTTTTCTTTTTTTGCATAATTTGAAAATGCCAGCTGTCATTTTACACTATATCAAAATTTCATGACAATTGGACCAACAGAAATGGAGAAATATTGCAAAAATGAAATGTTGTTATATTGACTTACATTGAAATTTTAACAGGGTTTTTTTGGAGATACGAGGTTGGTAATATATGACACTAATGATACATTAAAAAATATAGAAAAAGTATGCAAAACCTAGTGGCCTAAAACTCAACTATAAGATGAACAGTACTTAAAGCTAGGAGAAATTAGGAGAAAATAAAGTTCCACTCGTGCTTCACATCTGAAAAATCCACAGGAGTTTCTGTCCATCCTCCCACTGTGAGAAGACAGCTCAGCACTGTGGGTCTGAAAGAATGTGTAGCTGTCAAGAAGCTCTTACTAAGAAAAGAAAATAGACAAAAAGCCAAAAGAGAAGAAGCAGAAAATGCAAACAACTTCTAAGACTGAACTGTAGAGATGTGGACAAAAATCCCTCTAGATTATAAAACTGAAAGCTAGTCTCTCTAATATAATAATATAAACCTCAATTCCAGACAGTTGGGACAGTATGTGAAATGGAAATAAAAAACAGAAAGCAATGATTTGTAAATCCACTCTGACCTGTATTTAAATGAAAAGCATAGATGCGTCGAAGCTCGCCAGTTTGCCAAAAAATGCATCAGAAGATAATCCATCAGTTTAAGAACAACAATCCTCAGTGAGTGCTAAAATTTTAAGTTTTCTGGTGGCCTCACGAGTGAGCCTTTCACACTGTGTATGGAAATACTGGAGGAGGTGTTCTCCAACCCAGAGAAGAAAAGGACCATCCAGATTATTACCAGAGTAAAGTTCAAATCCCAGGGTCATGGTGTGGGGGTGTATTGATGCCCATGGTATGGGTAACTTGAACATATGTGAAGGCACCATTAACACTGAAAGATAAACGCAGCATGGCTTTCTCTTACTGTGACATCTTTTTTGATATTGAGGTTTGTAATAAAGCAAAATTATGTATTTCTTGCCACATTCTTTGGGAAAGAACAAAAAATAACACTGATGCAAATTTTCACAGTCCTTCCCAGACCGTTTACACCAAATCAGGGCCACTGGTTCACGCTCAGTAACTGCAGTCTACCAAATAACCTCCATTAATTCAGTTGCAGCAGCGTGATTGTTCTCTCACTTGAAATGCTACCAGAGTACTGTAATTTTTCCTTACTCTTTTTCTTTCTCTAGACTCTTGCCAGATTGAATCCTAAACTCCAGCCGATGGTTGACATGATCCAGGCCAACCGCGCTAAGTGGGACGAGCTCCATCAGAAGAGGCAGCGCAGCCAAGAACTGGTGAATCCTGACATTCCCTGCGAGGGCTTGAGCGGCTGCACCTGTTTGGGCTCTAGTGACAGTGACGCCCCAAAACCAGCCAGTTAGCTCTCGTCTCACCGCCTCTGCCCTTTGACCTGTAACCCAACCGCAGCGCTGTGCATGTGGGGCGTTTTGGCTCTGCTGTGAGCTTCCAGCCTCTGGAGCACTTAGGGGGCTTTGATCCCACTGCGCCCCCTCCAGGGTGCATGTATGAACTCTCTCTCCACTGTGAGGGAGAACTTTCAGGCAGCTGTGACTGATCCTTTCTGTTTGGCTGCAGTGCGACTCCTGCACGCTTAGCTAGCACTGGTTTTCTCAACCCAGAGGAGTGGCTGAGATATGTTCTAGACTCAGGAAGAGACAGTGTCTTTAGAGCTAGGATGCAAACATAAACGCTACATTGTATCAGCAGGCCTGTTGTGTTCGGTAGCTCTATTGCTAGGATTGAGTATCGCCACTGTTTAAACAAGTATATTGTCATTGTGTAGTTTCTTAATGTTGCTTTGATCATGTTAAATCAAGACATTTTCAGGGGTGCGTGTTTGGGGGCTTCATCTGTTTTCTATTGTACATATTTAATTTGAGGTAATGAGATATGAGAGAGTACTGCATAGTATGAGTTTTGATGTTGGGTTTGGCTCTGTTTCTCAGCTGATGTAATTACTACTGGATCAGGGGTTTGCTGAGTGTCAAGGCTCGTGGCAATGCTTGCAATGCAAATACAATACAGTGCTGCTCTTTGTGCCTTGGTTAAAAATCCTTCATAAAAGATGCATGCAGTCCTCTTCCAGCTTCATAATTATCTAGAAACTATGTTGTATATCATTAAGAGTTGTGCAGCCGGTATGATGTCTTAAACTCCCTCTGGATTTGTGATGTTGCTGCTTGTGCCTGTTTTGGCTCCATTAATTAACTCAGGCGTGGTGCGAAGAGGTCCACGCATTACCATAGAACATTTACATTAGCTCGCTCATCTATATTCACACCTTACCTTATTAGGTTTGATCCAAGCATTAGTCATACTACTTTGCAAACTGAGGTATAGAATTATCCTTTTGTTTATTGAGTTTTTATTAGGCTTTTGTGTAGGCTAAACCGCAACCATATTATTGTCATGAGCCCAGTCTGATATACAGAAAGTACATGTGCCTTTGTAAAGACTACCAAACTACAGAAGAGTTTATCTTACACATAAAACTGTTTTTAATTCAAACCAAGCGATATCAGAATTATTGAAATATTTAGCCTATTTAGTATGAACCTGCTTTGACTCTTTCTCTATATGACTAGTGGAGATTTAACAACATGGACAGTTTTGCAGCTTCTTTCTTACAGAGATCATAAATCTAGCAGTACTACTGTCAGAGAAGAGGTGGGATGTAGTGTGAAGAGCTTATTACTGCTACAGTTTCCGCCTCCACGTTCCTGATCACATACATAAGCTCAAAGAAAGGAAAGGGGGAAAAAAGAGTAAGCACAAACTTTACTATGGAATCCGCCAAACAAACTGGGCTAACCAAAAATAAGTAAGAGCCAAATAACTGATCTTTAAACCTACAGAGTTCAATATCGCTAGCTGCTATGTGAAGCTTCTCTGCTGCCCTTCATGCCCGCTGCCATATGGTCACATGCACACATAATCCATAATCCAGTGGTTGCACTGATACTCAGGTGTAGGAAATGTCATTCCACCTGAGCTGCATCTACATCCAAACAAATTTCAGACTGTTACTCACTAATACAGCAGTTAGAGTTCCAATGAGCTGATCAACTCAGCCTTCACATGGCTTTGTACAGATTTTTGTTTTTAACAGCCAGTTTGTTGTGTGTAACATTTACATATGAAACAAAAGCACATAAATATATTACTCATAATGATTGTCCATAGAAATGCACTACAGAGGAACACTAAAAGAACATGTTTAAAATACAAAAACAGTACTAGACACTTTGATCTGTGCTGAGGAATCTGAGAATGTTAGCTAATTTAAATCACATCCACTGAAACCCCTAATTTACGTTTGTGCGTAACTACTTTGAACTCTTTTGCTGTATCTGTTTTCCTATGATATCTGGTTGCAGTTTGAAATTGTGTTGTGGCATTGTGAAAGTGAAGACTGAAGCATTGCAGTTCTGTTTGTGGCATGGGTCTTCCTGCTCTGGGGAAATTAAAGTAAATAACATACTAATTGATAAAGGGACAAATAAAACTGCATGAAGAAATAACTGCTCTAGATGTAGCAATGAAAAATGACAAATGAATTACCTCTAATATTGAGATTTATAGATAATTTCATCACAGTCTTTTACTTTAATGTGCGTGCATGGGTAATGATATTGCACCATAACAGAGAAAATACTCTCTTGCCATGTAATTAAATTCTGTAAGATTATTATGTTTTTTTACCTGGCCTATGCTTTTTGGGTAACTAGCATTTGAATTACTATTCTCTGTTGACCTGAGTAAATGCTCAGTCTGGAGTCCTCACATTCTTTTGGTTAAGCACTTTTTTGTTTCAAGGGTGAGCAGAAACTGGAGGTGTCTTGGAAGCATGTTATTTGAAAATGTGAAGCATTCAATTCAAATAAACGTGCTGCTGGTAAAGGGTCCTTGTGCTGGTAAATGCGTATCTGAGTGTGTAACAGTTCTTCTCAGTTGGTCGAAATGATCAAATCTTTAAATACAGTCACCACATCAGTTCATAAATGTGCAACAAAATATTTCACCCTATAACTCACTCAAAATGCTTGTGTCAAAATTTTAAAAAAGTTTGTTAATGAATGCGATGTCACCAAAGTGAAATGACCTTTTATTATTGGATAAACCAAGACTGTGGACATGCTAAAGAACAGATGTGACGGAGCACTGTGAAAGTGTTTCTTTACCTCTTTTCTCTTTTAGACAGTTGACCACTATACAGTGTGGTTGAATTTTCTCTGTAGCCTTCAGATCACAGTAATAGCACTGTTAAATCAGTTGCCACACAATGTAAAATTAGGAACTAATGTGGAGAAAAGAACATTACTGTAAATTTCCTCCACCTCATTACTGCTCATCCAATCACTCCCATCTCTCTGATACACCTGATCTTCTGCACTGCTGTAAAAAAGTGGGAAAATGAAACAGCTATCCCTGGCATGTATCTGCTGTGATGTCCTCATAAGCAGCATCCAGAGAATCTAGCAATGACATGTGGTCATGAACATTCCACTGCAGAATGGGCAGTGGGGTGAGATATACTCCTCAAAAATCCTAAAAAAGCTAGTATTTTCACAAAGTACTATGTAATTAAGTAATTTTTGTTTGGTCTCTGCCCATTGTCAGATAAACATCACTACCTGTAAGCTAAATTTAACAGTGTTTGCTTGCTTTATTAGTGTTACTGAATCTCGAGATTCACCTGTTATCAATTCGTTTATTACATGTTACAGTAAACAAAACAATATAATTGTTTTTTTTTGTTTTTTTTTTGAAAGAAAAACAACAATATATATTCCAATGATCCTTGATGCTATTACAGGCCCAAGCACAAGTATTGCAAAGATAACTGGTTTTAAATAAATAATGTGCTTAGTTGCCTACAATAGTGTGTTGTGAAATACAGCTTGACAGTTTGAGTTGGCTGGAGTTGGCTGCTCCATTTTGCCTGTAAGGATTTACACAATGAGCATATAGATAAATGAGTGTAATACAGTTCAAATGAACTGCATTACTTACTCAGCCCCCCTCTGAGCTGACTGTATTTATCTTTTGAAATAATTTAACATTAGAACTCTTTGTGAAAGTGATAAATGCATATGGACCCAAAGCAAATGAACTACTGAGGTGGAGTATTTCACAAATTTTAACACAGCAGTAGTTATTTGAGGTTTGTGCTTTAGCAATTGAGAAAAACTGTAAATTGCCATCCCACAGATGGAATACAGATCCTGCTCAACGCTGACCCCATGTGGACTACTTCAAAGCTGAATAGCCCCGAGTCTATGTGAAAAAACGTTTTTTCAACAACAAAAAAAAGAATGATGCTGCTGAACATGAACTTTATTACATACAAAATGTTGTTTGCAAGATGTTGATATGCTTATATTTACACTCTGATACAGCTATGATCCAAATTTGACCAATGCCTATTCTAGGTTTCTTTAGAGCATTGCAATATTACTGTTACAGTATAGTTGTGGGCTAGTAAACATAAGCATGACTGATGTAAATATAGCATCTATTTACCAATTTAAAAAATATATTAAAACATGTTCAGTAAGATAGGGAAAAATGTCCGCTGGAACTAAAGTCTGCAGGAAAATAGATCTCCAGGAGCAGTGCTGGTGACCACTGTTCTACCGAAAAGTTCTAATAGTCTTAGCTTTGGAAAGACTGTGTCCTACTTCACAAAAATATAAGTGCTTGAAAGAGAGGTTAATACAAACATTCTACATATTGAGCAGAATAAACAAGTTCTCAGTGCTTCTTATGACCTTTCTAAATCAGGACTAGGGTTAGGCTAGGTGACAAATTAATGAGCTCAATTGGTGGTCACTGTGGTGCTCTGTGTTGTGGAAGAAGAGAGGGAGGAGACATGGAGTGCTAGTTAAGTGAGTTACCATTACCTCCAGACCTCATGACGGTGCAAAATCATTTTGTGTCCCAGCCGCTCTAACTGGGTACAATATTGATTTTATATGAGAAACAAAATCAACACTGTCCTTTCAATCACCCACATATCATGTGAAGAACACATTCGACTAGAGTCACTAACTGTTGCAGATAACACTACATGTGATTCATGACATATGAACCTCTAGATGGAAACAGAAGACAAGACAACACATTATTTTTATGTTAATTTATTGCACAAACAGCACTGACAAAATGTATTCTGATGTTAAACACGTTACCAAGGAAACCGCAGAAAGACAAAAGGAGCATCCAGAACATATGTAGGTTGTTTTAGTGAAATAGCATGAGCAGACTGCTGTGAATGAAACTGTTCAGAAAATGTTTAGAAGGGCAAACAAGGCCCGACATTTCCTTCATTCAATGTTTCACAGAGCAAAGCCGGAGAAGTAGACAGGAGGGCTTGCATGAGGTTTAGAACGTCCATGAAGACTTCCATACTGCCTTACTCACTGAGTAATGTCTTTTTCAACAAGTGCCGTGGATCAGAGGGCCAGGAAAGCAGTCTGGTGTTGCAAATGCTTTAGTTAACATTTGTAACATGAATGTGATACCTACAAATCATCACAGGATGGATGGCTGAGATTTTACAAGATTCAGTAACTTGACATCAGTAATGTTGCATCTTACTCTAGCACCATACAGCAGTATACCATGGTCTAGCAAGGCTTAGGTTCGGCTTAAGGGTTAATTAATGGCTTAATTAAAAGAGAGGACAGGAAGCAAAATAAACTAGATTCAGAATTAAAAAAAATCATAAGCAACTCTTATGAGAACACAAGACGTAGACTTCAGGGATTATTAATACATTAGGGGAAAAAAAACAAGACAGGCACCTTTTCAAAGAGAAACTGAAAATCCACAAGTATTCACTTAACGTCCACACCCAGGCTTATCTTCATTTACGTGGATGAACATTAGCATTACATAAAGTAACAGTCACTAATATTGACATGTTTGAGATCCACGTCAAGATCATCTCTGGCTTTTTGCATACGTCATGTTGAAAACAAACCAGACAAAAAAAAAACAAAAAACAAAAAACATTTTGTCATGAGGAATCTTTGATGGTCAGATATTAAATATATTAACATGTATATGCGTGTGCTCCTTATATACACAATTTACAGGTGTATGTGTGCATACAGTCAAAGTAATTTGGCCTGCAATGGATAGGTTGGAGAAGCTGAGAGTCTTTGGTAGGAACAAGAGAGGGGTTTCGCAACTTCACACTGAATCGCTAACAAACTGAATCCAAACGATTCCATCCAAAGACATCATGTTCTGATAAAGCTCATAGTGAAGAGAGGAAGGAGTTCATGAGATATCACTTCACCATGCTAGGGGAGCTTCTCCTACTTTGCAGTAGCAGGGTAAGAAATGTTACCCTATACATGTGTTTTTTTCAGTGCACTAAACAGAGGCACGTCTACAAAGATTTAAAAAAGAAATCTTAAGGGGCTTTAGAGAAAATGTCAAACCCTGGCAAAACAGTTCATGTGGACTGTTAGAAAAGGCAAAAGGTAGGTTGTAAGGAAACACTGGCAGATACAAAGGGGCTGTTGGAAGAGACAGTGAATGTTTTGGAGTCACTCTTAAAAAAAGGATTGAGGCAAAGGAAGGCAAGGCAGATACCCACACACAGACAGAGCAAGAGAAGGCACACTGCTTTAGAAAGCGCATTTCGATCAACACACACTATACAGGAATATCCTTATATTTACTATATCAAAAGGTAAATCAACCCAATGTTGGCAAGATCAGTGAGAAATGAAAAAATAGCTTTAATATAGAAATGAGTAACTAGATTCTCTATATAATAAGCTTTTCTTGGTGAAGTACCTTGACTCAACTCTTTCTGAGACAGTCCATTCCTCTCTGGCAGTCTATGGGCTTGTGAAATGGAATTAACAGTAATAAAAAAGAATTTGACTCATCTTAACTTTCACCTTGCTCACCACATTTTACATGAAACAGCAGATCAGGATGACAGGAGAGGAGAAGTGAGGAAAAGAAGGGAGTAATCTGACAGGACGGGAAAGTATCAACCCTTTTGATGAGTTCTGCAGTACAGTATTGGAATGGAATCTCCATCAATGAAAATAAATCACTGCTTGTTTTTATATGTGTAGAAATTAGCACATATTAAGCCTTAATCCAATTAATCCAGTATGGCTAAACGTGGTTAGAAAAACAGTGAATAAAAGGTTTTTTATTACAGTGGAGTTCAATTACAGGAGGTTTCGGTTTCCAAATATGTTGCTGGGGTCCACATACTCCTTCACGGACTTGAGCATGCCCAGACCCACAGTGGAGACGGCCTCCTTCATCCACTCCTTCCTCAATTTACCCACTGAGAGAGAGAGAGAGAGAGGGAGAGAGAGAGAGAGAGAATGAGAAAATGAGAGAATGAAAAAATGAGAGAGAATGAGAAAATGAGAGAGAATGAGGGAGGGGGGGAAGAGGGAGAGAAAATAAGAGAAGAAAGAGAGAGCGTGAGAGAGCATGAGAGAGAAAGAGAGAGAGAGAGAGAGAGAGAGAGAGAGAGAGAGAGAGTGTGAGTGAGTGAGTGAGTGAGTGAGTGAGTGAGTGAGTGAGTGAGTGTGCATGGCTTGGTGGCAGACGGTAGCGAGCACATCAATCTTGAGTGAGTGAGAGTAAGCAGGGCTTGATGGATGTGTTTATGGGGGGGCTGCAGCTATGCTGGATCTGGTGGAACACTCCTGAAACGCTGCGAGATGTTTTGCATGGTGTGATTTATGGAGAGCAGCAGACTATCAAACTCATTAAGCTGCCAGTGTTCCCTATGGAGGGAAGCTCGCCACGCTCTGACTCCCTCCCTCTCTCCCTTTCTCTCTTCTTTCTGTCTCCCCACGTCTGTCTCCTTCCTCTAAGCCTCTCTGTTTCTCCCTCACTGTCGCTCTCTCTCGCTCTCTCTCTCTCCTCTCTGTCTGTAAACCCCTGGTTGTCCCTTCACAGCCACTGAGTGTGGACAACTAACACTCACCCAGTACTGTTATGGTAACGGCTTAGTGTGAAGTCAAGGTCCTGTGGCACACGCACACACACGCACCCACACACAGGGCCCTGAACAAAACCTGGATGTCCGCAGTGCAAATCCCATCGGCATGCCATTCTAGGAACATGAACTATATTCAGCTTTCAACACCACCATGGGAGGAAGACTATCATAGCACATAAGTGGTACAATGCCTATTAAAAGTTTTGGGGCAACTTGTTCCAAGAAATGTTTATTTTGACTTTTACTTTTCAATTATGTACGAAAAAATGCATAATTAAGCATGAAAAATACATGCAAAGGTTTTGTTGAAAAAAGTGTTAATTACTAATACTTTAAAACACTCAGCTTCATATTAATTGAGCTTGCTTTCTTAGTATTCTTTAGTTCCTCAGAGCAGATTTTGCCCAAATGATTTGACAGTTCTGTTTTCCAAACTATTGTTAAAACACATATTGTCCAAATTTTTGAACTATTCCCAAGGTAGTACTGTTTCAAATATTTACATGCAACATTGTTTACCTCAAAATAAACATGGTTAAACTTTATTAAGTCACTGCAAACCAGCAAAGAAAACTTCTTTTAAAAAAAATATAGAAAAAAGGTCTCTGTAAACATTTGATGGGCAGTTCATAAGTACTGGTGCACAATGTAATGTAAGCACAGTGCTCACAAAATATCATCCTGAGATTATACCATTATGTACTGTAATTGTGATATGACAACAGCCCTGATATTCCAAGTATCTGGCCAACTTGCATATGTGCCTGTGGTTTATCAGAAGGTGAACAGCACACTCACCAAAAATCAGAGGGCTTAAAGCACATGTGAAAAAATAACCTATACTAGATTATTCATAGACAAGCTCAACCTTTGCTGATGGTCAGTGATGAAATAAAAAAAGCAATGTATTATGTAGCTCTAGTGAGTGCAGTACATATGTTGTTATATTTATAACACTACATTTGCTTTTGTGAGGTGGTGGTGAGATCTTATAAACTGATTCACTAATGATAAACATTACTTGCTTGCGTGTTTCAATACACTTTTTTGACACAACGGAGACAATATGCACTGCATATTGAATACGGTTTGTAGTTTCTACTGTTCTATCAGAAAACACTCCATGATATTCCTAAAAAGACACCACTAAAAATAAGACAATAAAACTGCACCTGAAACCATTTATAATTTTGTACATATTTAATTGTATTTATCTTCAAGAAAAGAAATAAATGACTTGTTTATGGTAACTGCGCTTTCACCAGGTGCAGAATGTTGACTTTTTTTAATGTCTGGTCCATAAAATTTGCATATCCTTACACCCCTATCATTTCTTCAATATTGGCATGGCTGACAGGGTAACGTCCCTCATCTCACCTGACATTCAGTTATTTGAAAAAGGAGGGGTTAAGGACAGAGACACAATGCTACTGGCAACGCCCAAATCCAGACACTCATACATATTCATACATATGCAAATGCACAACAGTACCTCACACAATAAGATAGACTGCTGTTCCAGCCAACCAATCAGGGTTTTCCAACCAGAAACAAAGTAACCTGCTTTATCTACTACTTCCCCTCTCCATTTCTCTCACCCCTCCTTCTTCCCTCCGTCCCTTGGTCGTCTTTAACCCTCGTTCCTCAGGGAGAGAAAGAGAAACAGAAGGTGCTGGGGCTGCATCATTGCCTCCATCACAGAGATAATTTACACATCTATCATGTCACTTTCTCACCATTCTCTCTCTCGTCACTATCTATCTCTCACAGCTATGACCACACAGCTGAAACAAGCAAAAGTGCACTGTCAGGAGAGAGAGAGAGGGAGAGAGACAGAGAGGCACAGAAGAGAGAGAAGTGTTCCCCAAAGCTGAAAAATGCCAATGTGCTTGGAAAGAGTTGAAAATTGTGGGTGTTTGTGTGTGAGCACATGCAAGAGAGACCGAGAGAAAAAGAGAAAGAAGGGAGAGATCTGATTTGTGCCATTTTTTGCACATTTGAGCTATATAAATGATCAGTTCTTCTCTAACCACAAGTCTGAGTCTCTCTCTCTCTACTCTCTCTCTCTCTCTCTCTCTCTCTCTCTCTCTCTCTCTCTCACACACACACACACACACACACACGAGATTTTGTTCTGACCGTGAGCATATCTCTCCAAATGGCAACTTTTCAGCAGAAGGAAAAAACATTCTCAAAGCGAATCTGACATGAATTGAATAAAAAAATAACGCTACATTTTTCTTCCACACTGTGTTGAACTTCTGAGCAAAACACTGTATCAGGGAGGGTCTCTGAGCTAGCTGAGCCTTTTCACTTGAAGACAAGAGGGGGTGGTGGAAGGGGGAGTTGAAACATGATATTATTGGTTAATATTATTTCTCCCCACCTACTGGTGCTCGGTGATGAAATCAAAAATCAGATGTTTTGCTGGTAGCATTTCACTGAGGACTATATAAAAAAACAAATGGTGATAAATTGTTCTTAACATGAAGTAACTGAGGTTTTTGACCAATTATGTTTCATTTTCTCACAATGTAATGGGCAGCTGGCCATAATAAATTAACAGACAATAAACAACCTAAAAGAAATTTGTAGTTACAAAGTTTTGATCTGACAGCAATGTCTTAATGTCTAAGCAAAAGCCAGAACCTTCTACTGTTCTCTAACTGACCCACTAAAGCACTAAATTCCTTTTGTTTTCTCCCCCCCCCCACCCGGTTTCCCTCCTCCACCCCAGCAGCCTGTAAAGCTAGAGTGACTATTAATCCTGACATACTCACTTTCTATTTAACTGCTTCCATTAGATGAACCAGTAAGAGTTCTCAGGTACTCGACTATATTGCCATGTGCATCTACAGTTCTAAAAGTGTTTCATTTATATATTGTTCATTTTGACAGGTTCAGACAGGGTGGATAAAATGATGATTATGTCATGATAAGATTGTCTGAATATAACATGGTATTGTTGTTACTTCTAGAACATTAAACTGCATGGACCATAAAACTCAAATTTAGAGAAACCTATACAGGGCCTATAAACAACAACAAAAACAACAACAAATGTGTAATAACTGTAAAAACTACATCATAACAAGTAGCTATGTCAACTGAATGTCATTAGGTCATTTTTTGTTTTATTGATTTACGAATACATTTTGATGAAGTGTGATTTTTCCCCATTTCTTCTTGACCAGTTTCTTTTTTTTTTTGCAGACACTGTATTAAAAAATAAATACAGTTGGGTGCAAATGTCTAAGAACACTAGTGAAAATGCATCTACTTTACATTCTTTTCTAATTAAATACAAAACTTTTTATACTGTATCATTTTATAACAATAAGTAAAAAAAGTAGAATATTTCAAATATTTTCATGAATTTCTTGTATTTGGTGTGCCTTCCCTTTGCTTTAATGATGGCGTGTACATAAGCTGGCATGGACTCCACATGATTGTGCAAAAGCTTCTGAGGAATAGATTAAATCTGCCCGAGAGACTGGACACAAGCTTCAATGGAAGGGATAAGACTAAAAAATTCTGACCTTTTTTTGTACAAATGCCTTATGTTCAATATCACAAATTTGCTTTAATTAGACTGGTAAGCTCTCCTTATCCCTTAAAATGAAACAGGCTGTTTTGTTACTGTGCCTAATTTATATAAATGACCTCTGTTCTGTTTGGCTGCACTGAATTGGCTTCATTCAAAAAGCTGAAATACCTCCTTATAACTTCAACTTGAACAGGCTGAACTGCTGTAGGCTGAATAGGTAGATATGTGTAAATGCACTGGTTTTTATATTATCAAAAAAATAATTAATTTAAAATGAGCTGTTTTTGCAGCTTATTTTCCATAGGACTGGAGAGTGGATGGTACGTTCTGAAACTTTAACAAATATTTAGCACTAAATTTAACTCTCACTTCAAAAAAACAGAACAGTTTGGTTTTCCATGTAATGGGTCTTGTGATGTGTTATATTTTTGCCCACCTTTAGGTTCATACCATGTAAATCCTAAATGCTCTGTCTGAGTGGTTTCAGAGTTAAGTTTGAGAATGGCCTACTTCTGCTGCTATGAGCTACACGGACCCTTTATCACACCGGCTCTAGCAAAAAGCCACACAACTAACACTCTGTTACTGAGCCACATCGAAAAACCGTGTGAAATTATAAGGATAAAAGTGGTTTGGAGTTGATTTGGGCTGTGTCTGTCCATGCAAAGTAGTGTGTGTGTCTTTCTCTATTCACTGGTCTGACCTGCAGTAAACACAGGTTGGTAAAGTGTGCATTTCCCTCGTGTGCCCTCCCACCTCACGGGTCCAGACAACATCTGTTTTCTCTGTCTCTCTCTCTCTCTCACACACACACACACACACACTATTTGTCATGCTGTGATTGTGGGCAGACAAAGCAGGCTGTCGGCAGCCAGATAGCACTGTGCTACTGCTATTAATCACAATTACACAGAACTGCGCACACACACACAGCATCAACATCACACTCAGATCTAAACTCTCCTTTTTTCCTAGCTCCTTTTTTCAGCACCTCTGTGATCCCCTCCTCCTCCTCTTGTCCTCTGTGAAGAGGTCAGTAAACTCCATTTAAAAAACAGCCTCCTAATTTTCCTTCACCTCACCAGCAGCTTTTTATTAGCCATGTTTTCTTTTGGCATCTTCTCCCCTTCCTCTTTTGGAGACATGAGTTTGATATCGAGGAGGCAGCCTGAGTACGAAAGCCTCATGTGTACATGTGTGACGGCTGTGATTAATGCGTTTAGTGATGTATGGCTTGCAGCAGGCGGATAGTAATATAGATAAAGCCTCTGTTTCGGCTGCGTCCCAAAGCTTCATGAGGTACACTGCCCGAGCCTAACATGTTTCCTTTCAGCTAGCAGCAAACTGGACAATTTCAGTGAAAATTGTAAACTATTTTATCACAACTCTTTCACTCTCATTCTAATCCATTTACAAGGCGTTACGTAGCTTTGAAAGCAACCTCCTACTTTGAGGTCTGTATTATTTAATAAATGTGGTTTACATTTAATATAACTACTTACACTAATAACACTATACTAAAGCTAGCAATTCATTGCTTTCCAAACAAAAGACCAATTTGAACCTCAACAGTCTGAAATACTAACTATAGAATTATTTATTAAACTGTTCAGTCCAGCAGCTGAGTAAAGTTAAAAATGGAAAAAAAAAAAATAATAATAATAATAAAAAAAAAACTAAACTATTCAGTTCAACAGTTAAGAGAGGTCAGATCAAATAGCTACTATGCATGTAATGGTGAAGAATATTACCTCCATGGTGGTGGGACAGGCTTCCCCCATTGGCTAGAATCTCCTCTCTGGCTGCATGCTGCACACAATTGTGAAGAAACATCTCAAACACATTTATCCTTTATATTTAAACCTGTATAGAGATCTTTGAATCAAAACCCCATGTTACCAGGTGCTATGCAGGCCACTAGTTTCAACAGTTATTTTGAGATGAAACATTAGTTTTAGAGCAATGTAAAATTCAAATTGTCAAAATGTTAAACTTTTACCTCCACTTTCTCATAGACATGTATTGGATCACTGAGTCCTCTATAGTTGAAGGCAAAGTAGAAATACACACAGGCACCAGCATCATAGGTCTGTGTTACTCTGTGGGAGAGGGTGGAAAGAGAGAATAGAAAGAAACAACAAATGTATAGTAAATCGAAAAAAATCAGACTTAAAGTCATTGACTATCAACAGCTATCACTATAACTACAACCCTCTTTTGCACTTTTGTTTGACTAAACTGAAGTATCATTTGGTCAGGGGCACATCATCTGACTCTCATTTCCTCTCTAATAGCAGAGTATTTAAAAGCACTAACAGACACTGGCTCCATTCTGGTCCATCAGCCAGCACTGATGTTAAGATAAATGTAGCGTGTATGGTGTGACTGAGGCCGGGGTGGGGAGGTCCCTGTCACTTTCAATCTCATCACATTCATGTGATATTAAGCACCCACCAGCCACACCAACACCCCACCGGCACATGGCCATATTCTCAGTTCAGCACCGTCCATCCACATAATGCCCCTTAATAAAATATCAGTCTCACACACTGCGGCCATCTGGACACACACCAGTCGGTGACATTACAGATACGTAACACCACGGTACAATACTTTTAAAGACCTGCTAAAGTGATTTTGATTACTCAGCACAAAAAGGATGCACAATGATAATTCTAATTCTGGTGGCCACATTTAAGGATTTTTCAGAATGTTCACAGAGTGAGTTAGGATGACAGAGTATGAATGGCAGGAATGATATCATGGTAGGCTGAGGACCACGGTTTGTGCTAGCGAATAAACAAGCAGCCACAAACTCATTTTTGTGTCATGTGTGAGGCATGTCAAACATTTTTGTGCAAAAATAATATCAATAGCCAATGACTTGAATTTTACCCATCTGTTGGGAAGACAATCATTCTCAGGCATCAAAATGTTATAGCTGAAAATCTGCTCATGCATGCTAGTTTGCATTTATAACCAAATGTGCATCATATATCAGCAGACAATATATTGTTTGATGATCAATTTGAAAATGTGCTTATTATCATGATTCCAATACCAAAATTACAGATATTATCTGTAAATGATCTGTAAAATAAATGAATGAAAATGTATTTATTGTCTCTTTTGTTTTTAGGCCATGCACACACAGGAGTCTGCTTAAAAATGTAAAATATCATTTTACATAAAATTATGTAAATGTTTACAATAAGTCAAGTCTAACTAGCTGTGACACGGCTCTGTACAATGAATCAATGACTTAACCTCTCTTATGCTTCCTACACTTCATATACAGATTATAACAGAAACATGTTTTAAAATGGGGGGGCAGTAAGGTTGTTGGTGATTGATATTGGTATCGGCCACAACAAGATGTTAGATTCCGTTTATTGTTATCGACTCAGAAGTTTAATATTAGTGCATTCCTATTTTTACCCTGTATGTTCCTCTTTTCGGCAGATTCCTCAGCCTGCTCTGAGACAAACTGAAGCTGTGCTGATTCATGTCTTGTTGACCCTGAATCAAAGTGTAAAAAGTGTGTGATCTGAATGCCATGTCTCTCTTTTGAGCATGTTAGGGTAGAGGGGTGTGTGTGTGTGTGTGTGTGTGTGTGTGTGTGTGTGTGTGTGTGTGTGTGTGTGTGTGTGTGTTATCAATAGGGGCACTGGCTTTAGCAGAGGTTAAATGGCCACATCAATCACGTCACACACAGCTGCACAGCAACAGACAGGAAATGAATGGCTAAGGTATAATCAAGTTTCAAACCTAATCTCTCTCACTCTCCCTCCTCATTCTCTCTCACACTCACCCCACCAATCCAACCCCCCACTTTTCCCTTTTACTCACTTCTTTTCACCTCACTCTCTTTCTTTGTTTGGCAGGGTCACAGTGAAGGTGGACAGAGTTGTGTTCAAAGACTTTGTAGGTCACTAGCTTGCAGACAAACCCATGCCAGGTTAAGTCTCTTCAAAACAAAAGCTGTATAATAGATTGAACAAAGTCTAAGCTTATTTGCTGTCTAATTGGAGTAGACAAAAGTCTTGGCCAACTGTCTGCCTCACTGGTGTTAGTAAAGCAGGCTTCCAGTAGGTAATTAACAAACTGAAGGGAATTGCAGATGATCATACCTGCATGTAGATAGCGGGGGGAACTGCACTCCTCGCTCTTTACACTCTCTCACTATCCTCTCCTTTACGTTCCGGCACAGGTCCAAAACTCTGCAAAACACATGCACAGAAAATGGCAAATATTAATACTCAACACACACAAACAAGGCTCAAAACTACCAGAAAATATCCTGTGCAAATCCACTTAACTAAAGAAGCCATCTCACACAGCAAGAGTAGGGTCAGTATAGGCAGTGACCAACACTCTCAGTGTGCAGAGAAACTATAATGGGTGTCATTACCCTCCCTCAGAGGGTAACACACGGTTCACTGGCAGAGTTAAAGGAGAGAAATCAAGGCAAGTGTAGTGATTTTCTCTTAAAGACCCTCAAATGGCAATGGTAAGAAATGCAGGAACCCAGTCATAAATGCAGGTGGCTCAAACCAAATGAAGCTCTGCTAAACTGTTGTATTTTGTTTTATGCAGTACAGAATCTGCAGCATGAATTATAGCACAGCATGAAAAAGGGAAGAACAATAAAAACTCATTTCTGTGTTGAAAGGTGAATGTTACGCAAGAAAGATTGAAAAATTCACCAACAACGTAGCTAAAGCTCTTCTAAAGCCTGAAAATATTAAAGTTTGACAAATCATGATATAAAAAGCAGACATTAACAAGACAAATTTATTCTATTTACACCATTGACCATTCACATTGATTCTAATATCAGAATTACAGATCAATCTATGATTATCTGTAAACGTTCTGTAAAATAAATGAATTAACAACACAGATTTACTCTATTTACAACATTAACCATTCCCAACAGAATAGGGAAGATTTCAGAAAGCTGAAATGAAATTCTTTTCTAGCCCATGATAAACAGAGCTTGGCTACCACAATCTCCATCAGTTTGTGTAGGCCAGTGAAGAGTGGATAACACTATGACTTCTGTGTTTGGAGCTTAAGTGAATTCTTCCAGATTGTTAAAGAGAGGGTCTGACAGAAACAAAGCCAAGTACAACTCTTAGAAACATTAGAATATCTGTTTTCCACCTTGGCTGCACAGTGCTTGCAGCTGAGCAAGATTATGTAAATTTAAATGCAGATGTAGTTCTACTTTGCAATGTAATATACAATATGACTTTAAAGAACTGTAAAACTAAAAATATGTATTTTTGAGACATACACTGATACTTCAAAGAGTCACAGTTCTTACCTGTCCCAAGGCACTGATGTTTCGAATGACTCGCCTATCACATAGTAATCCATGCCCAAATCCTACACAAAGACAGACATCTGTTACTGTAATGCAGCATTCTGCACTGGTTATCTGGTTTCAAGCACTAAAAGGAAGATGAAGTGTATTAAATGAAAGACTATTGTACCCGCAGGTAAGCAATAACAAAGGTGAGCATGTATCCTCTCTGCCCGTTATCCTCTCCTGCTGCCAGACCCCTACAACATACACGGACACACAGACACACACAATTAAAAAACAAAAAAAATCTGTTAATATCAAATTGGCCTTATCAACACGAGCTAAGAGATTTCTTTCTTCAAAATCATTCTTTCTCTCTCACTGTCTCTCACAGACACACACCCCAATCAAGTGAATCAGCTCTTAGTTTTAGCCCTCTATCAATCATAATCATCATCTAATCAAATATTCATTTGCTACCCAAACTAATCAACATAACCTCGTTAAAGATGAAATCATGGATCGATTTTCCCATTTTTCCTCAGAGCACAAGCACAAGCATTCCACTCAAGTATCAATCAAATCCATCACTACCCCAATGAAAAGGGGCCATGATGAATGTGAAAAGATGAAAAGAAAACAGCTTGTGTCTTAAAGAGGAGTGATATAGTGAATTAGAATGGTCACAATTAGGGTTAAAGGTTATGCCTCTGATGACCCATAGTGATCCACACTGGTTAAATAGTTACTATGATTCAATGGAAACAGCAGGCAGTACTGCAACACACAGACACACCAGAGGTTAGTAAGGGTTCTCTGCAGATGCACAATATGGAAAACACTGCCACAGTTAAACGGAGGGCCTAGGTATTGGAGCTGAATGATACTGTGAAAAAGAATCACACTGTGACTTTTTTTATTTTTGCAGGGGGAAAAAGCCCAGCTAAACCGCTCACATTTACAAGTAATTATCACTCTTGTGATGTAAAGGTTCATTTCTGACCAACATCATTCACGCTAGTTGAACCATGTGAGTGCCTGGATTCACCTAAACACCCAAAGAACATCTGTGATTGGTGAGGATGCTCATAGCACATGATAAAACGTTCAGAGAGCAGTCAGAGACCAATTTTCACATTGTGCACACTGCACACTTGTGAAAAAATGTAACTATTACCAGGGCGGTTGTTGCGATAATGATTAAAAATAACAACGTAGCCCTACTAGATATGTGTAGTTTTAGGAAGTGCGGCTGAGCTATCGATGTGCTCCTGGTGTGAAATTACAAAACAATTAAAGCTATTACCACTACATTATATAACTACTACCCCACAATAGTACTACAGCCCCTGAACACACATAAACAACAGATCTGGTGGCTCCTTCAGGGTATTTTCACTCTTGGAAAGATTCTGCATTTCAAGTGGTCTCTGTTGGCTGAGCCATGGGTTTCTGTGCATATGTGAACACGTCAAATGAACAGTGTGTTAGACTGATTTTGCTGTGGTTAAAGGTTGAGGCAAGGCACAACGCAACATACCCACTGTAAAATTACTGTAACACACAGACTCAACTGGCTTACTGTTTTTTTAGAAAACAGCAAAAAATATAATATGTAGTAAAATAAATAAAATAAAATGCACAAAAGAATATAATACAATACAGTACATTGTTTAATAAATGACTATTTAAAGAAAGGATGATTTCATTAACAACGGTAAACATTTAACGGTTTTTAGCAGCTTGGCACTATTGGAATATTTTCTCACAGCTTTAAACAGGACTCAGTCAGTCAAAACTGTTATTTCAGATTACTTCAAGAACACTACCCTTTGGCATTACTCAAGTTTTAAAAGAGTTGAGAAGGGAACAAGAAGTAGTGTGAGACTTCATCAATGCTGAAGAGAACCAGAAAGAGATTTGAGTTCCCTTCAAAGTTTGCTTACACCGAAAGCACTGCAGTCATTTGCAGCCGGTTCCTTTCAGGTTCACTTTAACAGAACTGAGTTTGTTTTATTTTAAAAAAAAAAAAACTATGTGAAAACAACCCTGCAATGGACTGGCGACCTGTCCAGGTTGTATCCTGCCTTCCGTCCAATGACCACTGAAACAGGCTCCAGCACCCCAGAAGGATAGAAAGATGTGATTTAGAAAATGTGTGTGTGTGTGTGTGTGTGTGTGTGTGTGTGTGTGTGTGTGTGTGTGTGTGTGTGTGTGTGTGTATGTGTATGTGTATGTGTATATACGTGAAAACACCCTTAGAGTCTCCCTTGAAGAAACCAAAGGGCACAGAGGAAAGACTTCAGGTGATCCATCACATACACGTACACACATACACACACACACGTACACGTACACACACACAGCAAACTCAGTAATAGGTCCACTAAATAGAACAGAGAGTGTCCTGAAGTACCCTCTTAAACTAGTGCCAAGTTCACAGAGCAGTGAGTGAATAAGTGAATAAGTGTGTGTGTATGTGTGATGAATTACTTAATAAAACATAAAAGATAAAGTACTAATGATACAAATTAATGGCTAAAGGTGACCAGTATTGTGGTATTATTTTTCATAACAGTAAAGATCATTCCAGTTTCCTTTAGGTTTTCTCTAAATTGTCTCAATATCTCAGAGATGCTGGCTTGACAATGAGTATGAGTACCTTATATCAAACATTTCAAGCATTTTGTTCTCATTTTATTATATTATCTACTGTTCTCTGTTTTATATACCACCTTTTTAGTTATAGTGTGAAGCACTTTGAGCTGCATTTTATGTATGAAAGGTGCTATATAAAGCTGCTATCATTATTATTATTATTATTAATAATAATAATAATAATAATAATAATAATAATATTTATATTATCATCATCATCATTATTATGAACAACAGTCAACAACAAATATCACAGCCTCCTTATAACTAGAAATGGTCATATCTATGCTCTGAATTGGCAATGGTAGCATAAATTATTTACTCTGCGAAGCGTTATTAAAATTTGCAGGAAATGTATATAATGAATTAGAAAAAAAAAGTCTTACCCAAATTTGGCAGCGATGTCATAAACCTGTTTCTCATGCTGCAAAACCTTTTCCCGATCTCCTTCAAACAGCAGAGTGGCCACACACAGGTGATGAGGATCAAAGCCTTTGAACTAGAAGAGAAAGGCAGTAAAGTGCGTTTATAAACAGGCAAGGTTCTGTGATGAGGTGAATACATGGTCAACTGAACTATTTCTGGTTATAACTATAGTATGACTCTTACTTTTGTGATATAGAATTTTTTCAGCCCATCCAAAAATGATGTGAAAATGGAGGACACTTGAGGCTTAAGTGCATGACCTGGAAGAACATAAAGCATAAAACAAAATGTCAACACAATGTCAACTAAACAGGGCATTAAAATCTTTCAGTAGTCCTGTATCTCACAAGTGGGCTTCTGACTCTTTAAAAGCAAGAGATAAATGAAGGTCATATTTTCCACCACCCATTTGTGGCCTCTTTCCCCAGTTTATCCACACAGGCTTGGTGCAGCAGATTGATCCGCTGGTTGAACAATAGCAGTGTAATGAATGGGGGAGAGTACAGAAGCAGATACTTTGAAGCTGAGGGCCATAAATCAGCCTCTCACTGAGAGGAAATGCTTTCTACACTGCCGTATCCGTCTCTCTGACATACACTGTCTGATTTATTCCAAACGGACAAACAAAGCATAGCACACAAACGAAAACGAGTGGCCACAGCCAACGGGGCGGCTATCAATCTCTTACACACTCACGCAGACGGGGACAAAAACATCATCAAATAGTCCACGGAGAGTTTGCATGCCACTTTTCTTCTGTGTATTTCAGTTTCCATCCTTTTCTTTCATACACACTGCATAGTGGAGGGGTGGCTGTCAAACAACCAGGTGCATGCTCGCTCTCTTTTGACTTTTTTATTGTTTCCATTTAAAATATGTCTACAGGTCACCAACAACCTGTTAATCAATGAGGTCATTAATTTCATAGGCTTCTAACCAGGCAATATAATGCATTTCAAGTATTAACAGAAAATACTTTCCTTTTTTCCCCAAAAAAATTTTGTCATGATGGGTCACACGATGCTACCAAGCTGGGAGGATGAAGGCCAGATTATGCTTCCTCCATATCATATGAAGCCAGCCACTGTATTTTTTCTAAATGCCATTAAAGCAAGGTCATCTGACAGCTGAACATGCTTGAAGGAGAAAACTAATAGCCAATTCTGTTATATCAGCTAACAGCCAGTAGCGCTGGCTAGCATTGTGCTGAGTTTTGGGTGGAGAGGGAGGCCAACCTACCCACCCAGAGAGTTTGAGGAGAATTAAGCTCCCTTGGATACCCACCTACGGACGGCACTGGCATTGCCGGAGACTGATCCTGGTGACAGGGCTAATGCGGTTACACCATTCAGAAGGCCCAACTGAAAATACTTTTAAAATACTTTAGATTATGTGCTACAGTAAACACTTCTCTTTTGGACTGAAACCCCAGTCTTCAAATTGGAATGAAACAGTAAGTCTAACAGTAAGTTAGAGCCTTCAGTAAACCTTCTTTATGTGGCTTGAACTTGACACTGAGTGGCTTGACCCGATATCAGTTTATCAAATGTACAAATGACACATACTGACAAATCGGAAAGCACTTTTTTATACTTCATTTAAGAGAAGGAAAGAAAAAAAAAAAGAGTTTAAGCAATAAAACTATATTTCTCTACTGTATGTCTGTAAAGACTGCATTTGCTTCCTCATCGTGTTAAGAGGGTTGTGTTACTTGTGTTAAGAGTGTGTATGTGAATGATGATTAAGAAGAGAGAAGCCTTTATTAATAAGAATGTGTATCTCTCTGTTTTAGGTGTTACCAAGAGTCAATTTCTCTCGCACTGAGGCTGAGAAGTGCATCGTCGGTGAAAATGTGAGACTGCACGAGAGCTAATGAGGTCCCTAGAGACCAGGGGAACTTTCCCAATGATGTCTGGCAACCCCTCACAGATTCCTTCATATCTCCAGATATAATTTTATAAAACAATATGCTGTAAGCTTTGTTGCCAGGGCTATTTTTCATTGTTCCTGAATTGTACGTTGGTTTGTTCTGCTGCTCAGCTGGTGAGATAATGATCAATTTAACTTTAGATGAGACAGCGAATGGAGGGGGCCTCTGAGATGAATTATATCATGCAAAATTAAACCGCTTGATGCAAACAACACAGAAAACATCAGCTACAAGCAATTAAACAAAGAATTGTGCACATACAACAATACTTTGTCTCCATAAACAGACAGGAAGGCCAACAATACATACTGAGCCCTTGAATCATTAAGACAAATCTATGAACAAAGATAGTTGTACTGCTCATTTTTGCAGGATTACCAAGCCTCAAAAGCCAAGTGGGGAAAAAAACAAAAGAGCTGATTAGAGGTTATACACATAGATGCTCAATCTCTGAATGCTGTGTATTCTTGATTTACAGATCTATACTAAAAAGGTTCAGAGGATAGTGGTACATTACACTACACTCACTAGCTAAGCCTCAACTAGTGACTAATAAACCTGTGTCCATATGCGTCAACTTCCTTTATACAAAACAAGCCTTAAATTCTGTGAATGATGATCATAGCAGGTTGGAGACTGGATCCGTCCATTAGGGGCGGGGTTCTTTAATAAGACCTTTAAGGAGCAATGTAACCATGGCAACAGCTACGCACTCCTACGTCTGCCATCATGCTCACCCTCTAAGTTTATATTTTTATATCAGCTCAAAAACCTTTTAAAAAAATAATAATAACTTAATGTAAAAAACGCCAAATAATTCTGCAGAGGTTCTCCATGTTTTGCAAGATGGAGCTTTTTCAGAGACAATGGCAGTTTTGGTTTCTGGCTGTCTAAAATTAGATTTGTTTAGTAGATATTTATTACCTTGATTTACTTTGTTTTCATTTTAAAAAGGACACTGCATTTATAACTGGTTCTGCAACATCAACTGAAATGTCAATAACAGTACTGTCAATAACCAAATGCTAGGTCTAATTCAGAATGGCTGATTTTACTTTTACTTTTTTTTTTTTTTTAACCGATTTTCTCCCCAATTTAGTCGTCTCCAATTCCACCCGCTAGTTAGGACTCCCCCAATCACACGATGCTATCAACGCTAGGAGGGTGAAGGCTAACACAGGCTTCCTCCGAGACCTGTGAAGCGCCACCGCTTCTTTTCGAACTGCCGCTCACGCAACGTCATCGGACAGTTGAACGCGCTCGGAGGAAAGCGCCAACCGCCAGATCTGTTACGTCAGCTAACAGACGCCTGCGCTGACTAGCATCGCGCTGAGTGATGGGGGGAGATGATTTTACTTTTGATGATAGAGTCTGAGTTTCTAAATAAAAAGAAGTTATTAAACAGTTTTCATCAACCATTTAGAGGGTGGGTCACCATGCATTTGCAAGAGGTAAAGCACAGTATTTATTTGTTGTTTCTTTCTGGTGTGGGAAAGAACTTACCAAACTGAAACTGCTCGTTGTCCATCAGTCGAATAGAAGCAGGGGCGCATCTCTATAAAGAAAACACAAAGAAACTGAACATTGATGCATTTATGGTTTGAAAAAGTCAAGAGCAGTGCAACAAAAGCCTTCAACAAACAACAGTATTGTTTACAAACCTCTCTGCTTTAGTTCGTGATTAACCTCTTAACCCCTAGAGTGATTTCAACTTAGGATGCTACCAGACTAGGATGCGAGACTGAGGAATGGAAGTCGAGATTTAATGATGGGATAAAAGAAAAACACTCTGAGGGAGTCTCTGCAGGAAACAGGCTCACAATTCTCTCTTTCTTTAATTTGCCCTTTTAATGCTTAAATCAATAATGACAGAAAAACAGGGCTATGCATTCCCCAAATGGCACAGTAAGAGTTGTACTATTTCACTGTTGTGTTGAAGAGTAGCCTTAGGCACTGAGAGTCTGGGGGAAAGTTTGGGTCCGTAACTCTGAGATCCTAAACATCATGATCAATATCTTAATTGTCTGCTGTGTTCTGAGTTCATTTATGCCCTCATAACAAGCAGAGCTCCACAGTGCTAACACATAAACTCATCAATAACACTGCCATCAGCACAAGTCAATGGTTAAGTAATGAGCTAAGGCCTACACAGACAGAGTCTATGGCTGTTATCTGAAGCCTGAGCCTAGAGTTTGAAAAGGATGTTAGCACCCTGAATTCTGTTCTTGAATTCTTTCTTTTATACAGTGATGGAAAACAATTAACTTGTTAAAATAAGTTGTTTTTAATGAGTTAAAGGGTCCTTTAGGCAGACATTAGATATTAAGTGAGGTAAAACAAAAGATTAAACAAAGGACTGAAGGATGTCCATGCTGACCTGTTTGGCCACCTCTCGTAGGCATGCAACTCCCTGCTGAAAGTTTGGGAAGACAATGGAGCCGTATTTCTGATACTCAGGAACAGGACGGATCTTCATAGTAACCTCAGTCACTACACCTAGTGTGCCTGTGAAACACAGCATACCACACGCATAGTTATTGTATAGTTACTGTAAGATTGTTCATTTGTTAAACTTTTCTCTATTTCACATTGTGGGGAAAACACTGTAGAAACATATGCAATAAAGAATCAGCTTTTGGCTGAAGTTTGTTAAGGGTGCAGCTGCATGCAAACACATTAGCATGCACACATACAGATGTAGCACAGTCCCTTCTGTCCAGCGGGGGGTCTGTGTGCACATTTTCACTTCAGTGATCTGGTTTCATCCAGCACAGGGGGAGCTATGTGAGATTTACTGGTGCTAGCTTAGCTGAAATAAAGCAGGTCTGTATCAAAGGAAGTGTCGGGCCAACACCGGAGCCCCAGAGGGTTTTAACCCACAAATCCCAGCATGCTCCATGACCCCTGAGAGCACAACTGCAACTGCTGCTTTGAGTCTCATGTTCCCATTTCATTTAGCCAGAGATGACCAGCTCTCTGCCCTTAGGAGGCATGTCTACAGAGACCAGCGGTGATAAATACCAACACAGACGTTACAACTGAAACTCTGGATCAAAGCTGGACCAGTTTGAGTTTAGACACTGAAAACTCTACTAAAGTAGAAAATAAAAAACAAGTTGGAACAGTGTACACAAAATGGTTCTGAAATTCTGAAGCATGCTGAAATAATTAAAAAAGCAAGAAACTACACAGAACCTCTAATCACAATCTTAAGCCGGCAGTATACTTCCAACAAAGATCGGACTTAAAATCAAATATGCTGTCGTAAGTATGCTATACTTAAAAGAACTTTGTGTACATCTTATCATCACTAGAATCCTGCTTAGTGCAGCCAGGGAGAGGTCTCAGAATGTATGATGTAGTGATTGGAAGTTCTGTTCAGCAAGTTTTGCAACAAAACCCTTTGATACTGACAAATTAAATATCAACATCACACACATTTATAGAAAATGGATTCCAAATCATTTTAAGTAAAATATGTGAAGTCGTACACAGTATTAATATATCGCTGCTGTCAGAAGAAAACCTTGTATCTCAATTTGTTGTTTTTCAGTTTTTGACATAATTTGAAAACAACTACTATCCTTTATATTGTATGTAAATTTCATGATGAATGGACAAAGAGATACAGCCCAAAATGACTTGAAAAAAGTCTGGTTCCGTTGACTTACCTTATAAGTAGGTTTCTTCCTTCTCCTGTAAAGTTATCATTTTGGAGATATGAGGTTTTCTTCCAACAACAGCGATGTGTAATAATTCAATGCTGTACACTACTGTCTAAAAGTTTGGAATCAGTATTCAAATGTTTGGAAATCACACTTCAAAAACCTGAAACTTTGAATAAAACATCTAATACATCTTTGCGTGACAAACTACACCGTATGAGTTATTACTGAATAAAAGGCCAACAATTAACAAGATAAGTGATTCCAAATTTTTGAACAGTAGTGTAGGCTGTAATATTTCAGAGCTAGAAGCTCAACTGCATTGGCCAGCACCACCAGTGTCCAGCGTATTGCTTGGGAATGAATAAAAGATCTCTGTACACTGTGTGAAAATACAGCATCTGTGCAGAACAGGGTGAGAAAGAGATGACAGATCTCAGAGCCAACTTTTTTCTGGCCTGCAGTCAAATTGAGCAAAATACAACCAACAAATGGGCCGAACAATGCAGTAAACATGCCAATAAGGCTGTTTACTACCACATACATACAGTACACACTCCCTAATAGCCTCTTCTACAAACACTCAGTCACAGGACTGACGTTTATAACACTTTCATCTTAACCAGATGACAGTAAATACTCATAAGCTCCATCATAAAACCACACCATAATTCTGTCATCACTGCATTGTTTGTGTGAAAAGGAACTGGAATGAAGCCCTTCTTTAGCGTCTAAACGCCCCTGCCATTACTAAACTCATTTTAAAATCCAGATGTCTTCTTAATGGGATTATAAATGTTTATGAAAGACTATTAATTTGGGAAAATTAACCACTATAAAGAATTCACTCACACACTAACTGTAAAAGCTAGCTCTTTCAGATTTGCTCCAAATTTATGTTTAGCCTCTTTATTCCAATTGTACCAATTCTTTTTGAATAGAACTAAGAAACCAAATAAGTGATAAACAAATAATCAAATTGATTAATGTATAAATAAATAATTAAATTCAGTATACATAATACAAAGCAGCTTGATTGTATTATATATTTTAATTATCTTTTTTGTACTGTACAAACGTCTTAGGAACCTAAGCAGTTTAAAATAATTTATCTAATCAGTAAGGGTGTTTTAGATAGTAAAAACACAATACCACATTAGAATAAATTCATAACATAACATGAGAATTTTTTGTTTTCAAAAAGGTAGTTGATATCTGCAAGTTAGTTTGCAGAATTAGCCCCAGCCATTGCATGGATTCGTTAAAAATCATCACCAGCTCCATCACCTTATTTAACATAGTGAAGCATTGAATAGTCAAGCCAGGTATTGGACGTTAATTACAAATAATATTGGGCTGCCACGAGTAGGGTTTGGAACACACACTGACGTCACTGTTTGCCACACATAGGTTATACTTTGGCGGTGCGCCCAGGTATATAGACACCCACCAAAGTGTATGTCAACTATTTAAAAAAACAAAGAAAGGTAAAACATTGACTATTTTTATTAATCAGTTTTTAAAAAACAACTTGCATTTATTTTGACCGCTACACAAATGCAGCTCAGGTCGGTGGGAGGGAGAGAGCATCAGAAGAAGGTGAGACTCCAGCACACTAATGTGTATTAATTCAGAAAGAAGTGTTTAAACCTTACTGAAATACAGTCAAAACAAATAGTTATGTCTTAGAGAAGTAGATTTTGGACATTTGAGTAGTTGATATTCCAGTAAAACACATTATTCGAACCTACAATGTGTCTTAGTTTATGACGTGTTTAACCCTTTTTTGCCAGCAATGACGGTTTATGCTGTCAGTCATAAAACCACTGAAGTCACCACTTAATGTCACTGTTATTCTACTGCCAAAGTGAATGGCTGATAGGTTGTACTCTAACCTTTTGGACCAAAAAGGCTCAGAAGCAGATCTAAATTATTATTATTTTTTGTAAACATTACTCATAAAGATGCCAGGTTAAAACTGTGCCAGGAAGCAGGCCATGTTATCCATTCTTAAATATATTTATATGACAGTATATAGTTTCACAGGGGAAAACTACACCACTTGTATGTAACTGACATACCCACATAGTCTTGTAAATTACAAAATGTATGTAATCATAAAAGTTGAGTGTAATCTTTGTTAAAAAAATAAATTGAAAAATAAAAAAGTAATTTTAAATTTTGTTATTTAATTATGCTTTCTTTTCCACACACCCCACCCAAAGAAATGCATAAAATAACTTAATAAGTTTTTTTCAATCTTTTGTATAGTACTGTAAATGTATTCTGGAGATGACTGGTGGTTATACAGAGGTTCTGTTTTACATTTTCTGAGCAATACTCATGTGTAGTATGTTAACATGGCGGCAGCGGATCATGGCATGCTGCTCTCTAGTGGTTTAATGTGGAACTTGTGTGTCTATCATCAAATTTCACCACACCCAATACTATACTATGCACCACATACAAGGAATGTGAGGCAAAAGAACAGAGTGTTTCAGTGTGTAAAAACCCTATGATCACACTACACTGCTATGGAACAGTAGCAAAATATGAACACCTTATTTGACTTCAGTCTATCTGTCCATACTATAATACTCTCACCGAAGGGGTAAAAAGGCTGAGAAAAATATCCTAATCTTTACTTAGATTATTGTTTTGAATTTAATCAAGAAAGCAGTTTCCTATCTATTCTATAAAAACCAAAGATCCCACCACCACAACCAACAACAGAACATAACATGAAAAATAGAATTTTATATATAGAGAACTAAGCATTTTCTATGGAAAGGCAAAAAAACAGATGCTGTGCACCCAAGTACACCATTTAGAACCATTTATCTTGGCAATAAGTATGTTTGTGCTTGTAAAAACATCATACAACATAATAATAAATGCTAATCAACATAAATACAATAAAAGTAAAAATAATTTATTGTTTAAAAATAAATACTCAATATCTTCTGACATAGTCTAGAAAGAAGTTTGGTTCCAGATTTCTACTAGAAGTCTCCAGCCATCTAATTGATGGGGTGATGGGTTAACACCAGTGGTCTCCAGCCCTGGTCCTGGAGAGCTACTTTCCTGCACAGATTATTTCCAACCTGCATTTAACATACTGTCCCACCCCTTAATGAGCTGGAACAGGTGTGGCAGAGTGTGGTTGGAACTGGACACTGCAGGAGGGTAGCTCTCAGGGACCAGGGTTGGTGACCACTGGGTTACAATTTCCAGAAACTTGGATTGGATATGCCCACAGCACAGGAAAAAAAAGAAAGGACATCAAGAAAATATGTATCTTCCTTTTTTGTTATATTAAAAAGTACTTAAATCATACAGAAATGCACCAGGAATATATTTTCCACATCTACCACCAAGTTTACCATTATACACTACATGGAAATCAGATGTACCACCTAGAATCCTAAGTTTTCCATTTGGAAATACGCTTTTGTCGCCTGCTTGAGTGCAACATACAAGCAGGAAAATTGGTATTTCTTGACACTACGCGAATGCAGTTTCAGCAGAACTTGCTCAGAGGACACAGATATTATAGCTGCTACTCTGTAACACTGACTAAGACCCATCTCACAGACAAAGAATTCCTGTTTCATGCCGAGGCAAAAATAACCCTGCGGCAGCAAAAACTAAGAGCAGAGTTAATGCAACCCAGTGAAAAGCTCAGATTCACAGATGTACAACAGTCATTTATAGTCCCATGGCCAATATAATGGGTACAAATGCGCACTCCAACACCAATCACTCCATCTCTGAGCAGACTGCTGTGTGCCTGCACACTTTCTCAGTGGGCCTGTGTGTGTGTGTGTGCACGCACACCAGCAGATGTTGAATGCTGTAATGCCAACACTGCCTGTATTTGTTAATAAGGGTTGGCATATGGTTGTGGTATTCTCAGTGGGCATTTACAAGGACAGGACACAGAAAAGAGGGATTGTGGGGATTTGTCTGTGTACGCGCATGTGTATGTGTATTTGATTCCATCTCTCTCTTACTCAGACACAGTAAGAATGTCCATACCTTCAGAACCCATTATGAAGTGGTGAATGTCAGGTCCAGTGGACATTCGTGGACCCTGACAGCTCTTTTCAATCACTCCTCTAGGGGTCACCATCTTTATATGCACCACCTAGAGATAAAGCAAAACAGTTCACAAATAATACAGTTCACAAATAATGCCCTGGTAAGCAGATAAGAGCAGGTAACAGCAAATATCAGCTACACTGAAGAAACAACTAATAAAACAAAATGTTAAAATGGGTTTGGGTGCTTATTGAAAAATACGCCCACCACACAGAAAAAGAAAGCATGGACATTGGGAAAATATGCATCTTGCATTTTCTTTGTTATATTAAAAAGCATATAAATCATGCAGAAACTCATCAGGTATATTTTTCCACACTGCATCTGTCTGAATCACTGACTCCAGATCGATGCATCACAATGCATTTTTTCATTCCTATGAACAGGAGTGAAATAATGTATTGAGATGCATCGATTTAAAGTTGGTGATTTTACTGCATCAAATTTGGAATTTACACCTTATAAGCGTTTTGGCATCTGTATCTGCTCGGCAGATAAGTACAATTAAAATATCATATTTAGTCATTGGTAGATCTCTAATATACACCTACTCATGAAAAACCACATTGAATTCAGCATGAGGTCTAAGAATGAACGACGTTGTGGTTAGGCCCAATTTGGAACAAACAATGCAGTGGATATGAGTTATGTTCCGCAAGCAGAACACTCAATACTATATGGATTGAAACCACTGTGTCATTTTGGCCAAAAAGATGTTTTGCTTCAGAAATGTCATTTTGGTTTGAAGTATACTACTGGCTGTAGAGTGTTTGAGTAGTTTGAGCATGATACACGACTTTTAGATGCTCATCTTCAGTGTTTCTATTCAAAAAGGCTTATTTTAAAGCTGTGCAATTTTTAAAAAAGAAACATCAGATCACTCTCAGACAATCCTAAAGAGTACAATATCATTATGGGGAAATAGTTCTATCTTGCCATCTCTAAGGTGTTTGTTGTGTCTGTGATTTTAGAGGGTTGTTTGTGTACCAGGTCTTCGATGTTGCCATAGATGTTCTTCTTCATTCCTGATGCACGTGTGGCCACCCAGCCTCCAAGAGAACTGAACTCCATCGAATCAGGCTCATGGCCAGTGCAGTAACCACTTTCATTCAGCTGGGTAAAAATCACACACACACACACACACACACACACACACACACATACACACACACACACAGAGATGACATGGATACACATAGCTTCAGTTTTATTACCAAATTCCCCAGAAACACACTCTTTAATGGCATGCCATCTGCGCACACACAATATCCCACATATCCAGACATACACACGTGATAGGCTTGTTAACATGTCTCCCCCCGCCGCCCACACACACACACACACACACACACACACACACACAACTACATTATAGCACTACACTGCCATTTTTCTGTATTAGTTTGATGGTACCATCTGCTCTGTGTGTGTGGTTAATAGTATGAGAAGTCCTTGCCAATCTCTGCTCTTCAATCCACATGTTGAAGATAAACCTCATTATAGCCTCCTCATAGTCTCAGTATGAGCAGGGAGAGGTGATACTAACCTGTCTCTCCAGGTCCTGGCCAATGATTCCAGCCTCTACATGGGCAGTTAGGTTCTTTTCATCGATCCACAATATTCGGTTCTGCATAAAAATAGAAAGTCAAACTCAATACATCATCAACATCTTTCCCTTAGAAAATTAAAAGCAGACTTCCAATGCAGACATCTGACGCAGGTGTCTGTATACTGCATAGGAAAGAACAAACACTGAAAGGCAGACGAATAGGGAGGGGTAGAGAGTGTGTAAGGATGTGTCAGTGAGACAAAGGGAGTTCAGAGAAGAGAGTGAAAGATAGAGAAACAGATAGAGTCTAAATATCAGGGTTCTTTAACTCCAGTCCTGAAGGGCCAGTGTCCTGCTACAGTTTGTGCAGGTGATTGCTCAACTACACCTACTAAACTTGACTATTAGCAGATTTTTTCCCCTCTTGCTGTGTTAATATTCACACACTCCAATTGAAATCTGTGTTAATCTGCAGTTAAGTCCACTTTATTATAATTCATTGTGCTGCTCATGGAAAAACATTTGTCTTTTACGTTGCTTGGCAACTATAGCCTACTGGTAACTACACTGCTTGACAGAAGAATAGTTTATTGCACATTGGTATAATTTAACTTAAAGTGTTTTGTCGCTGCCTCACCTCTGACCCAACACCCTTTGACCATGGTAAAATTACTGTAGCACACAGTCTCTTGTGCCTTATTGCTTTATTATGGAATAGTTCTATATAACACAGTTCTACTCCCAGTGAAACCTCTGATTGGATTCTTTTACAATTTAAGTGAAACAGTCTATTACAGGAAATAGATTTGTTGCATGTGGTTCTGGAATTCTCTAATGCAGTTACACAATCTGATTTTTAGCAGCTTTAGAAATTAGTAGGAACTGTTCTATGCCATCATAAAATAGAGGTCTCTTGACATTGTAGTTACAGTATAACGGTCTGGGTCACAGGGTTAAAAGTTAACTTTGTTTCACCAGTTAATCCCATAAGTCCCTGTCTGGAGTTGGTGTTTCTCACGATATGGAATACTCTCGGCACTTCTGAGCCATCAATCATCTGATTGAGCTCATAAACCAGCCGTTCCTGGCATCCGCTGACTTTCATGTCCCACCCTTCTAACCTCATGACCCCTACCAGAGGTTAGCAGCTCAGAGAGAGATGGAGAGATAGAGGGGAAAGAGAGAGACAGCTAGAGAATGGGACAGATAACTTCTTTGGAACTCTGTATTTAGTCTTTACAGGCATAGCATAAGTCTTAATCAGGCTACTAAGAACACCTTTAATTGCCCTTTGTCTGTGTGTGGACAATGCACATGTGTGTGCCCACCATCTGAGAGGTGTCCAGAGAGACAATGGATCGAGTCTCCTCCGGGGGGCATTCTAGAGCACTAGACACACTTGTCCCACCTGACAGAAAGATAGAGACATTTTATCTGTGATTTGCATGTCAGTGGTTTAATGAGTGGGTACAAATGAAAAAAACAAAACAAAAAGAATGACAACAAAAAAACAGGAAGCATGGTTATATATATATTATTTTGTTCTCACCTCCATATGGTATCAAACAGACATTGTGCTTGCAGGCCAGCTCCACAGTCTTCACCACATCATTGTGACAACCTATAGGAGGACAAATACTTTTGAACTGTTTTACATATTATAGTGACAGTGGGACACAATGAAAAAGACGCACAATCTAATCTTTATGACAAAGAGACATTGTGACTCTTGTCTTGACTGTGATGTGTGCAGTGTGTGCAAGGAGCAAAACAGTGAGAAAGAGGGAGGACAAAGAAAAAGGAGGAGCTCTGTCCCTCCTCCTTCTCTGTGGGTGGGATGAATATTTTATATCTACAGCCAATAGGAGTTTGTGTCTCCACCCACACTGAGCATGTGTGTGTGTGTAGAAGAAAGTAACATCCCACACAGCTGCAACAGCGTGAGCACAGCCCCCCTTCATTAGCACTGATCATCCAACAGCCTGCAATGGAATGCTTTTTAGGTACAGCTTCAACCTTTTTTGATCTAGCCCATACATCTAAGAAGGGCAGCACTGATCTTTAAGAGTGCCGGACCTCCAGAGCTCTTAAAGCTACAGCCAATTATCTAACATATGCTCTGAGCAGCAGACACAGAACAGCCAACTCTGCTATTCCATTAGACAGCTGGCTTTTTCTGCAGACTTATGGCTTATGTAACCCTGCCTAATGAAGGACTTGCTCTTTAACTCTAATGGGACAAAGATACACCTCGAGTGAACCCAACTTTAGCTGGAATACAACTTCACTGTACTGTTTCTCAGCAATTCGTCCCATGTACTGCCAACGTCCTCTCTGGACACGGGCATGATGAGACAAAGAGGGAAAGCAAGAAATAAGGACAGAAGTGAGGAAAGAAAGAAAGAAAGAAAGAAAGAAACAAGGAAGGTAAGGAAGAAAGAAGAAAAAGAAAAAGAAAAGAAAAGAAAAGAAAAGAAAAAGAAAAGAAAAAGAAAAGAAAGACAAAAGACAAAAAAGGAAATGGTATAAAGAAAAAAGATGAAAGTGAAAAAGAATAGAAAGAAGGGGTAAGAAATAAATAAGGAAAGAAAGAAAGAAGAAAAAAAAGGAAACAGAAAAATTAGAAAAGTAAGAAAGACATTAGGAAAAATGAAAGAGAAAAAGAGAGAAAGAAAGAGAGACAGAGAGAAAGACAGGGCAAACAAGGAAAGAAGGAAGGAAGACTGGGTCACTGCTAAGATCAGCTGTAGTCCAGCACCCCCAGGGCAGTTCAGAGGTGAAGTGCTTTGCTCAAGAGCACAACAGCAGTAAGCAGCAGAGGTTAGGTACCAGTAAGCCTCTAACTCTCTCTGCTCTCTCAGTCTGCACTGAGAGTTGAGAAGAGTTTAGAAAGCACACTTGCAAGAATCTTTTCCTGCATGAGCTGTGTGATAAAGGGAGAGTGATTTTCTGCCCATTTGGGACCCAAGTCTTAGACAGAAGCAGAGCATTTACATGGGGAAACAGTTGCAGTCGTGGTTGCACCAATCTGAGAGCACTACCTCAAATGACCACGGTATTACTGAATGTCAAACTTCCCCAGAGACACCCCGATAAAGCAGTAGCTCATGAATAATAATGAGCAGTGTACCTGCTGATGCAGCGAGTTGAACATTAACCCATTAAGATAGCCTGTGTGTCCACAGCATGCATACACACCACCACACACACACAGGTTAAGCACACACGCACAGACCAAAACAGATGTGCAGTGCCATCACACATTTAGACCATTTTGTTCACGATTACACATCATTCAAAGATTCAAAATTATCTTTGACCCTAAAGAAAGATGTTTTCTATTTAAAAAGCAGTGCATTTTTACAGTTTTACGATTGGACAAAATACGCTTAATCTGAATTTATTACTTTCGATAAATCAGTAACGATCCCTGATTGCAGCCCACTGTCTGCCAATGTCTGAAGGTATTGATTTAAAAGCCATTTAAAAGCTGTATTTATTAAAAGGGCTACAAGTGTGAATTCTATCACAGAAACATACAGTGTGTGAGCAGCTGGGGTTCAGCCTGCAGTAAAACAGATGGTTAAGGGGTCAATATTATTGTATTATTAATGAGACAATGTGATCGCACTAATATAGAATTTTGCAAACCTCAAAAGTGTGTAAATAATATTAGCGCAAACAACATATGCAGTTAATTAACTATTAAAGTAAACATACAAAATGCTCCATACACAATATACGCTCAGTAAATTTCGACAGAACACACTTTAGCCTGTGGTTCAAGTGGAAGTTGGCAGACGTTGACAACTGCAGAACTTTCATAAGTATTTGCACCGCTGGAATTGTGATGGTGATGGCATGAGAAGGCATCAGCTCAGCTGAAGAAGACATTCAGAGATGATGCGATAACTCCTTCAAATGACAGACACACAGACATGCACCAGAGTGAACTGGGCGATTCAGAATTCGGTCAAATCTCTAGTGGAAAATGAATTGAGTTGATAAAATATACCGCCATTATGATGGGAAAATATTCCCTGCCACCCGAAGGTGTTATAGAAGGTGTCCTGGAGACGTGTTGTCCTGAACTCAACCCCACATAACCAACTAGTAGAGAAAGTGATGTGAGCTATCTGCAGAAAGCAGTTCTCATTTCTCAAGTGGAGTTCTGCAATGCATGGCCCTCATGCTTGAACCAACCCTGAACCTTCTTCAGCTTGTTTAGAACTCTGCTAGTAATCACTTCTGTAGCATAACACTGACTGCAGGTGGGCAGCATGATAATATTTATTGTTTATTTAATGACATTTATTTATTGTTATGATATCATAATATATTTTTCTGAGCATATTGTGGATACTGCTAGCAAACCTCAGAAAAACTACATATTGTGATGCACATCATGTATTGTGATGTTATATCTTTGCCTTATAGTCCACTCCAAGCTGTCAGTCAGTTTTAGAATTGATTTAAAAAATCTAATAATTACTTATAAAGTATCACATTGTTGGATTATATGTATATCAAAGCCTCCCTCCAAAGATGTTTTAGGTCAGCACATAAGGACCAATTCAACAACGCAAAGTTTCGGAACAACTAAGTCAAATTCTGCAAGGTCAAAGCTGCAGTAGAAGGAGATAAGGTTGCTGGCATGTTCAAGAGCAGATATTAATTTTCTTATGCTAGTGAAAACTTATCCTAGCCTCTGTAGGTTAGTAAACTGTTGGTCCAGTTCTTGGTGCAACTCTCACAGCTCACAAACTTCATAATGATACAGAAGGGAATTTAGGCCTATGTTCAGAAACAACTGAAGGGCCTTAGCTTAAATATCACAAGTTTTAAACAGTTGCATTAAGAGCTGATAGAATTAGGCTTTTGACTCAGCTTAGTCGTTGCAACTTTGCAATATATGACCAGGATTTCAGTCACACTACAGGGAGTTGGGGATAATTTACAGACAAAACAAACAAGCATATACAAAATCTCCAGAGCACTCACTTGGCCAAACTACCAGGTCTGGTACTCTTCCGATTTTCCCCTCTCTCAGAGCGAAGATTTCATGCAGGCAGTGTCCTGTACAGAGAGGAAAACACCATCACCATGTTCCTGCTACATCACTGAATACAGGAAGTAAACTTTTAACTTAAGAAAAGAATCCACTGCATTAGTGCCCCAGAATGCATTGCTTATTTAAACTTTACCATGAGATCGGAACACTCTGTCCTCTGGTTCCTGTGACAGGGCCACACCCGCTGCCTTTAGCTCCTCCACAAATGACTCGTTCAGATTAGGAGGTGGGACCGTACTCACATTTAGAGCGGGCTATGAGAGAGGATAGGAAGAAAGTTATACTGAGTGAAGGAACACACACACACACACACACACACACATACAGGTGTGTGCACACACTCACACGCTGGCACCCGCTCACTTGCAGGTGAACACACACGTCCACACACACACACACACACAGGCCCACGCGCACACACACACACACAGGCCTGCGCACACACACACAGGCCCGCGCACACACACACACACAACCCCCCTTCACACACACACACAGGCCCGCGTGCGCGCGCACACACACACACATACACACACACACACACAAAGTAAAAGAGTCAGTGAGACCAGCACTTACTGTAGCTGGAGATTTGTGCTGTAGGTTGGCCCCAAACGTGCCCTCAAACCAGTCCTTCAGACTAGGCAGAATAAGCCCACTTAACCGATACCTGCAATTACCACCAGTGTTGGTCAGTGACTAAATTTAATTTGCCTTCTTATGTGTGAACAGTAAACCTATTCTTGCTTAAAAATGAGTTGCTCCCTATAAATCATTTCAAACACATTCAAAGTTAAAAGACAAACAAACCAAACAATGCCAACATGGTTAACAATGAATGAAACCTAAATAATTATCTTATATATATATACACACACACACAGTTTATTGCATTAGTTCTTCATTACATATTTCTCAATTAAACTATACCATGGGAATGGAACACTCAGTCTTCTCTGTCATATGACAGTCACCACCTAGCATGATGTGACTTTCATTAACTGTTAACTACATTGAGAGTGTTTGGTTTAAAATCAAACTCCTGACACAAGTGAAGTCTGACACCAAAAGGCCAGTCTAAAGAGTTCAGCACAGCAGAAAGTTACCTCACACACAGCCTAATAAAAAGACCGCTGTCAGAGAGAGGGAAGATGGAGAGAGGGAGAGAGACAGAGAGAGAGAGAGACAGAGAGAGAGAGAGAGAGAGAGAAACACAAATTAGCATAAACCCTCTGTCTCCCATTAGTCTGTATAAAGAGAAAAAAGGCTGGAATGCGAGAGTGACTGTCTCTGTGGGGAAACTAAAAGTTTAGAATAGTATGTGGATACTCTACTTCCTTTGCCCATGTCTTCTACACATGGTCACTTTATACTACTACTACTCACTGCTCACATTAGCCTATCTGGGGTTGGAGTGAGTACACATACTTATTTTAACCTGTTTAAAGTTCAGTAATGTGCTCACATTCTTAAAGAAAGCACTCTGGAAAAAGTATTCACAGCCAGAATAACATTCTCAAAGTTGCAAACCTCCACTCATGTCCCTCTCACCACTCAGGCACCTCTGCCCTTCAACCTTCTAATGTTCTCTGTTAAAAACATTAAGTGCAGTGCAGACAACAACCACTAGATGGCAATACCACACCACTCTGCACTGAGGCATGAATGAATTTGAGTGTTTGGTTATTGTGGTAACTGCATTTTCTGACAGAACTAAGAAGACACTGTTCTCTGTTTTAAGGTATTATTTCACACAAACTGCTAATAAAAAAAACTTTTCAGAATGGCTGCCTGCATAGTAAATCCACCAGTCTTATTAGTCGTACATTCACCGCTCTATTTAAAGTGTCCACATTATACATTTTTCTTGTGTTTTATTTTTATCCACTTATAACATTTGTCTCATTTCATGTAACAAGAACTACCACAATTCATTTTACACAATCATTTTCCAAGCTCCCTTTATTCTTTAGGATTCAACATGCAGTTTTTGTCACTGTGCCTTTAAGACAAATATAGCCTATGTCAACCTCCGTTCTGATTGAGGCACAGTACAGCACAGCCATGCAAACACTTCTTATAACTTCAGCATAAATGGGCAGGGCTAAACTGTTGTAGAGGGAATAGTAAATGTAAGTATTTTGGTTTTTGTGACATCACAAAACTATTCGTTAAGATTAACGGCAACCTGCAGCACCAAAATATACTTTGGTATATATACTTTGGAACAAAAATGTTCCCATAAATACCAACAGTTCCTCGGTTAAAAATTGTTTCTTCAACTAATAAGAGTAATGTAGTAGAAGTTCAAACTTCCATTTAGTTTGATACTCAGAGCTAAAAGTGCAGCTGCAGCTTCAAAACAGGGGAGTAGGGAGCTGAAAGCACAGATCTGAAAGTGAGGGGTCTAAAGCTGCGACACTGCAGCTCTGTAGCTGGATAGAACTGTGAAAATTCAGTTTGCCATGATATGCGCTCTTTAAGAAGTGTTAAAGGAATACTCAATTTTTTTCCAGTCGATAATGATGGTTAATAATTCTAACTTCCTTGTGCCTAGTCACAACTTGTTGACTCAAAAAACACTTCTAATAGAGGCTAGTGGGCAGGTGCTGACTTAACCGGCCCTCGACTTCTACAATATACATCAAGCATGTTTTGAGTGAATGCGTTTTTGCCCTTTTCTAAGTACATAATGAAATAATTATCCCTGGTAATTGATGGTATGACACAGATGCAGCAGATAGAGATTAGTGTGAAAAACACTGGTGTATTCTTTTAAGGGACATTCATTCACTGGCCTGTACTACTCACCTTTTGCCTGTAAACTCTGCTTGGCCTTTTTTGTTGAAAAGGAACCGGGAATCACTGTAACCCCATCCATTCCATTTCATTATATCATGTCTAAAAGAAAGAAAAAAGGAGAGAGAGAACTGATGAACAAGTTTCTGTTCCTTTCTGTTGTCTACACCAGAACCTCTGTCTCTTCACTGAACTGTAATATTTCTCATCCCGCATGCTTAGTCCAAGTCTAAACATGTCTGAAAGGCTTATATAGGATATAACTACAGTTGAGCCAGTATGCAGTTAAGTGCACCAAGTTCTTTGGCAGTATCACTTGTTCAATTTTCAATACTATGTGGCCTTATGTAGACCTTTAAGTAAAAATTCAGAATCCACCAATCTACAGAATCGACAGGGTAACTTAGGGTGGGGGCATGAAAAGTTCACATCAGTACGATCCTAAATATAACAGTGATCTCAGTCCGAAAGCTTTTCCTTACTAATTTTAGATCCATGTAGACAGAGCACTTGAAGTTAATTCATCAGAAGAGTGCTACCTTTATTTAAACAAGATGCTTCCCCAAAATTACAGACAACAAATTCAGTTAATCTCATACCTGGGTTACTGGGGTATATTCATGACTGTGTTCACTTTTTTATTCAGTTCTTGACATTCCTACCCAACCTGTTCAGTGTACTGTAATGACAACAAAAATGAGGAGAACTTGCTAAAAGAGAAGTTCTGCACATGCTTCTCATACAGCAAACTCTAAATTGTCCTTTTCTCTTAAGAGATGTTGATTTACGAGTATGAATTACTTTCAGGAACATGTAATTAACCTCAAATACTTCATACATATAAATAAAGTTAACACATCTTCCACTAAAAATAAAATTTATGTTTAAATCTCATTAACAACACAAAAAATAAATTTTTGAAATATTGTGAACTTAATGTATTTCCTGAAAGGCGTTTTTTTTTCCTATTTTAAATTAACGTTATTTTCATATAAGGTGCTGTGTAAGTCTTATGCACCTAAGCAAACAGCTTAAAACTGTTCAGCAGTATCTCAGCAGTTACTATGTTTCTGCCAAAAACCATGTAACATTAGAATAAGTGTAAATAAACATAAATGCATTGAAAGATTGATGACACCAACCATTGCATAATTTGTTCAAATCCACTGCCAGCACACCTGAATAATTAGCCAAATCAGGTTCTGGACTACAAATAATACCGGGCTTCTTCAAGAGCAGGTTTGGAAATGGTTAAACAAACAAATTGACATACATAAAATCACTCTTTATTGTGTTGATACTATTAAGAATAATGTTTACTGCTCAATTACATAGCTTTTTTTTACAGTATTGTATGTTTATTTCTGAGAGACCTTCTGCAAGTGCAATCTCTGCCTAAAAAACACTGGATATGTGTTAATGTGCGGAGAGAGAAGGAGAGGAAGAGAGAAATCGCACAAGGTGTGTGTGCACGTGTGTGTGTGTGCGCTAAATCATAGTGTTCAATCTGTACGGACACGAATCAGAGAGCAGAATAAATAACCTACATAACTCAAGATTTTATCTCACTCCTGTGCCATAACTCATATGCAGCATGTGAGGCGACAGGCATATGAATCAGTGATGAACACAGGCCGTTCTGGATCAAGGTAAATAACAGTGGAGAGGTGACAGAGACGAAAAACTACCCTGCTTCAGCCCAGTCTATAATCAGTCCCCACCAAAAAAAATAAAAATAAAAAAAGCCTAAAGCAAAATACTCAGATAATCAGAACTAAACCTAAAAACCTTTTCCAGTACATTCCCTTTAAAGCAAAAAAAATTCTAGTTGTGGGACCTGATTTCACTTCCCACTGATTCACTACCGTCTGTGGCTGGGATTCACACGGTCTCACTGGGCGGGAAGCTCTCACTCCCTGTGGATATAGAGTGATGCTGGCCACTTGCAGACATCTGTTAGGAGCTCTTCTCCAAATGTGGTAGCAGTAAAATGCAATGTAACACAATTTGGAAGATCACTGGTAGCTTCTTATGACCTTATGACTTCATTGGGTGTATAAGTCACACAGGGACAGTTTTATTTACAATGGCAGTCTAAGACATTTAAAATTAAGGTACATTAGAGAAAGAAAACAGCACTATATACATCCTTATCAACATCTCAGTGTTTTAGCAAAGACCAATATTATTAAAGTCTGTAGCTCAGAATCAAATAATGGTTAAATTTAGCTCAGATTAATTTAAGTTTGTTGATGTTGATGCAATAGAAAAACAAAAACACCTAATTTGGGGGTTGCAGGTGTAAATATACATTTTACTGATTATAGTAGCTTGCTAGTAGGCCAGGTAGCCCGGTACCTAACTAACGTTATTTAGCAAAATACAAAAATTTGCTTTATTACAGGCAAATTCAACATATGTCCAGCTAGCTCAAGTACTGTCGCCAGTAGGCAGCAACAATAATATTTTGGCAAATTTTTATTAGCTCCCTTTTTTCTACCTGAAGCTCCAGTACCTTCCAAAACGTACTATTAAATGTGATATAAGTAACATTATTTTAATAAGCCATGCTGCCATTTTAAACCTATAAATAAAAGATAAAAATAAATCTATAAATCTAAAAATAAAAAAAAATCAGCTTGTATTTAAATAACAAGGATCAACAGGCAACTGGCTCTTTAGCACTTTAGCAATAAGTCATTCATAATTACAGTACAAAGTGTAGGTATAGTTATACAGTAGCATTTAAAAGAAGTGCGAATGCACTTACCTGGCTCACATTAATTAAGCCATAAAACTGCAGCACAGATCAGCCAAAATAATAATAAAATGGCCGACCACTCAGTTAAAGCAAAATTCTGCCGATTCAAATCTTCGCTGATTCCGATCATTCATCCCTAGTTCCTAGCCAACATCCATTTCCTAGTTAGGCTGCCCTTGTTTTCTGCTAGGCACACATGTATTGTTGAGTTGAAGTGCACAACTTTATGTTCCACAAAGCATCATAAAACATTTGATATTGTCCCACGAAGTTAGGATGGCTTTAAAAAGCCTTTAGACAATAGTCACAATCAAGTTACATAAGTTACGATGTTGATTCAGGGGAAGATAGAAATCTCTTACTCGGAAAAACTAACAACACTGGGCACCTTCAGCTTGCTTTGTCATATAAGACCAAAACGGAACTAAGAGAGCTGGTAGGCCCGGTATGTACTGTAACTGTATCAGTATGTCTGTTGTCAAAGAAAGGACCCATGCAAGGACTGTACATCACACTTTCCATTGAATATGGTGGTATATCACTGACGCTTTGAAGCTGTTTATTTTAGTGACCACAAGCTCTTGCTAAGATCCATCGCAGAATGAACTGCCAGAACGTTTTTGTTAAAAACCTGTTTGACTCAGCCAAGAAGCCGAAGCTGTAAGTAGACCTTCAACAGGACAATAACCCAAACGCACTATGTTAACTACTTTCAATATTTTAAAGACAGATGGCTCTAAATATATGCTTTCCTCTAACTCGTACACACCGTATCAAGCTTTACAAACTATGTACATGGCAGGTGATTGTTTTTTTTTGTCTATTTTTCCAATGTTGAGAGCAAAAGTGCAAAACCAATTTTAAACTTCTAAAGTCTTAAAGTCTTCTTATTTCTCTATCTGATTGAATTTTATGTGGTTGCAGAGAACTAAACTGTTGATTGGGGGGTTAATGTGTGTATTTGTGAGTGTATCTTAAGGGGTGTTAGTGTAGCATTAGAATGCATTCTTACTTTATTCTTAGTCCATTCATAATTCTTATATTAACTGTTTGATAGAGTAAGAAGATGGTGTTTATACAATCCCTGTCACTCTGCCAGACTCAGCTAGCCTACACAGTCACTGTATATCTTCCATCTCTTATCCAACTTATGTTATTTACATAGTCATGTTCAGTTCTTAACACTGACACTGTAAAACAAATTCTTTCATCTAGTCTTTTCTCATTCTTTTCCACCATATTACTGATTGGACTTCTACTTCATTGGTTCTACAAAGCAATGGTTAGCCAGCTAGTAGGCCAAATGTGCTTTCAGCTAATGTTTTTGTAGAGCAACCACCCCTGTTTATTGTCACAACTTAGGTTGGGAATAAGTAAGCTAGGCCTCCAAGTCAGGTTACAAAGTCTAGCTATTACATCCAGTAAATTAGACAGTGAATGTCTGGATTATATTAGTTTATAACCAATAAAAATCCATAAAACCATGCTGAGACATGAGTAACACCTGAAAACCGACTTTATGAAAAGATGTTACTTGTATATGTGTGTTGCTAGCACTCCCTCTGGGCTAACTCCTAGCTAACCATGGGCTAACCATGTAAATAATGCCAAATGATACACAACAGACAAAAGATTCTGTCTAAGACAAAGTGATAGAATGCAGGAATAAACCAAACATTCGGCCAGTTTTACTATTTTTATCTCAATAATGTATTCCAAAAGCAACAAACTTTTTTTAAAAAAATAGGCTACTTTTCCTATTCATTCAAGTCTTCTTCATGTTAAACATTCAAAATTCACAGAGTTTGTAGATACATATAGTCTCAAAAAAAAAAGTCCATTCCACATTCATGACACCAATAAATTGCTGTGTCTCTGTAATACTGAAATGCATATGAGTTCTGAAGATCTGTCTACATTCTCCTAAAAGGTAGCAGGACAAATATGCACATTTTTTATTCGTGCTAAGTTTGAGGATTACAGGTTGATGAATATGTTTTTTTTTCCAGGGCTGATACCGATTATTAGTAATCAGGGACACCAATAAACAATATCTGGGGCCGATTTTCATTTATCATAAATTTGATGTTTGTAGTGTGAATATTTACAAGAATAAAGCTCTTACTCACAATTTGCATTACATAAATATTAGAACATTATAAGAAATAAAGTGCTTTGAACTTCACACAGTATACACTGCAAAAACAAACAAACTTATTAAATAAATTTAAATAAAAAATTGGTGCAACCATCTAAGCATTGGTCCTATCATCAGAAGTTCACTGCCTGGCGATGCTACAGCCATCCATGGCCTCACTTTCTCCAGGTGGGTAGGATGGCCCTCCATCTCCCCAACTCACTCAGCGCGATGCTAAGCAACGCATGCGTCTCTTGGCGAACATAACAGAACTGGTGGCTTGAGCTCTCTCTTTAAGCGCGTTCAAGCTGTACAATGACAATGTGTTAGCGGCAGTTCGAAAAGATGTTGGTTGGCTTTACATGACTCGGAGGAAGCATGTGTTTGCCTTTGTTGGTGGTATGATGTGATTGGGGAAGTACTAACTAGTGGGTGGAATTGGATATGACTAAATTGGGAAGAAAACTGGAAAAAAAAAACTAAGAAAAAAATTAACTATATTATATTTACACTTTTTTATATAAAACAAATACTTGGTATGAGTCAATGACAGTTTTAAAAGGGCACACATCAGGAGTGGAGCTTGCCTTTTCAGTGTATGGGTGCAAGCGAGAAAGCCTAAATAGAGCTTAAAAATGGTCTACACTAACTAAACACAAAGAACTGTAAATATATTACAGTAAAAATATTACAGTAAGCATCTGAGCAATCATGCAATAAAAACTGTCACTACTTTGCAGAAGGCAACAAGTGTGTATGAACATTACCATGATTTTTTTCTTTCTGTTGTTCAACCAAATGTGTATTTCATGTGAGAACAAGCCATAGTTGAATGTATAACATGTATTCTGTGCTGCATGATTCAATGGAAACAGTTTAATTAGCCTAAGCTGAGCGGTTGAAGTAGCATGCTGCCACTGTCTGTACTTTTAACAAGAGAAATCAGAAACAAAAATGAGCAGAAATTGTGTATAACTTATTTATTACACGTAAGATGATACACTGATATTAGAAATAATTTACTGATTTTAGGAGGCTTGTCTGCATAGGTGGCCTCGCACTGAAGCTCTGCTATAGGCACACGTTTCAAACACATTCAAACCACTAAAGAAGCAGTATGAGTCTGGCTAGAGTGAGCAAAATTATATGACCTATGCATTGTGCTTTTTGCCAACAGCGTCGTTTAAACTCGACATGTTCCTACCTTTCCTCTCACTGCGGCAGAGTGAAGGCAGGCACTTCTTCATTCCCGTGTTTCTCGCAAACACTGAAAAGCACGTTTGACTGGATTTACTTGACACCTGGTCCTTGTTTCTACCAATCCAATAGTGCTGCCGGCAGGACATAGAATCAAACTACAGAAGTGCTGACTGGTTGTACTCGATGCATCATCCACATTTCACACAGTCCAATAACCCCGCAGGCGGGACATTATGCCAAACTACATAAGTGTGGTTTTAATCATGGTTGCATCAGACATGCGCACACATAAAAGAAAGCCCTTTTATCGGCAAGGAAGCTCATTCAAACGCAGATTCTGAATGCTGAATATCGACTCCAATCATCATCAGGCCGATAATCATCCGAACCCTGTTGTGCATGCTCCGAGACATTGTATAAGTCAATCAATTTAAATGTCATGTGCACAATGCTCAAGTTGGACAGGTGCTAATAATTCTGAAAGCTTTTTAAACACTAATTTTTAATTTAAAAAAAAATAGCTGTTTTGGCCAATTCCACTCAATTAGTTATTATGCCCCACTTCATTCTACATGTTGTAAAAATACATATTATCTCAATAATGGTATTGCTTGTTTTCTTTAGTTAACTACACCTATTTTTACTGTGACTTCAAATCATTCTAAACCTGTATGCATCTAAGGAGAGATTCGACCATGCCAGCTCTAAAGATGGCTGGATATTCTATAAATTTTAAAATATAATAGCCTTAAGAAGCATGTTTCATTTAAAGTAAAGCCTATATTTTGGAAATGTGACAGAGGGCAATATACTGCAAAAATATAAAGGTCTTACTTATTTTGTCAACAAGTTATTGTTTGAGTCAAACAAAACGATAACACCATGACAAGTTTATATGAAATGACCCGATAAAAGGGAACATTATGACCACCAAACACCGATATTCAAGGAACACATGCTTTCACCTTTACTCTATTTCACAAGCCACAGTTAATTTAGTTGTGTATTAACCATCATTAAGCCCTATTCAATGGATAAAATTTACAAAAATGTTTACAATGTCACACTAAGGACATAAACCTGGATACTTGCAGCCCACCTCCAAATATACACCCACTTTAGCTCATAAGAAAATAAAATGATGACCTAGATTTTGTCTGTGCCATATATATGGGTCAAAGACAAGCTTCCCTCAAAAACAATGTTTGTTAATGCTAGAAGGCTTAAATTAGGATTTCCCCAATTTAGGTAGAGCCCTCAGACCCAAGCCTAACATTCTGACATGTCTTGAAGGGCATCTTTAACATCTCAACCCTCACACTGACTTCAACCTGACCTCATTACAGCCTGCAGCAACTCAGAGCAATGTAGTGGTTGTACTGTTAACAGAAGTACAAAGGCATTGAAAACAAATGTTCATTGATTAACTAAAAGAAAGAAAAAAAGTTAAACCCCATAATCAACAAAACAAGGTAATCCCTAAATCTACTCAAAAATAAAGTAGTATATGAATAAGGCAAGGTGGACATTTATTTAGCTTTCCTTAGATTTCACAACAGCAAGTCACAGAACCACCCTCTGAACACACAGGAAATACTCCAGTGTGTTATCAGTGGCCTACGCCAGGAAGGCTGTGTTCTCGTCACAAGTTTGCAAAAGAGCAAACATGAATATCTTACTGAACTTTCTTTAGTCCTCATAAATGCTTAACAACTGGAAAACCGAGATATGACATTCAAGAGGCATTAACCACTATGACTGACATATGTGATGAGAGATTTTTTCACCTCTGCTCAATGGCACACATTCTGCATTGGCATAGTGGCCCACTTTCTGCAGTTCTTCCCTTGTGTCTCGCTCAAGAACCCACAGAAAAATTGATTTTGCAAGAATGAGGACTGTTTTAATAGTGTCTGACACTAGATGTCACTACAGAACGATCCCTACAGGAGGAAACTTGTCTTTCCTGTTACGGAATCTGAAGTCAGACCACCACAGTCCTTATCCAATCAGAGCAAAGGATTTCTGTTGTAACTTCTGTGTACAAAATTAAAGTTACAGATTGCTGTTACAGTAATGACAGGAACAGCTTTGGGCTACTTACCGTGGAATGCGTCAAGTAACGATGTCATTAATGGCTTTCAGTAGTTCAGAATTTATAATAAATAAGCGCGCTTCTCTTTTTACAGTGATTATGCATAAATAATAAAAATCAGCTTAGAGTAAACACGGCGGAATCTCACAGCTTAAAATCGTTTTACCAGCTTAGATCCTTCCTTCCGTACTTTTAAACTGTCTGTCAAACGCACAGCAGATCTGTCATTAATCGAGGCAGTCCTCCGTTTTTAATGAATGAATGGGCTTGGCATGACACGGCTTTGCTTTGCGCGGCTGTGGAGTTAATCACTGCACTTTACGCGACTGCTGCTATTAACGAGCTTTACTTAGAGGTATTTCTGTGCCACCAGAGCCTCCAGCAGCCAGTTCGCAGGAATAAAGGGAGACTTTGTTTAGAAAGAAGAGCCACATTCTGAAGTCAGCGCCTACTACTGCACGAACAGAGCTAACGGCACACTCCCACACGGCCTGCCTTTAATAATAAACTAACGACATTAACGGGTAGACTTAAAACGTAAACAGCTGCCTGAAATCCGGAGACCTGCTGTGTAAACGCCGCTGAAGACAGAACCCATGTTAAGGTGGCTAAGCTAGCTAACTAACAGACAGTGAATGGAAGCTGCTGGTACTGCCCGCCCATTAGCATGCTGTCATTTGCCACATGCTAACTGGCCCCGCTTCTCTGTTACGGGTGTTATTCTCGAGGTTTCTGACCGCTCTGCTCAGGTCTGCTCCTTCAGCAGTACTGTTGGCTGACGTTAGCTGCTGTAGCCGGTGAGCTAAACTGAACGGCTCGTTCTGTTGGTTCATCCCCACAGCCTCCCCCTCCTCACTCACTCCCTCTCTCTCTGCTCCACTCCGCTCACCTTCTCTTCGGCACCGGGGTGGCATTAGCGGGGTTGGCTCGGGGCGCCTCGGCTTTGCACTCCTGCGCGGATACGGCTGCGTGTCCATCCTGGGCCCGCAGGTGAAGATGTCCGCTTATAACTCTCAGTCTTCTCTCTGCAGCTCTCCTGCGCTCACAGATGTGGCCGTCTGACGCCATGCCGCTTCCGCGTTTGAGGGCCCGGGTCAGCGGCGCGCGCCGACGGGAGGGAGGATGTGAGGTAGTGAGATCGCGCGCCGTCATCCACACACACACACACACACACACACACACACACACACACACACACACACACACACAAACGCGCGTGCGTGCACAGAGATGCACTCTCAGAAAAAAGGGGTACTTGGTCAGTGTCCCCTTCTTGTCACTTTAGCTCTCACAACATTGACAAGACCACCCCCTAAACACACACAGGACTCCCAGCGTGTTATCACTTTGGTCACTGGGGTGGGTACGTTTTCAGTACTTTTAGTTAGTGATCATAATTGTACAGTTTTCCAAAAAAATTATATTTTGAAGTTGTATTGACTCCAGGCAGCCTGTCTTCACTTCAGGCTTTTTATTTTATTGTTCTGTTTTAAAACATTTAGGTTATGAAAAGGTACAAATAAGTTCCTGCCCCGTGGGGAAAAAACTACACAGGTACACAGCTGGACCTTAAAACTATTTTTTGAAACTTGATGAACAAATTGTACCTGTACAGTAACCTTTTCTCTGATAGTGTACACATACAGAGCTATATACCCAAAAGTATCCAGACACCCTTTCTGATTAGTTTATTCAGTTGCTTCAAGGTGCGCTGGTGTTCAGTCGCGCACACACAGCTTGTATGATCTTCCTTAGAATGGCATTATCAATGAAACAGGCTGCTTTGGAGCAGCCACAGGTCACCGTGCCCAATGCTAAGCGTCAGCTAAAAAGGTATAAAGTCCTCATAGCAGTGTTTGCATCAATAACAAGTGTACAGCCTTCCCAGAAGAGCAGAAGCTGTTGCTGCAGCAAAAGGGGGGAACACTCTACATTTGTACACTGTAAATGTCCTACAGCTTTATAGGAACCCGACTTCATCCTCGTCATATCTATTTCACCAATGAAAACGATTTTTCCTGAAATATATTCAATATTTGTCTCCTATTTTGCAGTAAACTCGCTGTCTGAACGTGCAGAGCTGTAATTAACACGGTTTGTTGTCAAAGCTTTGAGGATTCTAATTTTGGCTTAGCTTACACTGCACTAGCCTCATGACGTGCGGCTTTGGCAGGGACTGAGAATAAAAATAAGATGCAGGACTACAAAAGCGATCGTATGTCAGCCCCTTTAGCCTTTTCAATACAACTTAAAACCCATCTGTGAAGCAGGAAGACTATTTTGTCCTGTTAGCTGCACCGGTTGCTTAGGCTCCGGTTATTTCAGTGGCTATGATAACCTGAGGCGCCAGAATGTGGCTGCTGCGCCATTTAAGGTGGAACAAGAAAATTCGACCTAGAAGCTGACTTTTTCATCGAGAGTTGAAAGGCATGGAAAGGGATGAGGATGTTGCTCTGTTTCTGTTTGACAAGTGGGTAACATTAAATTATTTTGCTGTTTCATAGAATCGGTAGGTCAGTATTGTTTTGTCCCGTTTGCCAATGTTTGCGGTTAGTTTCACAGTAGCAATTGTAGCGACAGTTTGCTAACCCACAACCTAGCGCTAGCTTACTTTAGTTTGTTACATTATTTACTGTATTGTTGTTCACTCTACCATTATGGTATTTGTACAAGGTTTGAGAAGGGTTTTATGGCCACGATTAGCAATATGTGTCCACAAATTTGAGGGGCAGAGCTTCTGAAGGAGCACTGAAGAGAGAGGTGTGTTTGCTTTGCTAAGAATCGCTTCTGTGCCTTTAAAGGATCATTATCGGGTATCAGCTAAACATGCTGAAAGGCAAAGTATCGGGCCCAAAAACACTGATTGGTCCATCTGTACCCTTAAGAATGTTATATGTAAATAACCTTTGTTCTGATTGGCTGTCCCGTTCTAAAACCCATCCAAACCGAAATATTACTTCAATAGACAGAGCTAATGTAAGCGGAATAGATGGAAGTATGTAAATAGCGTATATTGGTCTTAGTTTCCATATGTGGACCGCTGTACATCAAACATTGTTTTTTTATTAAAAAAGGAAATTCAGTTTTTAGTGACTTCCCAGGAGAAACATGGGAAACATAATTGTCTACAAACTTTTGGACATATTGGCCCAAACTGTACCCTGTTTGTGTACTAATTTACTTATGAATTGTCTACAACATGTGTATCTATATCTATGACATGTCCCAGCTGTCATTGGGTGGATCTATGACATGTATCATCTGCAAATAAAAAAAAGGAATGGTCAGATGTTATGTTTTGATTAATTAGTTGATTGATTGGTTAACTAATTACTTAATTTTTTTCATGAAAAGCTTTCAGTTGTTACACCGCCAGTAACAACTATCAGAAAGTCAAAGCAAATAATGAAAGCAAATAAACTGCGGTAATGTTTGCTTATAAAGTAGACCTACAGCCTCCTCTATAGATGAGCACTACATGTAGCAAAGGGTATAGTCTACTTTAGTTTCTTTTGAGTGACACGGGTGACTTTGGTGGTGTTAATTCAGTCAGTCAGTCAGTCAGTCAGTCTTTCAGAAAAGAAACTTCCAAAACTACCTGTTTGCCACAGACCTGTTGTTGAGTTGAACCAGAAGTACAGCAAAATCTGCCTTCAGCAGTCTGCATTGGCACCATGCTGCATATGCATTCTAAGATTTGGTTTTGATTTATGTGTTTGGACATTTAAGTCACAGTTCAACTGTGCAGTTTCTAACACTGGATGAAGGATGGAAAGGTGTAGAGAGCTCAATTTTTATTTTAGTAAACTGTGTAGAATTGTATTTATTTAGTACTTAGGCTATAACATTGAAAATCAACAGAGGGCTTCCTAGGCCTTCAGAGATGGCCTAGTGATTTCTGGGAACTTAAAAATGCATGGCTTTTTTAATTCATTTTTATTCAATAGAATCATGCTTATATTTAAATTCTGTACATATTACTACTCTTGTTTTATTGTTAAGTTTTGAGTGTCAACAAAATGGTAAAGTTCTTAAAATGGCAGCGAAAAATTGACCAATCAGGAACTGGTTTTCGATGTGGTATCTGGGTGTATAAAGCTAAGCGAGCTCTCCTATTGGTTATGACTTCAAAAGCTGAAGAGAATACCTAACGTGTTAGATTAACCATCAGCATAATTACACAGTGACAGAGATGTCAGCCAGTCACATTATGATTTATAACATGCGGACTGGGGGGAAAAAATGGTCACTTTAGGCCTTCCGGAGGTCCCAGATGTCACTGACTATGCATATGAGTGGCGGCCTAATTAGTAGGTTGTTAGAAATGGAAAACAGTGACAGCAGCTCTACACCAAGCCTCTAAACAGCTATAGGTAAAATATATGCTAATACATCTGTCCTAAGCTTCAAGTAAAACATGGAATGCCTTTTAGAAACTTAATCTAATATGGGCAAAAATGTTCATGTGAATTGTCAAAAGCTTAGTGCTAACAAACAACTAGAATCCCATAGGGATGCTAGCAGAAGTTAGCATTATCATATAGGTGGGTTTTCTTCTCATGTTTTCACTTTATTTTGACATTTATGGCTCGAATTTAAGGTGTGGCTCTGACAGTCACGGATTGCCACTAAAAATGTATATGTTTAAAAGAAATATAGTTTCTTGTCCAGCATTATGTAGTTACAATCTGAAGGCATTATTTGCAGTGTGCATGTGTTTGCCTATTACAGATCTCCTAGATACACACAAGCTTTTTTTGGCCAGTCTTTAGTGTTTTGAGACATTGTACTTGGGTCTATATAAAACTACTTGCAGTTGACATCACGTATTTTGTAATAAACATAAAAAGATCATTTTCCTAAGAAATCATTTGTCTATTGCTTTCGTGTTGTGTGCAATGTATAATTATGCAAAAAGTGATAGTGGCACAATCATAACATGGCACATTTTTTATCTCTGCAAACATTAGGTTTGCTTTTGTTTTACAACGTTTAATCACTTCATTGACATAAACGATCACTTGGCTTATTGAAAAACTGTTACATAACTTACATAAGACTTACATAAAGGGAAAACCTTTTTTCTTGATGACTTAAGTATATTCATTCATTAAGTATAAGTCATTAATTAATGGGACATGGTAATAAGAAAATAATTTCTTGCTTTTTTATATAAATAATAAATAACAAATGTGCTTGGAAAGTTTTCTTGTTTCTCGAAAACTTCTAACAAAACCAGCTTTCTGATTGTAGTAGAGTTACTTTCAATAATATATCAAATTTCATTTCACAGGGGGATTGAAGCAGGAACTGCAATTTGGGTTGAGTATGTTAAGCCTGGAAGGTGTGGCAACCTACTTCTACTCCTGTTACTTGTGCCCTTCTGTAGAGTCATACACCCTCAGGAGAAAGCCAGGTAAGTGCTAGTCTGTGTAGAAGTTGATCTTTTACACTGTTACAGGAGCAGCTCCTCTTATCCAAATGTTCACCTTAGCCATTTAAGTCAAATGGCAAAACTGTTCTCAGATCAGCTAAGACTGTAGTGTGCCTCCTGTGGGTTTGACTGTGTAACAACTCCCACCAAACCTCACACTCTCCATTTTAACAGCTTTAGGCTACAGGGCTTTGCTTTACATGCTGAATAGTGACTGGTGAAGGGTAATTCTCACAACTAGACACAACACACTCCTCAAGTTTTATGTTTTATGGTTTTCTTGTTGTATATTTCTGTAGACACAAGGCCGCTGGAAGCTGTTCTGGTGGCTGCAGTATGGTCACGACATAATGAACCAGACAAGTTTGAAAACTGTTGGCTAATTAATTTGTATACATACTAATACAAAACCTTTTGCTATTGCTTCACATGCTTTTGCTTTATTTTATGCTACTGTACTGCAGATGTTACAAAGGACTGAGTGAGATATGAACAAGGGAGACAGTCACAATGAACAGTTTTATTTGTGTGTGATCCGCAAGGGAGAGATGGAGCTAAGTGCTGCTGGGGGGCTTGTGTGTGGGGCGGTTATCCCTCCCTCCAGATGTAATAGTTTGATCCCTCCAGGCCAGAGCTTTAAACTCCCAAAACAAAGTTCTGTAATGCACTGACTGCAAACAATTAAGAGTCGGAGTGTATCACAGAACTTTACTTGGAAAGCCACAGAAGAAGCGCGCTAATCCTCCTTCACTATGGGACTTCTCGTCTTCTCACTGCCGTCAGAATGAAACAGAGGAGTAAAGAGACAGGTTAGATTTATCTCAGTCACTGCAGGACTGCACATTATGTATTTTAGCTGATCTTTTGCACTTGAGACAATCCTACAAAATGAAAAGAGAGACTTAAAACACAGAAATTATGGGTCAAATTATTATAACCATCCTATCCCATACTCAGAGGGTGAATAAGAACTTAGAAACATGAGTAAAATATGGCTGAACATGAGCTGGAAGAGGCTGGCACTCCACAGGCCTATAATGGCTGTAAGAGGAATTTAAAGGACGATAAGATGCCTACAGTTGGAAACTTGGACCCATTCTCCCCCAACCCCCTTCACACACAGCTACATATGGAGTCGCACATTGGCCACACGTTGACTCACGTTTTGCATGAACGCAAACGACATTGTGTGGAATGAAATAAGCAGCTGTGCAAAATGAAAGTGTGACATGACAAAACGTGAGAAGGTCTCGTGTTTACTCTCAGGCTCAGCCTTACCTAGCTTCAAGGTTGTTAACAACTGGAGCAGTCGATAGGTGAAACAGCTGACGTGTCTATTCGGAGCTGTGGATAAGCTCCTCTTTATCATGAAAGTCAATCTTTGACTGGTTCACCAACACATTCATAATGCTTAACTTTCACACACGGGTCGCGTTTCACTTTACTTTAATGCTGTACTTCATTTAGGGACTGTGTATAAAATGACTTTGAAAGACTTTGTTTGCAGTCGTAACTAGAATGACATCTGCACGCAAGAAATCACTTCTTTTATCCAGATTTTTGCGGCACCATGTCATATTATATTGCAAAAGCAAAACTTTTTCATATTCAGAGAAGTTGGTTGTTAGCTGGCGGGATCCTGGAAATTCATCATAAAAAAGAGCAGAGTGTGCCCTATTACGTGCATTTAAAGCAGTGTATCGTGGCTCACTATACTTTTAGCGGAACAGAAGACAAAATGTTAGAGAACATACCTGCTGGACCTCACAGCTGCAACTCAGCACATTATGCACGAGGCGAAAGAGAGAAATGCAAAAAAGAAAAAAAACGCCATGTCCAAATATGGCAGCCGAGACTATCAGAGCCAGCGAAGATTTTATGCGTTAATTTGGCACTTGGCGTCCTTCCTCAGGCCCTGGACAGTGTTGGTGAGGTGATTTCGTCTCTTTCTCCTCTCTCTCTCTCTCTCTCTCCCTCTCCCTCTCCCGTGTACCGGACTCCGCAGCTGGAAGAATGTCGACGTGGAGCTGCCAATCGTGAACGCGCAATCACGGACGCGCTCGAGAGGGAGGGAGAGAGAAAAAGGCAGAGAGAGGGAGAGAGAAAAGTTTCATTTTGGTGTAGTTTCACACACAGTGGCCTACCGTGGTCGACTGTTAGGTAGCGCTGGAGGTACAGTGAGGTTCTTAGCAGATACGTGTCAGTGTAAAAATAGCCCCATTTAGCTGCAGCCGTCTTTCGAGCACAGCTTAATTGCGATGGGCTTATGGTTCGTCTCACACGCAGGTGGCGGAATGCTTATAGGGCTACAGAACAGGCCTGAAAATACAAATAAATCGAATGAACTCGCATATCCGGCCATGCAGTTAGCAGATTTTGTCCATTAGATGTGACAGAGAGGCCAAAATTGATTCAGTGCTACTAGCCCACCGAGCTTAACACCTGACGTCCTACTAGCAGTTTTACTGTCATAAATAAAATCCGAGCAGGATGGTGAAATATTCTGGGATTGGACGTGACAAAAAGCCTAAGTGAAATTCAGTATGTGGCACTTCCAGGCCTCTAGTATGCTGCTGAAAGTAGATTTTGACATCTGACCAGTAGAGGTCGCAAGCTGACAGACAGACAGGCAGAGTTGGAGAATCACACAGGTTGGTCATCGAGACCCTCGTGCTTAATCACTGTATGTCCAAAGGTTCGTAGACACCAGTTTAAACTCCTTTGTTGCAGTTACAGCCTATACTATTCTGAGAAGGCTTTACACTAGATGTTGGATGATTTATGTGAGAATTTGATCACATTCAGTCACAAGAGCATTAGTGAGGTCAGCTACTGATGTTGGACGATTAATTCTGGACCGCAAACGTCACTCCAACTCACTCCAGAAGTACTGGATAGAGTTTAGTCACTCCAGAGAATGCAGCTCCACTACTCCACAGCCCAGTGCTAGGGGGCTTTATACCTCTTAGGCCAACCATTGGCTGTACAAGCTGTAAGTGTGTAGCGCCTATGTCAGCAATGCATTCATCTTAAAGTAGCTGAATTAGAAGGGATGTCTGAAAACTCTTGAATATGTAGTGTGTTTGATATCGCTGCACTTCACTGCTCAAATGTGAAAGTAGAAGACTCGTTCTGGATTTGGTCTCATCCTCTGGCTTTACCTATTCTTTTCAGGCCCAATACTGTTGGTCTATACACAGTTTTTCCTGCTCCTAAAATACCTGATTTAGTTTTGGTTTATTCAGTAGAGTTGTTGATCAAGATTTTCATGAGCTGCAGGTGTGGGAGTTTGGAGGCTGTGTACATTGTAAAACGTAACAGTTGCACTATATTAATTTTGGGGCGTTTACTTCATTCATCTGTTACACTTACTAATACAAATCCAGTTAAACATACTATTTCTTGTATAATTGTTAGTTACTTAGGTCAAGCTAGGTAAGATTAATTTATTCGGATAAGTCAGTTTGCCCAAAAGCTTAAGAGTCAGTCTCTGTCTTTCTGACCAGCTTCTCATTAGTTGCTGACACTGAAGTTGAAAAACTAGACAAAGTAACTATTTTGTGCATTTTTGTGACTTGGACCACATATTCGTTTGTAGCAAACCTATCTTTTGTCTCTGACCTGTGTCTTTAAAAAACACTTACAAAGAACACCAGTTCCAGGCTTAATATTTTGACATTTAAAACGAAAAAACCTGCTATTTTACTGTCTTTTAATTATTATTCAGAATGTGGGTTACATGTTTAGCACAGTGGGAGGAGCTGTCTGATTGCCTGTGGTTGCGTATGAGTCTAAAATGGGGCGGATCCCGCCGCCGGTCAACGCGCGCTTCTGATTGGTTATCGAGGGTTGGTGAACACGCCCATCAAATGTCTGGGGCTTTCCGTACATTTTCATAACTCCACAGACTGTATTTCCTTCATCAGCGGCTGGGTGACGGAGTCGGTGACGACTTCATACGTTAGATTTTTTCATTTCGAGGCTTTGGAAAGGAATATAAACTAAAGTACAGCACTGGGTGTCGCGTCGTTAACGAAGGCTGTATCTCGCTAAAATGATGGAGATTGAGTTGCCTAAAATGAACCCAAGTCAACAGGTACATATTTTCTTTATGTTTGTTCGCTTGTAGGGTCTTGACATCATGTTGAGGAACGATGACGTGTTTTATTGTTCGGCTGTGTGGAAAGAGTATTTCGTTTTCTCTGGATTTCACTTTACCTCTGGGTCGTTGAGGGTCTGGAGGCTGTTACTGAGAAGCCTGAACTTTTTATTTTCCGGGGAAGACACACACTCACACACACTCACACCCACCCGCACACCAGGACTGTCTTATCGCTGGGTCCGAAACGCTAACTGTGGCTAGTGTTTGACTTTTTGTCAAAAAAAGTGTTTGACTTTTTGGGTTTAATCAACGATTAAAGGTTGTTCGCACATGTATATTCCCGCCTATGAGCATTTAAACAGCAGTGACCAAGTATACAAGGAAATTACTGGAACCGTGTCTGTTTTTTTTCATTCAGTATCACGAGGAGGCGTTTCCAGCACTTGTTTCCGAGCCTCTTGTAGAAAATTCTGCCAAGTCATGGATGTCAGGCTATCCGGTCCGAAATAAGAACAGACGGGAAAAGACAATTCCGAGAATTAAAAACGCAGTTTTCCAGTTGTCAAATGTCAAGTGGCCTGTGTTCACACGCCCTTAGTCATATGAGTCTGTCTTATCAGGAGAAAACGTTTGTTGTTAGCCTAGCTTTGGCTCTTGACTTTGGCTTTGCCGTGGGTTGTCTAAAGCCCCCCCAGCAGTGCTGTCGCCCCACTTGCGTGTGATATCGTCCGGGGCATCGGTATAGTTACCTTTGCTCCGCACGCTGTGTGCACGTAGCACAACAGTAGGAGGCGGCCCTGGTCAGGAATGTCGTTTTTTTTTTAAACCACTTTATCATGACGTAAAGATGTTATACGTATAATTAAGAGATCAGTCTTAAGCAAACTGAGCACAGTGCTTTGTGGAAAAATGGCACTAAGCACACAATCCCAAGCAGGAGTCGATTGTCCGATGTGGAGGCGTGTTCTTGATGGACAAAGGTGATACCTTCAGAATATGTGATAGCAAACAAATTATTCAAGTGTGACACGGCCACAGTGTGGACTGAAGGAAATCTGAGTCCACGTCTTCGTGAAGTGTTAGTGTGTCAGTAGGCTCTATAGGTTGTTGATGTTCCTTACTGTATGATCACGTGATGGCAGAAAGGGTACACTTGAACTTGGTTCACCTCCCATTATCAGGCTGGTCTGTTCTGCCTTTGACTGGAGTGTTTAGTAAACAGGTTTTGAACAGGTTTGGCAACCAGATTTCTGTTTTTTTACTGTAAAATGGAAAGCCTTTGTTAGGCCATAACAACGCATGAACTCTTCCATTTCCTTTATTTTACAGAAAAAGCCTGGGGCCCTGCTTTAGCTGGAAATGAACTTGATTTTTACATGTCTGCTTCCTTATTTGTAGTCTAGAGAGGATCATAGCCTGCATGTTAAATATGACAGTGATCACATTATATAGGTGAATGAGGAAGCATGGACACAAATGACTGCTATCCTGGTGATGTTTCTAAACATAATTCCTTCTACAGTCTGTATCATAGACTTATGGACTTATTCCAAAGCAGAGAAGCCAATAGTTTATGTAAAAAGGAAGTGAGGCAAGAGATGTGAGGCAAGGTTTTTACAATTCTACTTCCTCATTTGTAGTCTAATGAAGATCATAACCCACCCAGTGTGTTGAGTGTGGTAATGGTCACATTGTACAAATGTGGAAGGGTGGGCATACATTTAAAAGACTGATGTATTATATTTTGATCATAAACATGGTTTTGTCTAGAGGAGGTACAATAAGTCTGTAGGGTCACATATGAGAAGAGCACATCTAAAATATTGTGTTGACAATAGTTTATAGTAGTTTTCCTCAAAGATTGCATCATTCTCCCAAAGGGGGAGTTAATCAGTATAAGAAGGCCACAAGGCCGTGGCCACACAGTTACATGGATCAACCACAGAATGCTTACTTTAACATTAGATATGAGATTATACTCTCAGCCCACAATACATTTCATATCTCAGTGATGTTGTCATTATTACAGGAAACAGTGTTCCCATGATAAAAAATAGTTGTGTTCAGATTTTATTTAATCTAATATTAAAATGTTTTAAATTGGAATTTATATCTAAAACCTACCATTGTTGTTTATAAACTGACAAAAGGATTTGCAGTTGAATGCTTGAGCCTATAGGTTTACCTAGATTAGTGCAGGTGTGGTGTTTGCAACAAAAAGATCATGACCCAGTGTGTCACATTTTCATAATTTTTATGGCTAGAAATTCTAGAAAAAGCAGATTGCAGGCTAGAAAAGCAGAATGGAAGCTTGTAATGAAAGCTGTTACCCTGTTTTAACGTTCAGGGTATAACTATTATAAGACATTACATAAGAACCAAAAATTAAACTAAAAATACATATTATTAAGCTATTTTTTAAACACAGCTTAAAGAAAAGGTCCATGTTATTCATACCGTATGAACATTATAAGGTACCCTTATCATACCCTAGGAAGTTAGTGATGAAACCACTAATTCATTCTCCAAAGTTATGCTTTTTATCTGCTGACAGCGAGTAGGCTTTGAAATTATGAAACACTCCCACAGAAACAGTCCCACCTAGAAGAACGTCTAAGTCAAACAACCTAATACTTCCATTGATTGTTCTCATTGAAAAGAGAAAAAAAAAAGGGGTAGTTTTGTATGTATGTAGGAGGTCAGGCCAGGCTTGTCGTGAGAGGGATCCATTTAGTTCTTGTTTAGATATTTCATCATCCCTCCTTCCCTCCCCCTCCCTCCTGTAGCTGTAATCTGGGGCCTGGAAAGTGTGTCTGACTTGCATAGATTAATGAGACCTGGCCTAAAGCACTCGCAGCACTGATGTTACTGCCAGTGAACGTCTCTGGCTTGAATTGTGACGGGAAGGCCCTGACATAATACAGAAGTCAGAGTGGGGTCAGGGCTGAAGGAGGCTGCATGTCTGGCTTCAGATACACACAGAGAGTTACTGCTGGGCAGTGCTGCTCTTTGGAGGCCTGTGTTTGGCTTTATGGGTTTACAGTTTGTTTAGGAAATATTTTATTTGTTGAATTTTTGTTTGTTTGTGTTAGAGAGCATTTGTCTGTTTTTCTGATGGATTGCATGAAACAGAATGGAAGTTTCTTCTGCTCTCAGTATATAGAGAAGCATAAACTATGGCTGCATCCAAAAGCGCATGCTACTATACTATACATACTATTGTAATGAACAAACTTCTAATGGTGGTGTACTAGTTTTGACATATTGCTTGGCATGGTAGTATGTGCTTTTGGACACAGCATATCTGGTTAGTTGCATACATCTTTCCATGAGGCATAAATCTTTTCATTTCTAACGAAGGCCTTTCACCTACGCAAACACAGTTACTTCCAAATAGTAAAAACAGAACAGCCACTTTTATGTGATAGCTACTTCTGCTTTGTATAGTCCCCCTTCTTCCTGGTGGCATGCCTTGTGATCAGCATTCAGAGGAAGTAGATTTTTTACAGACTTTAGCAGAGTCACATGCTCCTACATCTTTCTTTGACCTTCTAAACAGATTTTATACAATACTCCAGTAGATATGCAGTGTTTCCCTTCTGTAAATAAATGGATTGAAAAGATGGTGGGCGAGGATGGAAAGAGGAAGAGGAGACTTAACTGTTTACTTCTAGACATTCTTGATTTAATGGCTGTTAATAGCTCTGGCTGTCAGCCATGGAGAGGTAAAAGGCAAGCTTTCTGAAGGCTTGGCTCACTCAAGCTTACTATGGCTTGGACAGTAATCCTATTTCTGCCATTTTTTAATATATTCTGATTCTGGTTTATGACATTTTACTGCTGTTATATTATTTGATAAGAAGAATTTGAACTTTTTTATCTTCTATGCTTGTCTCTTTACTTTCTCTCTCTGTTAAGGGCAAGGGAGTGAAGCTAAACCAACCTGTGATCTTTCGTCTGAATCTGCTCATGTGACCTTTGTCATATCTGAGCATATTAAATATGTCTTTGGCAAGGGTGCCAATAGAAAGTCCAATAAAGACCTTAGTTACAAAGCTTATCAGCAGCCCTTTAAAACTACACTGTCTCAATTTGTTCTGTGTGCTTGGAGGTTTGATATTTTCCTAAGCAGCATCCCCGGCTTGCTCTAAACATAGAGAGACATCATTATTATTTCCACTACTTTATCAGGGCTATGTCAACAAACTTTGATAACAAGGATACACCAAAGTCAAAAGTGGCCTTCTGTCTCTGCTTTCTCAATGATCTGCTCAGACTGGATACACATAAACGATTCATCCGGCAGTCCACCTTAACATGCTGATTGCTCCAGTTACTCAGTTATGTGGAGGATCACATTGGCACTTGAATGTTTTACATGTTGCGTAATACGTTAAACATAAATCGATTCTGTTCTAGCTAAACCAGAATCAAGGTAAAATATTCCACCATGCAGACGTTTTCTTAGGCATTGTTGCATCTGGAGTTTTCTTGAATGTGGTAAAGGGTCTTTGTAAGTTAACAGAACCCACTTTCCAGTAATTTGTTTATGTGATTTGTCTATGTGAGGCACCATGACATGAAAAAACTAATTTTCCTCAGTTTTTTTGAAGTAGTTGAGTTTCGTGTAGTATGTAAGCAGTGTTAAAATTTCAAAATGTACCCTTCACCACCTAGCCTATATGTAAACTGGAAAAACAGCCTAATTTGTATTCATTTTTCAAAGACCAACACATTAACATATATCCTCCTATTTATTATGCTAAGGTTATAAAGAGTGTTTCAGCTGGGCTGCTTTTCCAGTAAGGCACAATAGGTCATTGACATATACCAGTCTTAAGGGTACAGTAACAAAAACAGCTTGTTTAATTCTAAGGGTTGGAAAAAAAATATGGGGCCTTTAAAGCCAGTAACTTTTTATGTATGTCTGAAGCGCAGTTGAGCGTGTGAGTGTGTATCAGTCCACTGTGGGTGGGTCTCAAAGATGTGAGGAAAGAGGAGAAGGCCATCTATTATTCATGCTGCCTCCTCTACATTACATTCATGATCACATTGTGAGTTGTGAGCCGAGATGGGATGGGAGCCGCGTGCAGTGCTGTGTAGCTGAACACAGAGGATCCCTCAGAGACTCACAGGGCGTGGTGGCAAGGTGCTGAAAGCTGCTCTCTCCCTCTCTTTCTGTAGGATATGGATCTGATTGACATCCTGTGGAGGCAGGATATAGACCTGGGAGCAGGCAGGGAGGTGTTTGACTTCAGCTACAGGCAGAAGGAGGTGCAGTTGCAGCGGCAGAGGGAGCTGGAGGAGGAGAAGAGGCAGCAGAGAGTGAGAGAGCAGGAGAAAGCTCTGCTCGCCCAGCTACAGCTTGATGAAGAGACTGGAGAGTTTGTGCCTCGGCCCACCCCTGCCAACAATGCTCTGACGCACGCCAACACTGCACCTGCAGAGATCACACAGGTACACACACACACACACACACACACACACACACACAAACACACACACAGACTTGAATAACCTTCTGATGCAAACTAACAGGGCACCTGTAGAGGTCTCTCTCTCTCACACACACACACACACACACACACACACACACACACACACACACACAGGCTTGTTTTATACATGTCAGGACATGTTCCATATAATCATATATGTGAAGGGTTTCCAAAACACATTAAATGCCACTTTCAGAAATTGTTTTCTTTTTATAAGCTTTACACATGGAAGAAATATTACTGCTACATTATGATTAATACAACTAACCTTATTAAAGAAATAATGTGTTATGTGTTATGTCAGAAATTGTTCTTTTTAAACCTCTTGTTACAAATGGATATGCACATACAGTTCTGTGTGAGGATTTTCGGCAGATTAAACCTGAAATTAGATTTAAAAGCTATTTATCTGAACAGTAAGCATTTATATGCTCAAATAGTGTTAATGCAGTAGGTAGTGATTTTTATGTATGTGTTCACTTAACCATTTACAAATCCCGTAGTAGTAATGTAATATAGTAATACACTTAGTTTGGCTAATCAATCTAACCTTGATTAAATGAGTCCTGGTGATGGAATTAAACAAATCCAGTGGCTGGGGGCATCAAGAAAAATTCTGGAACAAAATTTGTGTTGTTTTAATTATCTGTCTAATGTTCCTGACATTGTAGGTTTGCCTTGCTTTTCTCTAGTTTTCCTATAAACTCAGGAGATGTTTGTACTGAAAATGTACAAACACGCGCACACACACACACACACACTCAGATAACCTTCTAATGCAAGCTAAGAGGGCTCCTGCAGAGGTGTCTATCACACACACACACACATGCAGACAAAAGGTAACAAACATTTGTGAGATCATATATGTAAACAGATATGCTTCCACACATGCACGTATGCTCTCTATATACATTCTGTTCTGGGAAAGGCCCCACCCTCCCGCCAACCCAGTGGGGTGCAGATGCTGGGTTGCTGGGTTACTACTGCTATAGTGTAATTACTGGAACTCAGGTGGTTCAGGTTTCCAAGTAGATGGCTCACAGCTTCAGAGAAACACCTTTGTATAAGACTAACAGCACTCTACTGCAATATTCATTTAGGTGTGTGGTGTGATATCCTACAGTGTTTCAGCATTGAATTATTGATTTGAAATGGATCAGGGATGAGGATCTGAAATGTCAGAGGTTGAAATCTTAAGTGTTCTTCTCTGGGTGTGAAGTCACTGGTCTGACATGGATGTGTCTGGCTTTGTACGTGCAGAATGTGGCATTCACTGAAGAGAATGGAGATGCCATGTCGTTCGATGAGTGCATGCAGCTGCTGGCAGAGACATTCCCTCTAGTAGAGTCAGCAGAGGTAAAATATTTTTGATGCATTCAGAGTAATAAAAGCATGTCAAGTAGAAGCATATTTTTTGAAGCCCTAGATTTTTTTTAAATGGATATCACTGAACAACTGAAGATTGTTATCTGTTTTTCCTTTTAATAGACTGCTGCTCCTTGCCTGGATCCCTCCATTCCTCCCTCCACAGACAACAGCCATGTAATGATGCCTGGAGAAATGCCCATGCTTACCCAGAATCCCCTGATGCCAGGCCCTATGGACCAGACCTGGATGGATCTGCAAGTATGGCTCAGGACACACACCCACCATCATGGGATAATTCTACAGAACTTTCACAAGCTGAGAAAGATACAACTGCTAGCATTTGGGTCTCAACACTAGGAGAGGTTCAGCTCAGTGTTTTGGCTACAGAGAAAGAGAAAGAAAGCCGTAGATACACTTTCAGGTACATAACCTTGTGATCTGGTTCCCCTCTTATGTGGTATAGAGAGGCCTAAGCCTGCCTATTGCCATAGTAACCAACCACATGACCCACCTTTATGGTCATACTTTGGTTTTGACTAGCTCATGGGGGAATGTTTGCCTCACTTGTTTTTGTTTTGCTTCCTATTTCAGACCTAACCAGATCCCAGCTAAATTAAAGTTAAAAATGTTCTTTTCATTTCACATTTGTTGGAGTAATCAGAATGCTTCTTTGCTCTAATTTGTGATTTACTCTGATCTGTTGTGTTTTTATGTATTTTTTTAGCACTGCTTGAACATCCAGGAAATGTTGGACATATCAGGATATGTGAACCCAGCCCCTGCTACCAATATACAGGAGTCAAACTACAGCCAGTATCTGCCTGAATTGGGAGACATCCCCACTAACACTGCAGAAATGTGCCCTCCTGCTTACATAAACACCTTTGACGGAGCTTTTAACAGTGTGGTGCCCCCTAGCCTAAATCAGATAAGTCTGAAAGCTGAAGATATAAATGAAGGCTTTGCATCTGATGATTTTTCAGACATATTCTACCCTGATATGGAGGCTAAAGTGAATAGTGCAACTCTTCCGTGCGATGGGGCAAACACAGTGGACCAACTGGAAGAGCTATCCAGTGACCCCCTCCTGAAACCCATGGACCTGCACAGCCTTTCTCCTGGAGACTTCAGCGTAGGAAAACCCGAAGCCATGGCAGAATTTCCAGATTCTGACTCCGGTTTGTCCTTGGATGCCAGTCCCAAAATGAGCTCTCCCGAAAAATCCCTGAACGGAGATGGTTCCTTTGGTTTCAGCGACTCAGACATGGATGACACAGAGGATGGTCCTGAGAGTGCAGAATCAGATTATGCAGAGATGTTTCCCCTGCTGTTCCAAAGTGACAGTCCCCAACAGTCCCTCACAGAGAAATCACCTGTGAGTCAGGCAGAAGAGAGTGAGATCAAACGGCCTAAGTCAGAGCCAGCAGAGGCCAGCGGCTTCTCCAAACCTCCGTTCACCAAAGACAAACAGAAGAAGCGCTCAGAGGCACGGATCTCGCGTGATGAACAGAGAGCAAAGACCTTGCAGATTCCCTTCACCGTGGACATGATCATCAACCTGCCTGTGGACGACTTCAACGAGTTGATGTCCAAGCACCAGCTCAACGAGGCCCAGCTGGCGCTGGTCCGGGACATTCGCCGCCGTGGCAAGAACAAGGTGGCGGCGCAGAACTGCCGCAAGCGCAAGATGGAGAACATCGTGGGCCTGGAGTACGAGCTGGACTCTCTGAAGGAGGAGAAAGAGCGGCTGATGAAGGAGAAGAGCGAGAACAGCAACAGCCTGAGGGAAATGAAGCAGCAGCTGAACTCCCTGTACCTGGAAGTGTTCAGCATGTTGAAGGATGAGCAGGGCAAGCCCTACTCGCCCAACGACTACTCCCTACAGCAGACGTCCGACGGCAGCGTCTTCCTCGTCCCCCGCATCAAAAAGACTCTCATCAAGAGCGACTAGCACTTTTTCTGCTTCCTTCTTCTTGGTACTGCATATTCTCTAGCTACTTACTATGCAAAACAAGAAAAAAAAAACTTTATAGGTGTTTATGCTTAAGCTTTAGCAGTAAACATGGCAGAACTATTATATAGTTTTTGCTTATCGTACTTTCTTAATATTCTTACTATCTTATTTTGTACTTCTTTATACTTTATCTGAGATTGTTTTATCTTTATGGTTTGTAAATACATTTATACTTTATTTGCTATTGAAATATCAAACAGTGTACTGTATATATATCATGTTTTAGGATGCTATCAATTTTGTTGCAATCACTGGCACTCAAGTATGTTTTTATATCTTAATTTACAATTCTCTTGCAATTTTATCTCTTCATGCTTTTTAAAAATAAAACATTCATTTAATCAGGTGGTGACTTGTCATTGCAGAAATTGAACACAACACACATTGATAGTTATAGTGTTCTTAAATTATGAAGGATCAGAGCTTTAGATATAATGCAGTGTGCTTAAAACAGAAACAGACATTCTGGTTTGTGTTGTACTCTGACACCGTGCAATGCAAAAAAAGTTTTTTTTATTGTAAAAAAAAAAAAAAAAATCTATTCTTGTCTTGAAAGGGGTGTTTGTGTAAAATGTGTACCACACATACAAGTCACAGCTGCTCTTAAACTACGAGCCTAAACCACACAGGGTTATGCAACAGAGCTCTATTGTTTGACCGTTGCCCATGTGAAACCTGCATGATGGCTCCACTAAGCCCTGTTGGACAAACACAGAAGAAAAGCAGAGCTCTGCACATTGTAGTGTTTGCACTGCCAGGCACTTTCACCCTCAAAAAGCTATCTTTGAAAACCAAGCCCCCTCCACATAGGCCCTTCAGAAGCCATTAGCCTGACTGAACAAACAGGACGGGCCGGTTCAAAGAGCCACAACGTACGTGACTGTCTGTGCTCTATCTAATTCAAAGAACAGCAGTCCTATTCTTGACAGCTCCACCTCTGCTAATGCAATGTTCTATTGTTATATTGATAAACTACATTTTCATTAGTTACAACTTGTGACAGCATTAAAACTCCTTGGTTCAACTCTCATGACCTTACCTGCTGTAACCTGTTGAGTTTAAATACAGCCCTAATAATTCAGTAACATTGTGTAACCAAGTTCAAAGGGTTTAATTAAAAGTCAAGCCATTGCTGTAGTGTGAGCTGCATGAGTGCAAGGTCTAAAGCACGTTTCATAAACCTGGTGAAGAGGTTAAGAGAACAAAGTGCCAGGTTGAGTTTTTACATTTTTTTAAAGATCCGCCTTATCTACAAAAGGACTTGAAAAACCATCATAAATTACAGGGAAAATGACTTTTTTAATCACCTTTATTGAAAAATAAAAATTAGTGTCATGGTAGACACATACATTCACACAAAACTAAAATAGAAATATTCTGGGAAATAAAAACAAGATTTACATTAAAGATAATGTGTACTGCAAGATCAAGCAAACAAAATTTTTTACTAATATTATCCCTGAGTAAATATGTATATCCTCCCATATCCAAATAATAAGAAATATAAGCTAGTCTGTAGCTGAAATATACTATGTGATCAATTCTGATCTCCAGGGTGTGGTCAGTCAAGCAAAGTGTACTACTTGTGAATTAGCTGGTAATAAAACTGCACATCGTCTTATCTTTACTGCAGACAAAAGTCCAATTAGTTACATCATATACTCATATTAAATGAGTTAAGGTCAGTCATACAGATAGAACAATACTTAAAGTTATCCGGAAAAGTTAATATTATGTACTTTTAAATAAATGCACTTTTTTCAATAATTCATTGTACAGGCATACTAGTGAAAGTTTTTAGAGTTGAACAACTACTAAAACTACTAAAAAACCTCCTATTCTGGACTATGTCATACTGTTTGTTTTAACTTTCGCAGTCCCATTTACCTCTATTTACAGGGGAATTTCACAGATTTTTTCTACGTAATACAATGGTTGAGATGTAAACAAAATCACTGAGTGTTCTGATGTGCAATGGTTCTTTGTAGAGAAGCATACTGACTCAAGACGTCTTTACAGTGGTGGTGACAGAAACCAGGGGTTATGATGTCTACAACACAAAAATAGCCATTTTATGTACTATCCAATATGACCACACAAGTCTTTTGTGTTTTTATACGCAACGCTTACCTCTCTACTGTGACGGTATTTTTAAAAAAAACAATTTGTTTAGGCCAAAGCCTTTAACAAAACGAATGTAAAATGATGTATTTTAGTAACCATTTTTATGCAACTACATTCTGTGAGGAAGCTGTAAGAGGCCCTAAAAACTTCAGACATCTGGTTCCTATCACTACCACTGTGAACAATTCTGACACAGTAAGTTTCTTTAGAACAGAGCATTTCACATCAAACCACTCTGAATGACTTTCTTTTTTATATCTTAACCATTCAATTATGCAGATTTATGCTAATTTCCCTTAATAAAAATGTCCTGAAAGAAAACAAAATGTACCTGAAATCCTAAAGATCAACTTGTGGGAACAAAGTTTTACAAATTTTCTATATATTTATCTGCTTACATGGAAAATGAGTTCTATAAAGAATACACTTGATGATATTTATGTAAGAAGTGACTCTATATAATTTATATTTGAGTAGTGAGCTCTTGCGTTTTACCCATGTTTCCAACGAGTGCCTGTCAATGCTTTCTGAGGTTGTGGTTCATTGATTTGGGTAAAATTATGGCTAAATTCACTAAATCTACTAATTAATATACTCACAGTAACTGTAGTGCTGTTCTCTCAAACAGTTTCAGGATCAGGTTCTGTCTGTGGCTATGGGAGGATATTTTATAAAGGTCCACACAATTTAAAGAATTAATCTTACCCATCCAGAACTTTCGCTGAAAACGTGTCATACAAGATTTTCTGACCAGCCGCTTCGTTTTCAATCTGTAAATTAAGCAGAATGGTTACTCTTACCTGGTCCTAAGACTGTCATCTTCTTCTTCTTTTGTCTCTTATTCACCTGTGACTCAAACCCTCATACTCACTCCCCTTCCTCTGCTGGCTAGCATTGGCTGTCACACTTCTTGGATCCATGAATTTGCTAGTCTTTCTTCACTAGCGTCAGCTGCTCTTGGAAAGTTAGGCTACTCCTTGAAAAACAGACGCTAGCTTTCTGGAAGAACACCTGATGGCTTTCCACACACATGGCTCTTGATGCCTTGATTTTTGTTTGTTTTCTGATGCAACTCACTGCCTGGTCCTGTTGAGGGTCTGACATCCACACTGGACAACTGAGACCTGTTTGATGTTCTCTGCCTACACGTTCAAGACCCCTTCACTCATTTACATGTATGGTTTTTAAAATGTAGCTAATAAATCCAGAATGTCCAACACTTTCAAACCAAAACATACAACAAACACGCAAGACAACTGCACTTGCTTCCAGACTCAATAATGCACTAAACTTCAATTAGGGAATTTTTCTACACAACTTTATTTAATCTGGTTTCTTTTTTCACTTTTCAAAATAGTTTAACAATCTAGACTTCTATTTATACAAGTGGATCTGTTACATGCCCTCAAATCTGACAAGTCTACACTGCTTATTACTTTGTTTCATACAACGCAAGACAGCACATACACACTAGCAACAGAAAATTACACTTGACACTATAAAGCATCACTGCCTTAAAATTAAAAAAAAAATACTGAAACCAAAAAACCATACCATAGCTTGCATCTAGTTTGTTTGATTCTTTTGTAATAACTAAATACCTATATAATCTAAAGATACAAATCTGGCCTGGAAAGAAAATCATTTAAGACCATACCATTTAAAAGCTGACTTCAACGACCGTGACACTTGATAGATCACTCCAAATAAAGCAAGTCTTCTGAAGTACACAAAAAAGTAAAAGAAAATGGGGTAAAATCTATCAAAGAAGATCAAAGGAATGTACATACACTAACACATACTAGATCATGAGTACCTGGCTACACTCTTGCTCTTTGTAGCTAGTGTGCACAGTCCTTCTTTGAGTTGCCATTTTAGTGCTCTGACTAGCAGGTCCTGGCTTTCTCACAGTAACCTGCTGCTTTCCTGACCTCTCCTCTCATCTCATCTCCTGCTAACTGTCCACCTGAAGCCTGTTGAATAGATACAGGATAAAAAAATAGTTACACTAGGTCAGCAAAAGTCTAAGGCTGATTAACTAGTGTGATAAACTTACCACAAACATACGCACATTAATACCGCCTTGAGCCATAACCACCACCGCCACCACCACCTGAACCATAGCCACCTGGAAACATTAAAAAACCGAAAACATCAGCACTTGTCCTCAGGCTTACATGACACGTACATACAGTACAGCATAGTCTGAGAGAAGTGTTTTACCTCCATATGGTCCACCTGAGTTCCTCCCGCCAAAGTTATTGCCTTTCATGGGGCCATAGTTAGACTGCTGGCCTCCATAATTTCCAAAGTCATTGTAGTTTCCTCCTCCACCTCCACCTCCTCCACCACCGAAATTTCCTTAAAGTCACAGTGAACAATAGTAAGGTGGGTGACTTTACTTGGGTAGCCAACAGTTACTTGTGCATTTCATTTAGGCTTTAGTTTACATTACAAACTACGAAAAAATGTCACTTTCAAGAAGACTTTTCAAGATTTGACCTCAATAAATGGCCTTAAATGGTATCCACCACTTTAAGGCAATTACCACCAAAATTGCGTCCATCGTTGTAGTTATCATATCCTCCGAAGCCTCCTCCTCCTCCTCCCTGGTGACCATAGCCAGGGCCCCCACCAAATCCTCCACGTCCACCCCCATAACCAGGGCCACCGCCATAGTTACCACCTGAAGACATATAGACACAGACAAATCTAGCAGTTTATCACAGTGATTGGGAAAAAATGAGCAACCCCTTTAAACCTCAAAAAAAAGAATCTGTACTCAGTATAAAAAAACACTAATTACTATCTGTCAAGTCAGTACTCCCTTGTGAAAATCTGGCTTGTCTTACCATCTCCACCAAATCCATTATAGCCATCTCCTCCATAGCCTCCTCTGCCTCCTCCGTAGCCTCCTGTGCAAAACAAAGTATCATATATACTTTCCATATCAACAGATAACTATCAAATTTAAGATAATTTTTATTTCCTACCTCTACCAAAATCGCCCCCTCCAAAGTTGCCTCCTCTGCCCATGAAATTACCCCCACCACCACCACGATCTACAATGGAAATAAAAAAAGCATAGGAACCTGAAAACAAATTAAGTCTTTTTTGTTTCCTTTCCTGTTGTTTTGTCAGTTTATACTAGTAAAATGAAACAAGATTTTATAATAAATATTTATTATAGTTGTAATTAGAGTTGCACAAATTACAAAATCTGAAATGAACTGGGGCGGCACGGTGGCGCAGTGGGTAGCGCTGTCGCCTCACAGCAAGAATGGCCTGGGTTCAATTCCCGGCCAGGCGACCAGGGTCATTTCTGTGTGGAGTTTGCATGTTCTCCCCGTGTCTCTGTGGGTTTCCTCCGGGTACACCGGTTTCCTCCCACAGGCCAATTCGACATGCAAAAATTGCCCCTAGGTGTGAGTGTGTGTGTGCGATTGTGTATGTCTGTCTGTCTGCCCTGCGATGGACTGGCGACCTGTCCAGGGTGTATCCTGCCTTCCACCCAATGACAGCTGGGATAGGCTCCAGCACCCCACCGCGACCCAGAAGGATAAGCGGTTTAGATGATGTATGTATGTATGAAATGAACTGAATTAGACAAACACACAGGACACTATGACATTGGACAAATAAAAACTATAACAAGTGCCTCTCACAAACATGTAAACCAAACATCTGTATTTTAAGTGACAACAATATTTACATCTCTGGTTAGAAACTGCCTGCATTTCCTGTTTGGGTAGTGCTTTCCTGACCTCACAGTTGTGGGAGTTTATGGTGTGGTATTTCTGGGCTAGAGAGAAACACAAACGGGAAATTTCAGTACATACTTAAGCAGAAAAACAACAGCAACAATGAAAAAGCAGACAATTCTACATAATTCTCTTACCAACAATTTTATCCACAGTGTCATGATCATCAAAAGTTACAAAACAGAATCCTCTCTTTTTCCCTGTTGGTCGCTCCTCCATAATGTCAATGCTCTCAATCTTCCCATACCGCTCAAAGTATTCACGTATGTGATATTCTTCTGTGTCCTCTTTAATCCCACCAACAAAAATCTTTTTCACTGTCAAATGGGCCCCTGGTTTATTTGAGTCCTAAATAACATAATAAACGCAAAGTTAATATGTTGTTAATGCATACTAACTCCTCTTTATCTCTGTTCATTCTGTTTGTGTTCTGGGAGGCTTATCTGTGAGGTGTACAGTTTGGCATACAGGATATCAATAAATTCATACTTAATTTCCAGGAATGTGAGTAGCAGCGTATGGTGATACCTCTCGGGAAACAGCCCGTTTTGGCTCAACAACACGGCCATCGACTTTATGGGGCCGGGCCTTCATTGCTGCATCCACCTCAGCTACACATGAGTATGTCACAAAACCAAAACCTCGTGACCGCTTGTTCCCCGGGTCCCGCATCACCTGTGGACGAAAGCAGTTAGTAAAACAGTAATTACAGTGATTAACAGCTCAAGAGTCTTTAATACAACAGATAACATTTCAATAAAATACAGTACCAAAATAATATCAAATAAAAGCTCCAAATAGCACTGTAGATTTCACTAACCACACAGTCTGTGAGCTTGCCCCATTGCTCAAAGTGAGCACGCAAGCTGTCCTCTGTTGTTTCAAAGCTGAGACCGCCAATAAACAGCTTCCTCAGCTGTTCTGGCTCCTTACTGTCACGGCCCTGTTGACATCCATATAAAACAAGAGACAGAGAAAACATAACTATTAACATAAAAATGACCACATGTTCCTCTTCCTGTCCTGCAATAACAGCTCTTACTATCCATCAACAACTTTAGCACAGGACAGATGATTAACACGGTCCTTTCTGAGCAAGAATGTTTATAATAATTCATTAGTTGCCAAAGAGAGTGGAAATAACTGTTCACTGACAGAACTGTGGATCAGAAATCTGTGGAAGATGTTAACAGATAAGGATTCGCTTGCAGATCACGTATTTCATTCAGAGTAGGATGAAGACACGTATTCTTTAATAAGCATTAACTTATATTAACAATAACCATCAGTTTACACCGCTGGCTGTGTTCTTTACGGGTAAAACTGGTTGAACATGGTCATTTTATCATCATTAGCCGCAACGACGTCTGGAATATTCCAGGCGGCTTCCCTCAAACGCCATTTTAGAGCTCTTTCCCTCACTCTCTCCTCCATATTGTTAGCCAGTGCTTGTATGACACTTGTATGAAAACATGGATAACACCCAAAATTTCCTACCTGCTCAACGTTAACAAATGACCTTCGTGCTACCAATATTAGGTTAATATTATATGGTACGCAAAGGTAAAAACTTCCACATTCTTCCTTGTGATTTTAACACCGCAAAAAGAATAAGTTATTATTCGATTCGTTTAACTCTCTCAATAACGTAGTTACCAAACGTTATCAGACCAGGAAATGCGTAGCTAAGTTAGCTAAGCTAGCTAGGAAATTGCTGGAAATCTGCGGTAAGCTAGATGACACTCGAAATCATGAAACTGACAGGAAGCAGCTAGCTAGCGTTAGCTAACGAAGCTGCAGGCAGCTGCTTATTCGCCAGTTTCTTGTTCGATTCCGAAATGGTGCAACAGTTACATTCTGGCGTCCTGAGGCTGCTGTACGTTTTAAGGTGGAACGGGAAAATCCGAACAAGACGCGAACAGGAAGCCGACTTCAGCCTCTTAGCTAGTTAGTTAGCTAGGTGGCTAACATTAGCTGCCTGTCAACGCGCTCTCTGCAGCTGCAGCAGCGGCAGCCCGAGCGACAGTTTAACAAACATTAATTGTGCAATGTATTAAAACACTTCTGATGTGTTTTACACCTCATGCAATCACATCACAGTGACACGGATAGTTAATAAACCGCTTTTACCTCCATGTCGCAGCGTCTGCGCCCCTCCTAGTTGACACCAGTAGCTAGGAAACTTGGCGCTGCTGGGCTGTAACATCAGAGATCACCGCAAGGGGGTCGAACAGTCATCCATCTATCACAGCTGCCTCAATCGGTTACATCCTCAACCTCAACGAGGATGGTGAGTTTCTTAGCCCACCTGGGATCGGGAAAGTGAGAAAAATATACACAGAAGCTTAGCATGTTATTATTGTTAAGGGGAACGCTGTAAAAGAGATATGTTGTTTTAACTTAATAAATGTTGGTAACCTGGTAAGCGCATCTCAGTGTGTTTCAAAGATGTCAGTGGTGTAAAATGTCAAGATGTAATGTCAAAATCATTTCGCTGACTCTGGGTCAGTTTGAAATGATTTCAAAATGATCGTAAGTGTTGTTTTTGCACGCTTCTTTGGCCTAACAATGTGTGTATAGTGTGTATTTCTTGACCTGAAAAGGTAAGCCATATGGAAAAAAAACATTTTCCAAATATATTTCTCAAATATCTTTTTGCAATATATGAAAATGGGAAAAAATGCATTTGTTAAATATATTTAAAATGCATTATTTAAAATACATATAAAAATGTATATGTATTTGTTATATTTTTTCAATTTTATGTAGCTTTAACAAAGGTTACAGATATAACTAAATAGACATGAACTGAATGAATGGTACTGACTTTGCATTAACTGTTGTCTGTATGTGGTTCACAAAATGTACTTCAAATAAACAAGATATCAAATCATCAAACAGCATTTTTGCAGTGCATCAGTACCTACAGCACATACTTTTGCCATGTTAAAGGTTCATTTGCTAATACTTAAAATCAAGATACTGGAATACAATGTAATTTCAAAAGGTATTCCAAACAGTAAAGTGCATTAGACAAGCATTTTGGCTATTTTCACACATTTTCAAATGTATTTGATAAATATATTTACATATATTTATTTTTGTACACTTCATTTATATGTGTAATATTTCTCCAAACTATTTTACATAGATGCATTTTCAATATATTTGGTTAATATGTCAATATATTTTGAAATACATTTTAGTGTCTGGAATGTATTTTGGCATGGACTGTGATGTGTTTCAAATGTATAAAAATATGCTTTTTTCCATATGGGAAGATTTTGTTAAGAATTCTAATAATTCTCAACTGCATATTGATGTTGGGCCAAAAATAGGACTACGCAGATGTTTTTTTCTCAAAGGACCGTCCACTACATCTTTCTTCTTGAAAACAGGGTTGGGTAATGTATAGCTGCTTGGAGTCATGCACAATAGATGAATGAAACAAACATTTACTGTATATCAAGTCTTACTATCTTACTTTCACCATTAACTAAAGCAGTGTTTCTCAACTACAGTCCTGTAGTCCACCTCAACTGCAATTTCCTGTTTTCCCTGTACCTGATTCATATCACTGTCTAATTATCAAGACCATCTTGAGCTGAAGCAGGTGTGTTAGAGCCGGTAAACACAAAACTGTGTCACATAGGTGAGGTACTGAAGTTGGAAAATACTGCCCTATAGACTGATGCAACTGCATTCTCCCCATCTTTTCATGTGATGTCACCACCCTGCCATATTGTGTTTGTTATTGCTGCTCTTTATAGATACAACCTTGAGGTGGAACCTTGGACTCAGTAACTGGCAATGTCTGTTTTAGCTGGCCACAGTTATAATTCTTGTGTGTCCTAGTTAGCCTAGACTTACAGATTTTCCTATAGATTGTTGCCTATGTCCTATATTAGACCTTGACCTAGATTTTCAAGCATTTGAACCTTAAGCTATATTTGTAAACAGCGAGTTAAGATTTAGAACTTGATAAGTTACAACCTCCAACATAATGGGGAGACATTTTCTGTAGGTCTGTGCCTGTGTGGTTCATATTTTGCCACAGACACTGCAGATTGGGTAACTTTGTTTTGAATATCACTCAGACACTGTAAAAAAAGCTCAGCAGTAAAAACACAATAGAGAAACAGTTGTACGTTTAAGCTTTCTGTGAGAGGGCTGTACAAAGCAGTTCCTGAAAGATGCAGGCAAACTGGTTCTCAGACTTGCTGTATTGCCCCCATAAAACCAGAGAACACAGCACTGATAGTCTTCAGTTACAGGCGTGTAGTGCAGGGCCCCGTCCAAAACCACAAAGCATTGTTGCAGTCAAGACCACTACAGGCGAATCTGAGTTAAGGCAGAGACCTAGATGCATTGAGTCCAAGTCAAGATGGAGACCAGGAGTGGTGAAACTGAGACAAGACCAAGACTAAGATTTTTTCAGAATATAAAAATAAAAATAAGAAAGGGGAAAACATTTCATTGGTTTGTTGTTTATTGAACATTCATTAACATTCATGATACACGCTATATATTTATAAATGATGTTGTATTTTATAACACATTTTGTAAAATAACATTAAATAATAGTCCTAAATAGTATTAATTATTTTATTATAGTCTTCATCCAATCTCATCACCACCAATCACCACCTAAAGTCAAAATATAAACCAAACACACATCCATTTTTATTATTAAATGAGAACATACTAATAACAACATTCTGATCTGCCCTCAGATCGTATTTAAAAAAAAAAAATTACTGTTTTATTCTGTTTGATGATTTTGTTGATATTCAATAGTAATAAAAAGATCAGTTTCCAGTGACTTCAGTCCACCTGACTCCAAGACAGAGACAAGACTAAGACTGTTAATTTACGGTTCCAAGACCGAGATTGGACTGAACAACACTACTGTACTGTACATATTACCAGGAGTGCTCAGTCCTGGTCCTGGAAATCTACCACCCTGTAGGGTTTAGCTCCAACCCTAATCTAATGCACCTGATCCAGGGAATAAAGGCCTTCAGGAGCATCTGACAATTAGAGCCGGGTGTGTTGGATCTGAACTCTCCAGGGCGGTAGATGTCCAGGAACAGGATTAAGCACCCCTGTACTACTAACAGTGGTATACAAATTTAACTCACAATTTAGTATGTGTGTGGTTTTGGACGCAGCCAGAACTGCAGCACTGGTGCTTATTAAGTTTTACTGCACTGCACCACCTGCTGGCTGTGTTGAGATTAATATACTCTAAAGTAAATATGCATCACTAAAAGGAGTGACAGTACATTATTAATAATAGCATTATAAAATTGGAATATTAAATCTACAAACAATTTTAGCTTTCTTTTGTATCCACTGTAATGAAAAGCTGCTTTGATAGTGATGCCCTTGAACCAATACACACAGAATGTCCACTTCACCATTGGTGGACCAGCAAACTGCAACTCATTTATTTATTTAATAGATAAATAGCTTAATTTATTAATATAATAGCTTATTTGAAATAATATAATATAGTATAATATAATAAAATAAAATATTATATAATTAGTATAATATAATAAATAAGTAGCTTTCTAATGTGAACTGGCTTAAAGGTTACCATTAGACATCACCAGTTTTTTGTATGATATTATTGTCCCCAATTCAGTGGACAAATCACTAAAATTATTGGGGGAATATGTTTTATATGATATTCTCAAGGAAAGTCATACATTCTTCTGCTTAAAACAAACAAACAAACAAAAACATTAGAACTATTAGGTGCATCAGGAATTGGCTTGATGGTTACCATTAGTGAATCATTCCCAGAACACCTTTTAAACCATTAAAATCTTTACACTTTGACAGCAACCCACCAGTAAAACACAACATACCATTAGTTGGACACCACCAGGAACCAACTGTTAATGGTTTCTATGACATTTATTCAGCATGGCTGTGCCTAATTTAATCAAACCGGCAAACTGCTATTCATTCATTCATTCATTCATTCAGTAATGTTTTTGTTCTGGGAAAAATGCACCTTAGCACAAAAGTTCAAAATAAAATAAAAAATAACATACAAACTCACTGATTTAAATTTAGTGATTATATCAAGAGAAATGAGGTAAAAGGGGACACAGTTTACTAAGCTACTGTGATTTGCCTTCCTAGTTTTCTATAGTTGTATACCAGCTTTGCTCCACCTTCCTGAAGAGTTAATTCTGAACCCTGACAGAACACATCAGATCCAGATCATCACTTCTCTTTATTTGTTGGATCAGGTGTTAGATTTGGTCTGGTGCTGAGTTCTGCAGGATGTTAGATCTTCAGGAGCAGGACTGGTCACCCCTTGTCTGTACAGATGTGATTTCTGATGTAAAGCAGCACAATGTTTTTTGGTCCTGCAGATGGCGCTATAGCTCCGAGTGTAAGTGCATTTTTCATGCATTTTGTTTAGAAACGGTTTCCGTGTATTTTCTGCGTCCGTGCACATATTAATCTTGAAAACAATCTGGTATCAAATCTATATCTGTACATAATCTCAGTACTTAAGGTATAATTTATTTCTAGCATTGAAATAGAGGAGAGTTAATATTGCTAATAATGTTCATAGGCTTAAAGTGTTTGACACAAAGCTTCAGAAAAATTAGAGAAAAAAAATAAATGCACAGAAAAATAAATTGTATACAAGTTTGTACTGCAGCTAGATGATCTCACAACTAATGGCCAATGTCTTGTCTGAAAAAAAAAAAAAGAAAACATTAGAACCATTAGGATGAGGTCTAATGAGAACTGGCCTAATGGTTACCATTAGAGAATCAGTCCCAAAACACCTGTTAAACCAATCAGTAAAACAAAAAATACAATTGGTGACTATTGGACACCACTCAGAACCAACTTTTAATGGTTTCTATGATTTTTTTCAGCAGGGAATGAATGATTTAATCACCTAGATTTTACTTCTATGTGAGTTTTTTTTCTAGGAAATCTCTCTCTCTCTCTGTACAACATTATGTATTTAGTATATAATGGATTTAATAGATTAAATGATGCACAAGATGTGCCAACCGTCTAGGTTCCAACACATTTACTCCTTAATTAAACATACGGCCTCTTGGCTCAGGTTACTCAATGCTGTTTTTCAAACCCCTTAACCACTTCAGCTCCAAATCATCTCGTTGTAGTTTCCTTCATCTTCTGATTTAAGATGATCATAATCAGAGTTT